CCGGTGAAAAGAAACCCCCGCTAACTTCAACTGTTTTGGCGGCAACCACAAAAAGGCTTTCTCACCCCAAGCGCCTGCCAGTGACAAAAAGAAAGTGAGTAGAAATTCAATTGAACGTCCTTTATTTAACCAGGTGACAGCCCCTGAGATTACTCCCTTTTTTCAAAGTCAGGGCCCAAATGGGTATAGTTACGTAAGAATGAGGGCGGGGGTTGGTGGGTGGCTGAGTGGGTGGCTGGTGGGATAGTTGCAATTTTGTCGCACGTCATTTTTAAAAATTTGCGACTTGGGTTATAACAGCGGCAAATAAACGCCCAGCCGTGGGAACGATGTCGCTCGGTGTTGAATGTGCACTCTCCATCGGAAGGCGCGTTGTGTAATTGCCCCAAGGGACAGGTACCTCGATGTATTTAAAAGCGCAAAATTTAGAATTATTGAATCAAGTGTTTTCAAGTAAATGACAGAGTTGATTAATTGCTAAAAGAGAATCGCTTTTATCAGCCATACCAAGCTGGTGGCAGGCAGGCAACGGTTTTGGCATCATCAGCCATGGTCGATCCACTGCTAGATTGGCCTCGCCAAGCCATCGTCGCCCCCCACGATCCTGCGATGTAACAGTCTACCCAGCGCCTGCGCACGAGCTCATTTCATCGCTCCCCCCCCACCCCGTCTCTTCAGTGGACGTCCTTTTGGATGCGTTACAAACCTCGGCTAGGATTCTGCATGAAACTGCATTTGCATCGTCCAACCGTTTGATTTGAATTCACACAGCGGAGATTGTTGGTGGTCGTGGTGGCAGGATGTTACACCAGCACAGACGCCCTTCGTCGTTTCATTCTTTTCAACATCTGTACCAATGACTCACATTGGAACGAGCTTGGACTTCATACAAAGGCACCAAAACAACAGACACTGCGACAGGCACTGTGCACAATTTTCCTCCGCTAAAAATAGAGCGGTCGGGACAATACCTTGGCAAATTTTTTTTACTTTTCTCTTGGCAAAGAACCAACTTTTTTTTTGCTTTTTACATAACCCTGCGCATGATCACTGAAGCGGCGACAATTCAGCCGAGCATATCCCGTTAAGTAGCGCCACGAAAGCGTTAACGTCACAGCAGGATTGCCACTCCTCTTCCAGACTATTCATCTGAGCAATGCCGTGTTCGCCCTTCGGAGATTTCAAGAAATGCGCTTCCGGTAGTTTCTTGCTCGTATCTATGTATGTTGAACTTCTTTTACACTGCACGTAGCCAACCGTGGAAATCAGGGGGTGCAGGAAAGGACAAAAAACTTAACACAAAAAGCAGTTCTAAAGAGATGAGTTTTTCAATCTAGACGATTTAAAAGTGCAAAGCTCCAGCGGCTTGCTAATATTTGAAGGAAGAGCATTCCAGTTATCCTCAGAAGGGCATTTGAAAGCGCGTGATGCAGTGACCGAGGCAGTGCTTACAAAACAGCTTCTCGTCAACAAATACAAACATCACGTTTACTTTGAATAGGACCCTAATTGCTCCTCCGAAACCAATTTTCGGAAACAGTTGTAATCTCTCTGTGAATAATTTTAGAGAAAGCGTGTTGCCTTGTCGGACTCCCTTTTCACGCGTATTTTGACACTAGCAGTAACAAAATAGCAATAATGTTAACACTGTATTTACCGAGCAAGGCCGCAAATGAGGCTAACACCTTTTCAAAAAGGTTTGGCTTCGAATGGTGCATTTGCTCGTGCACATTTTTCCACGTCGGTAAGAAAATCATGGGCAACTTTCAAAAACCCACACGTACAATGTGATAGCACGAAAACAAAAAAAAACATACGCAGGGTCCACAACCTACTTGCTGTACTTCCTTCGACAGGCGGATTCGCAGCTCTGCAGGCAAGCGTGCGGCATTCTGAATTATCTAAGACCGCTGGAAATCACAAGCATACATTCATCATGGCCGGGACTTACTGTGCATCAAGGGAGAGAGAAGTCTACGTCCCCGTTTCACAGGTGCTGCATTATCGCGAATGAATGATTTACACTTGCACAGAGGTTGATATCCCTCGTTTATTGCATTGCCTCCGTGATACGTTTAACTCGGAGGGGGTTACGTGGATTGGTGTCTATGGTGTATAGTGTCAGCATTCCCATTTAAAAAATGTATCAAGGGTGCCTTCCGGCCCTTCCAGGTGTCGCACAATCAATTTGTTTGGCCACCGTTCCGAAGCGTGATGTTTTTACATTAAGTCGTGAGGCAAAGGATATTTTCCTGGCGCAGTTTATCGCGTGTGGAAAGAGCAATTAACATTGTAAAGAGCTGTAATACGATTACGTCTGCTTAGCGTTGGAACAAACAAGTATTTAAATGCTGGGATTATAACTTTTTTCAGAAAAAAAGGATAAAGGTGCTCTTCGGCCGATGTAAATATTTTCACGCCGAAAAACATACGAATTCAACTGCTGCCATCACATATATATTGCGCAGATGACGCATTAGTGCGATGTTGAGCCCATGCTTAGCGGCAACGGACACGACAAAAGCTCCATCTGTTGATCTAAATGTGCAAGTGTGTCGACTGTGGCAGCGGCAGGTACAGCATCCCCTCACTAACAATGCCTTTTAGTTGACGTAAACGGCACAGGAAAAGCTATTTGCATAAGCCACAGTTAAGCCGGAACACGATGTATAATAATCACTACGTGTGAGCATTCAGGGCTCATTTCAGCAAGCCTCCTATTAGATTCCAATTTGGATCAGCCTCTCGAATGTGTGTACATCAGCATTGCGTTTTTGAATTTACGTGCTTGCAAAAGGTCGCAAAAAAGCAACTTTTGCAACGAACCCTTGTGGGTTTGTTTGTGCTTTTTTGGTTGAAGCGACTGCTTGGTTTAAAGTTGTGCAAGGAGTCATTTACGAAAATGTTTGCTGTATTATTAAACAGCAGCAGTTCGCGGCCAAAGTCGCCCTGGCTTTATTTTAGCAAGTGACGTCAGTCCAAGCTTACACAGTAATGCAAACTCGGTAAAAGCTTCAAGGACGGCGGAGAGTGAAAAGGATAAAGGACGATGGTGGTGACTGCATACGACAATGACTGAAGAATTACAATTTATCAAAGTGGCAAATATTGAAATATTTGGGCCACACAAAGCTGAAAAACATCCTGGAATACCCAAAAACCTTTCCATCTTCCCTTGGCTTAGATCTTTTCTTTTTTCTTTCTTGCATTTGACAGGTTATTTTGATTGTTTGGAGACGATATTGTTAGTACAATTGATTTTTTTTCTTAAATCGTAAAAAAAATATATATAAAATAACACATCAGTACAAAGGTCAGGGGCAAGCCAAGTCAGGCAATCAATTATAATGAGATCACTCACGTTTCTCTAGTTGATAACCTGTTGCTGCAATTTAGTCGACGGCTATAATAAACGTCGAGCCACAGTGGGACAACCGCCACTGCCCACTAAGAGGAAACTAACCGCTCTAATTAAGGCAGCAGCGACGTCCCAGCTGCAGAGTGCCTCGCCAGAGCTCGTTAAGGGCCTTAATGAAAACGTGGAAAATTTTTTTTTCTCTAAGTGGGTTTCTAAAAAAAAAAAGAGGCAAGCCGAAATGATGCCCCCCCCTCTGTAAACGCCACCGCGGGGACGCACCGAGGAACCCGCACACCACGAAGGCCGCGACGTCAAAGGGCTCCGACGATTACGCGGGGCAACGCGGCTCTGCGGACGGAAAAGCCGGCGCAGATAAATAAAAATTCCAAACGAGTCTTTTTTGCAAGGACACTCCGGGTGAAAGCGACACGTGGGTGACTCATTGGTATTGGGTGGCGCAGTGTATTAAGAGTTTTCATACTTTGCTTCATTCCGGAAGCCTCGACGAAAAGCAATTATCTGCGTTGAGGTTGCATGCAATTCACACCTCTGTAGCAGTCATGGCAAATCTAAAGCAATCACACGGTCATTAGCATTGTATGTCATCCGATCTGTTGATGTTAATATGGTAATGCTAGCGGTATGTTACATGGAAAGAGAAAAAAAACCCCATCACACTAATAATGATGTCATGGAAATGTTTGCTTAAAACAAAGTCAAACGTTTAACATGGCAACGATGGGATGCGCTCACGGTATGGACAAAACAATGCTCCGTTCGGAAATAAATTCAACAACTGCTGTCCGTGCGAGTGTCTGTGCATGTGTGCGTCCGTGTGCTTTGTGTTCGCCGCCTGCAGCAAGCTTTTTTCAGCTGTGCACCACTCGCACGCACTGTAGAGCTCATGCACACGCTCATACATTTTAAACAGCCCCGATGGAAGGAAGACACTCGCATCAGACGGCAGCAGCCAGCCAGCCACAGAACGAGCGCAGCAATGTCATCCGGTGACAATGCAAAGGGGGTGCCTTGCCATTGGCCGCTCTGAACAGGTGATCAATAGTTTAAAGACCTCGCGATTAAAGCAGGGGGATAAAAAAAAGACACGCGAGAACAAACACGGAAAGCGCGTCACAAAACGACGGCTATCAAAGCGCACCATCAGTGCACATTAAAGACCCTGTGAGGTCATTCGCAAGAGGAGGCCACCGTGGGCCAGTGCTTCGGCCCAAATGCAAAGAAAACGTCACACACAGAGACTTGTAATATAAAATAAAATAAACTGGAAAAATGGGCAACTGATTTGAAAATAAATAATGAATTGTGAAAATATTAAATGTCAAATGCATTCTCTTTTTTTTTTGTATTTCCATCCGATTGACCATGAAAAATGGCTTCTTCAACTACGATGATCAATCCTCAGCCTTTCACCTCCCTGCAAAAGAAGGCCAACGGCCCAAAATATGATCTCTTTACATATATTTCTCAGTTGTAAGGCAAATTTTCGGGGTGGGGGGGGGGGGGGAAGCAGTGACGATGGCGGTGAAGTCTGTCCAAGCTACGAGCACTCAAGACGTAAACTGCGCGGGTCGACGGCGGTTCCAACTCGTCCAGACGCTCGCATCGAGTCTGAGAGACTCACCGTGAGGGGTCGGTCAGCCGAGTCCAGGATGTCGTCCATCTTCTCGTCAGCGAACATGCGGCGTTCCAGCAGGGAGGACTTCTTTTTGGTACCCGTCAAGTTCACCAGGTGGATCTACGGATAAATGGATTGTTACACGTGTTACGTATGTTGAACTTTTTTGCATCGTACATAGCCAACCGTGCTCATAGAATTTGCTCGACTGCGCAGGATTTCTTGCTTTTTGTGTTTAGTTTTTTGTCCTCACCTCGAACCTCCGATTTGCACGGATGGCTACATTCGGTGCGAAAGAAGTTTAACGTACGTACATGCATTGTGGTTTTGCTGATGAGCTCTCCCGATGTGATTTCGGATTGTGCCTCGCGCGCGTCGTTCAGCATGGTGTCGCACTTGTTTAGGAACGGAAGCTCCCAGCACGTGGAGCGGAAAAACCACAGACATCGTGCCGAACAATACGCGGTACACGACCGGCAAGATTCAAGAACGATCACGGCACCGGTGCCCCGTGAACTTCACTCATTGCTTCCCTCTCACCCACGTTGAGGATTCGACTGCTAGACCATTTCACCTCACCCTAATTGTGTTCAACCACCACACTTTTCGGACAAAAATCTTTCCCCTCTGCTTATCCCCTCGCACTGTTCCGCCACGGAATTCCCTCCCATTGTCACGTTTCTCCAAGCTCGTAGAATAACCTCGCCCCAACTCATTGAAACCAATTAAATCTTATCCAGCACGCCTTCAAATCGAGCTGTTTGTTGCAGACCGCTTGGGATTTCGGGTCTTCGGTCCTTGCACCCGGGCACGCGCGAGATTCAACAAAAAGAAAATGAAACGGCGCGACCGACCGACCAACCGACCTTGATCCAATCGAGGCCGCGTTCGCCCAGCGGCCGCCCCTCGGCGAACAGCAGAAGGGCACGTGACATGTCGCTGCCCAGGTGGTTGAAGTGCGGCGGGCATGGGTAGGTGCGCCCGCGGAAGTCCATGTTGTGCGGGAACCAGAAGACGCGGCCGCGCATCGCGTTGGCGATGGACAGCTTGTAGAGCGCACTCATGCGGAGGCTGTGCATCTCGCTTGTCGTCTTGCGCGCGTGCGTCAATGCGCGCCGGAAAGCCAGCCGGTCGGCGATGCCGTTCTCACCCGTTGGGTCGTACCTGCGCCGGGTGGTGGGACGGAGCGTGGGTTTGATGCTTGGGTTGGCGTGTTCATTTCGGGTTAGGGGGTGGGTTTCTGTGTTGTCAATAATCGTAAGGGTTAAATTATTAAAATTCCTCTATCGGTTTGCCACGCAGATAGGAATATCCAACAGTAACCGCCAAGCCCTGTGTGCGAGTCTGCGCCCGTTGGAACAGTTTCAAGCTGTGACAACTTGTGACAACTTTAAACTGTGCAACTTATAATTTGAACATTTACAGCAATATTTTGTCAATACGCTGCTGGATGAGGGCTTTCCCATTGCATGCGAGCTGTGGGGGTATTTGATCATAATTCACCATGAACGCTGGTGAACGGGGATTGGTGGTGGGCAGCATAGATGTGAGAACATATAAGTAGAGTAAAACAAATGATTTTACTGCACTACCCTCTGTTGCCAAACAACAACAAAAAAATTGTAATCAGGCGGAGTGAAATGCTCAGCGCTCCTGAAAAGCGATCAGGCAATCCGAATTAAAGGAGGCTCGCTTAATTCCAAAAACAAATACAAAACGAAGATCTTTCCACCTCCGACCCCCCCCCCCCCCCACCGGCTACCTGGGCACTTTGGGAGCCTCAGAGAGAGGCGGTGGGATGTCGAGCTTGTCGCAGCCGCGGTCGTTGAAGATGGCGATGACGATGTCGAGCAGCGGCTCGTTTATGATCCAGGAGCACGCCCCCAGTTGGTTCAGCACGTCCATGGCGGCATGCAAGCGCCGCGCCTCCTGAACCTGCGCCAGTCAAGTTCAGATGGGTCAAATGTTGAGGGTCAAGGCCCAGCCATGCCTCAAAAAGAGCCCCCCCCCCCCCCGCCTTGACAGTGAGAGAAACATCTAAAATGTGTGTGCTTGTGTACTGCCCTTCGTCAAATATATCTCCCAAGGCCTGCCTAGCAAATGAATACTAGTTGTGGAGAATGTTAAATAAAAGCAATAGAATAAATAAGCAGATGAATATGCCTTTTCTTCACGTATCTGTCCCTCCACAAAAACAAAGAAGTACACCGAGTGTCAACACCGGTCTAGAGGGTGCTTGTGTTGAACCAATTCTGCTGAAATAACCCACCAGCAGCAACAACAGGCCGTGTGGCTAATTGGGATACGTAACAATGAGGTCATTGGTGTACCGTTTTGGCAGACATAGCCTTGATGTTTTTCCACCTTTTCCTGGTCCTCAATTTGACAGATCAGCTTTTTGTGGCTTAATCGTGCCCAGCCTGCGCTGTTGTGAACACAAGTCAACCCACTGCAGGATAACAGCCTCCTCATGCTGTGTCGGCCATAGCAGTTGTTTGACCATACTTCACCACGCTGGTAAATGCAGGTAGGTGAAGGTGGGATGTCCAGGACCGGTTCGAACATTACTCGCCGCTGGTATTAGTTAGCTCCGGTTGGGATTCAAACTCAAACTGCCATGTTCATAATGCAGTACGTTAATCGCTGCGCCACCGCTCCACCCCACATTTGAAATGAGCAAGCAGAAACCCAGCGTGCCCCTCGACGTCACCTGTGAAGACAGCTGGCAGCGAACAGAAGAAAATACCCGGCAGGCCACCGCTGAGTTTAATACGGAGCGATGTAAAATATGTGCGAGATAGAGGCAAAGTTGCGGTTAAGGCGCTTTAAGCCATGGCATTGAGTCGAAGGTGAAGCTACCAGATTTCGCCAAGCCATTTTAAAGAAATGCAAAACTGCCCAAGTGTACGGACACAGAAGCGAAAATTTAAATATTGATGAGACTGTTAAAAAGCGTCATTAGGTAACACGCACTGCATAAATGGAAGCCAGACTTTAAGAACTCTCCTCTTTTTTTCGAGCTCAGCATCATTTAATTTCAAAAAGCTTTGTTTGGGTGAACAACCACAGAAAAAATTTCCTGACTCAACCCGAAAAACTCTGAGCAAATGATCACTCTGGGCTTATTACGCGCAAAGGACAAAACTGCTGAAACGCTACCCGCGCTCACGCCTGTGCGTGCTGCAGGTCTCTGCCACCGTGTTTCCAGTGGTACGCCCAAGCCGAGCCAGCACAAGGCCCTCACAGTATGGGTGGTTTCCCACCGGCTATTTGCCGAGACGAGCCAGAACCAATCCATGCAGGTGAATCTGGCTCAGGTCCAAGCAGGGCCAGGGGCGGGGCCTAATGGCACGTTCGTTGCATGTGATGTCATTCGGCAACACAACTCAAACGCAGCATCAGTTGTGTCAACGACTTGCGTCTCTCGGCTGGTTCATTGCACATGACGTCAAGTCGATACGGAAACTCAAACGCGTCGTCATCGTGTCATCCATATGCATCAACGACTGGTTCGTCACATGTGACGGGCTGCGGCCCAAACTTTACTTTCGTGGTGAACAAAACAACTTGGTGCCTCCTGAGCTGTGACGGGCCCCCTCGCCGCGGGCCCCAGCACGGCTCGGTTATGCGGCGGAAAAAGGGGTGCAGGGTCTCACCTGGCACAGATCCAGCAGGTTCTGGTGCTGCGTGGCCATGTCCACGCTGCGCATGAGGGTAGTGGGTATCAGGACGTAGCCGCCGAATCGGGGCGAGGTCCACGGCAGGGGCGGGCAGGAGGTCGGCAAGGCCTGCACGTCGAAATGAAGCTCCGTCTCGACCGCCCTCGACTGCAGCTGAGTCACCAGGGGGTGCGGCTTAACGAAGCCGATCTTTAGGCGACCGGCGTAGCGAGCGGGGTCGTTGGTTCGGGGCAGGGAGAGACGCAGAGCAAGGAAGAGAGAGAGGAGGGGCCGAGCGTAAACACGCGAGCAGAAGCACTCGATAATAGACGCAATTACACGATGATCAGCGTACACTTCACCATCCAAAGCGCTGGCAACGAGCAATTTCAAGAGGCTGGAGAGGAGGTTTCCATCATTGTGCTAAAGGTGAGTTCCTCCAGGCCAACCTCATCAGTGGGGAGCCGTGCCTTTTTTGCACCACCCACCACGGTGCAATACCTCGGAGCCCCCTGATTTATTGTGTCGTGTCACTTGACAGCCATGCAGAGATTTTTCAAAAGCCATCGGCTGGAGAGTCCTGTTTTGTTTATGGGGTTTTTGTGTGATTACTTGATTTGAAATCACATCCGCAACAGAAAACATGAATGCTAAATAATAAGCAATGTGAATGGAAATTGCATCTCCCATGAATATTGAGTGCATGGCACTGCCAGTGCAGGTTTCATTTCATTTACTGCGAATTAACATTTTTTTTAAACAGAAACGCTTAACTCCTAACTTGTAATTAAACAAGTTTTCAAGCTAAACTGTGCACATTTGTAGGGCTGCCTTGCATTTAACCACGTCCACCTATTATTACAGTGAACATTCCAGAACAAATGCCAGTATCGCCTTTCAAATCCAAATATTTTACATTCAACTGAGATCATTGGAATGAGGAATGGGACGCCTTTGCTAAAAATGGTGTACGGCTGAATGTAGGCAGGCCATACAAAAAGAACAAATTAAATAAAGTTGACAAAACAATATCACTTTTCAAGATGTGAACAGTCCATGCAAGGAGCAAGTGGGTGATGTGTGTAAATCAAATACGACAAAAAATAACATTCGGCCTGATAGCGAGCTAGGTGTAATAGGCGCTGAAGTAAATGTCACTACACATCAGTTATACAATAAAGTATTTTTTAGAAGATTTACTTTACCCATTCATTTATTTCACTCCTAACTGCAAGGACAATTTGTTTGTTTATCTCTGCAAATCTTGTCAACACCAACACCCCTGCGTGGATATTTGCACAACAAATCCCACAAACAGGGGCAGGAGACCTTCAGCAGATATCTGCCGTGACTGCGCGACGCTGGAACGATACCGGGCCAAGGAATAGCAGGTGGGTCTTTGCAAGTGGCGATCATTATCGCTCTGAATCACGCTCATCATTCCAGCAGGCAATTTCATAGAAAAATTGCTTTGATTTTTCATGGGAAGCGCTGGGGGCCCAGTGATTGCGTGTATGTGCGTGAGGGCAGCTGGGGTGTGCATTAGGGACGCATTCTGTCGAGCCAGTGTGTGGTGATTTCTCAGTTATTTAACCCCTTCGAGGGGGCACTCACCCACTTCTAACAGCCACTAATCATCTTTCTTTTCAGCTGAACCGTTGGAAATCGGCAGATGAAAAAACACAATGCGTTAAAGCCTCCCGTCGAATGCCTATTGGTTGAAGCCAATACAAAGGGACCTCCCCCCCGCCCCCTCAGTGGCTTTACAAATATATACATTTTAGTATCGCGACAAAGTATTAGGTCACTGATTCTCCATAGGCGTATCGTACAATGCATCCTCCGAAAGTTTGATACCCGCCGCTCTAGCCAAATAGCAGGCGACAATCTGTCAATGACACTCCCCGGTGACACTAACTTTCAAAGAGACAAAGTCAATACATTCTACGGAATGATAATACTCTGGCAATGTTTTTCGATCGTAGCAAACATACACACGCACCGCACATTCACATCATTGCACTGCTCCATCTGCATTGCCATCATCATGATGATCATCCTCAGCCTAAATCAATCCACTGCTGCATGAAGGCCTCCTGAATCCATCCGCCATCCGTAACAACCCCGCGATCGGTAACAATCCATCCAGCTCCCCCACACACGAGCCAATATCATCGCTCCATTGACATCACCGCTCTGGAAAACCCGAGTGAGCATCGCGAACTGCGGTCAAGCACTGCTCGTGCATTTCCGCCATTGCTAACGACACCGTGCGGTGCCAATCATCATCATCAGCAGCAGTGGCCGTACCTGGCGCACGCTGCGGAAGGCGTACACGTGGTAGAGCGCCGGGATGGGTTTGGTGCCCCTGGCCAAGTCGGTGGAGCCCGTGCCGGCGTACACCTTGAGCTCGCGCACCATGATGTCGAGCAGGTACGAGCCCAGCGTCACGGTCACCGGGACCGTCCACTCCACGGTCTCGCCCGACAGGCGGTACCCGTCGGCCACCTCCGCCTCGACGCGCTCCCAGAACTGGCGTGGCAGGTAGCCGCTCACCTGCCACCGACGGGAAACGTCACAAAACAAATATTGGGCACGGATAAAAAACGACAACGCCGATGATGCAAAGCAGCCGGAACGTGCCCCGATTCTGGATAGATCTCGGAAGCCAAGTGGGGTTTGGCCTGAAAAGTGCTGACAGGGGCGATCACCGTGCATGGAAGAGGCTGCTGCCGGGTTGCCCCATCAGCAGGGGGCAGTGCAACAAAATCGGTTGGAGTGCTCTGCTCTACTCAAACATTTATGCTCCCCGCTGTCACCGACCACGCTGACCAGCGTGAAGTAAGGTCAAGAAAACCCTCACGACTCGACACGTGTGGAGGGTCCTTCATGCGGCAGTGGCTCGCAAAAAGACTGTAAACCATTATATTCTTTTGTAAATGGTTCGGCCATAATCCACAATCTCCAGTGAGCTCTTCTCCGTTGCAGCTCCACGGAATGAGACGTGGAGAGGTACCAACATGCGTTTAGATTATTTAGAGAATTGTGCTGCTATAAATTTCCACACGTTGAGCTATCATTTGTGGCCAGGTGACTTCTGAAAAATAAGCTAAATAGTTCAGTGGCCTTTACCTGGCAAGATAAAAAGTAAAATGTTATTTGACTATTTTGTAAGTGATTCGTTTATCTTTCCTATACTTTGCAATCATATCGTGTTTTCCTAATGCTTGTAACATTCTGGACATCTGTGAAAAAGAGCTTGTAAGCTCATCGGATTCCTCCAAGTAGAAATACATTTATTTTGATTCAGGAATAATCGCCCCCCCCCTACCTTGCCGTCAATGGCCAGCAGTTCACAGTAGGCGTCGTACACCTTGGAGATCCGCTGCGCGACGTGGTTTCGCATCTTCTTGCGGATGCAGTACATGTTGAAAACCTTTCTGCCCAGATTTCTGGAGAGCGACATCACTGAATCGCCATTGGGCGGCAGGCTGGATAAACTCTGCACACGAACACGAGGGCACATCAGTGACGAGTCAGCCGGCGTCATCGCCGTCGTTACACGCGTTGAATCGTGGGAATTCAACGGCATGGAGTTAAAACAACACATACATATCGTCCTCGTCAGTACCCCAGCTAAGTGGTCCATGGGCCTAAGCACAAATTGACACTCCTAAAGGCAGCAAAAACCTTAGTTGTACCAATTTAATGAGCAAATTATTTGATCTACTCATTTCAAATGGTTATCATATTATTGGCCACATTGAGAAATGGGAAGCGTTAAAGTGGTGCCACCTCAGGTGGTACCGGCAAGTGAGATAACCGCTCTGGGCTCATGGAGAAGAGCAAGCTTTGGCATCGATTCAAACACATAAAATGGATGCAATAACCTAAATGTGTTTCACAATATCCCTCACCCAATACATTTTCTAACAATGATTGCGATACATTTTTTTCGCAGAGGCCAGACAGCCTGCTGGTCAATGTCCCCACCAATGACGCAATTTGTAGATAATGTCATTAAAAAAATATGTAAATGTGCCATAATCTAGTAAAATATTTACATTAAGAACCCATCATTTACTTGCAGTTCCTAAAGGCTACCAATGTTGCATCCCATGTTTTGCACGTGATAAATAACTTGCAAACTAAACTAATTGTTAAACAAATGCTTAATGAATAAATTATTTTTACAATTTACTATACAGTATTGGGAAAATGGATAGTGAACCAAAGTTAAACATACATACAAGCACGCAGAAAAACGTAATTTATTTCGACTTAAGCTAACCGCTCGTCTGCATATGTGTCTTTTTATTGACAATTTGCGAGTTCATGACATCCCACTGCCGCTTGAAAGAAGTTAAGTGGGCTTGGAGCACGACACAGTACGATGATGGCCGGTGGTCGAGACTAACGACATGGAGAGAGAACGCGCCCAAGAGTGCGTCCACCTCAGAACAGGTTCCATAAACCTTTCTGGTGGGCCAGCAGCAAGATGGACGGTCGCATCACGGGACCGTGAAGGACGTCGAGGGCTTGGGGAGATCTTCATCCAGCAGCCGATAGATCGTGGCAGCGCATCGTATGTGCAGAGAGTGTCGCTGCTCACAGCGACGCCGTCTCACCTCCAGCATGGCGTTCACGTACTCCTCGTCCGTGAGCAGGCACGTGTAAGGGTACAAGTCCAGCTTGAAGCTGCAGCCGAACCTTCTGGACATTAGCTTCTTCTTGCCCTCCGCGAAGGCCTGCAGCAAGGTTGCCCGCCACTCCTTGTGCAGCTCTGTCAGGGCCTGCCGCTACATGCAACAAAGACAAAGATCCCCCGTATAGCCTTAACAGACTGTTGGGGCAAGTGCTGTTAGCGAGAATCTATGAAGGCCGGCACGGCACACGGGGGGGTGGTTGGCCAACACCACGCCCGGCCGCCTTTGTCTTCCCAGTGGTGATGTTTACACACCGCACCAGGTACTCATTTGAGGCTGAGTTCACCTAGGGGAACCTCACGACTGGTTCAGATGATTGTCACTGGTGCTGGCCGTGAGAGGGAATCGAACTCGCGTCGCCAGGTTCGTAGCGCAGCGTTGTAACAGCTACACGACCGCTACACGCAACACACGTGCGCGCAGAGGGGAACGATGGCAGCAAGGTGGCTATGGCATGTGCTAAGAGTGTTGTCGGTTTGAGAGTAAACGTCGTGCACAAACATCTGAATCGGATCAGTGAACGCAAACCGTGCGCCGAGTGACAAGCTTGACATTTTACCGAATCGTTACAGCGCATTGTGTTCTTGTTCGTTAAGAAAAGCAAGTGGGCTCTGGGGCAGACTGCATCACCAGAAGGGAACGATGGCCGGGTGGTCGAGACTAACAACCGAATAGCAGCCAAGGGAGGGAACTCGTCTGGGAAGACACCCGTCCCGGAAGCAGAGCGATGAATTCGACTCGTCTGGAGGTGCTCAGCGAATTGTCTCAATGCAGGACCATGAGCAATTGCAATGGGTTGAGGAAGCCTTCATCCAGCAGTGGATTGATCGTGGCTGATGATTACAATACAAAGTTTGCGCGTAACATTGTGGGTATGCAACTGTATCTCAAGAGAGAAATTGTAGCATTTAATCATTAACTTATTTGTTCAGGTAATGAGGCTTTCGGAAGGTGCAGAGCAGCAAGGAAGGAAAGGTGACGATGGAATTGCAAAGTGCAAATGGAGACACTTCGAACGGAAGAGAAAGTCGGTTCTAGTTAGAGGAGAGGAGGAAAAAGCTTGAGCCGGCGGGATGAGATTTTGGATGCCCGGACAGCTGTGGAGAAGGTGGTTGACCCGAGGTTTGGACAGGGAGGAGGAGAGCTTGGTTACCGGAGCGGAAAGCAAGAGAGTGGAACAAGCGGAGTTGAGAGATAAAGGGTCAGTGGGGGCGACCCCAAGGAGGATCCTGAATTTGACGAGGGCTGAATGGCGGGAGCCATGGAATTTGGAGCGCACCTGGGTGATATTAGTTCACGTATTTTTGAGTGCCACCGTTTGTGAGCAAAACCAACAGGGATCATTCTATAGAAAAACTGACCCCTGGCAAGGGAATGTGGAATTTCCTTAATTGGCTAAGGGCCAGCCACAGAGATGGGTGCTGTCCCATTTCCCGCTCCAGCAGAGACACTTGAACTCATTGATGTTCCGATTGCAACACGACGTTTCGATTGCAACACAAGCACTCATCATCAGGTACAAATGGAAGAGAAAACAAACCTAGTAAACTTAGGAATATAATACATTATATTATTTACTTTATTATGTTCTCTTTCTATGTGACTTTACCCAAAGAACCAAATCAAGTTTTCATTGAGTTCAATTTACCGAATGGTGCTGGCCCATTGGTGGATGGCAAAAAAGCATCAGTGAAGCATGCGCATCACAACAAATACTTTAACTGCGGCTTAAAATAAATGGCAGCAGTGCTTGGGATTACAAGTTCAATTCTATTGTGTAAAAAATGTTTAATAATGTACGCAAGTGCGGAAAGCTAAATTAATCTTATTGTGTCATTGGCAACATTGATATGGGAGGTGACGCACGCTCCCCGGGACAAAGCACGTAGGATACGCCACCAAAAATTCAAATTCACACCCACCACACGAGGAGGAAGGGCCCCTTGCATGAGCTGGCGATGAACTTTCGGTATCCTTCAACACCTTTTGTCAGCACGAATAGGTGCATGTCTATTTGGGGAAGGTGAATAGGATGTTGCCAAGAACAGGGCCCAGAAATAGACTTTTTGTTGCGTGCAGTGACATTCACTCAGTAGAGCCTCTTTAGGGAAATAAGAGTGTGCGCGCTGGTAACTAAAGATACACTCCTCCGAGGGAGTGATGCCCTTGTCTGGGTGCACGACTTTTGGAATACATGGGAGGCACAAGCCTATCACTCTTTAAATGGCTCGCCATCAGGCCCGCACAAGCACAACTTAATTTTTTTTTAATGCAGATAAATCCCGTGGTCAGAATCAGGTTCCCGAGGGTATCGGAAAAAAAAATTAAACAAAACCTAAAATGAGAGCTACAAACTAAATTTCCGCTCGGGCTGATTCAATGTAGGCCACATCACTCAAGTTGCCGGAGAAGCGAAAACAACGGCAAAATGCTCAAGTGCGTCGGCAGGAAGTAACAGTTTCCAAATATAATTGCACCTCTGGGAATTCTATTATGGCTTTTTACCCCATGGCTGCCGGGCACCCATGGGGCAGTGGAACCAGCAACGGTGTCGAACAGCCTGAGTGCAAAGCAATTGCAGAGGTCACTGGAGGTCAGCGAGAAAACACAGACGGTAACAAAAAAATAAGCTCTATCACTGGCATCCTGTGGGAGAGAGCGCTGAAGAGAGTCTTCTCGACAGCTCTTTACATTGCACTGTATCCCCAAAGCCTCTGACGTCCAAACTAGCCATTGGTGTCGATCTTCAGAAGACGTTCTCCAAAACACGATGTAATATTAATCTTACACTTTCATTTGAAAGATTTATCACGCATGCGAAAATATCCTAAATGACTCCAGGTGGCCCGGGGGAGAGCGTAATGTGCGGGATGCCAACGGGAAACAACGAGGTGGTCCAAGGGAAGGCGTTTCTGACATCGCACACTCCTGAGAAATGCTATGAAGCCCTAATAAGTTGTCGAAAGACAATGAGGACATCCTTAAATGTCACGAGGCCCGTTTGTGGCCATTAGCACCTCCGATTAGCACGGTTGGTTACGTACGGTGCGAAAGAAGGTCAAAACGTCCATACATCAAAAACAACAGCCCCTAAAAAAAAAACGTTTCCACGCAACTTTTGAAACCAATTCGCTGTTTTCTTGCATCATGCCAATGAAATAAAATCGTCGAGGCTTGACACTGGCTCCCTCTTCTCAATCAAAATAACCTCAAAAAATGGTTAAGTTGTCATAGGCTTGTGCAAAAAAGGGAACTGATTAAGCCATTAAGGAACACGATACTCCAAATTAACATAATTGTTATTTTCTTCTCACTGGGAGGCATATAGTATGCATAACAAAAAAACAAGGCCCTCATAAAAAGGGAGAGAAATCAAAAACCTCGAGAAAAGGGTTTATTCGTTTCAAAACATTTCGAGGGTGGTTTCATGATTTCACACGCGCATACCAAGGATGCCAAATATAAACATGATTTTGACCAAATGCTTTAGATTTAGTCCACCATATCAATGGTGCCTATCAGTTCTAGGCTGTGTGACATGCACAGACGCACACACCAGCAAAAGTACCTTTTTCTCCATCTCTGGCGTTACCGGTTTCAGGGCTTCCACCGATTGAATGGTGACAATGTGAGCTTTCTCCAGATCCATCTGCCTCCGAAAGCCCTGCTTCAGTTCTTCGGTCGTCTGCTTCAGCCTGGGGTAATTCCCCGAATTATCCTACGAGGGAGAACATAAAAAAAACAAATGAGTTCCCCCAGAGTTGCGGTGGCAAGATGTTAAATACCTCGCCCAATATGCAGGAGGTCGTGGGTTCGATCCCGACCCTGATACCTGTATATTTGGAGTTCGCATGGCTCTTTCCCTGTGGATTTTTCTCCGGCTCCTCCGGTTTTCCCTCCACATTTAGAAACGTGCGTTTAGAGTATTTTGCTGCTATAAATTTCCACATGATAAGCCACTTTGTTGAGCTATCGTTTGAGGCCAGGCCACTTCTGAAAAAGAGCTATATAGCTCAATGGGCCTTAGCCTGGTAAAATAAAAAAAGTCTAGTTTAATTTTAGCTTTTTGTTACAGCACATATGGTTTAAGCTCAAAGACTTTCTGCAATCACAAAAGCTGGTTACGTGGTTGACATTTCAGCAACAATTACATTCCAACAATTCCACCAAAACCATAAATTGCCAATAAGTGCTGCGGCCAAGATACGGTACAGCACACACAAGCGGCTTACAAGCGGAAGTAGCCGCACTATCCCACGGTGAATGCGGGCCCCAAATTAACCGCAAACGTCAGGACGACGGATCCCTCGGAGTGCAAAGGAGTGCGAGTGGGGCTTCTCAAACATTCAAACGCTCGCCACCAAAAGCACCTCATTGCTAAGGGAGGGGGGGTACGTGGTGGTGGTGGGGTGGGGGTGTCAGTCGGGGACCGCCCGCAGTCGTACCAGATCGTAGAAGCGGGCGGAGAGTGGAAATTGATCGAGTGGTCTGGGCAGCATCGCCGTCGGCGCGTAGTCGGGCCGGACGCGGCGCACGGCGGCCAGCACCACCTCGCGCTCGTCCTCCACAAAGTTGCAGTGCGCAAACAGCTGGTCCAGCTCCAGCCCGTTCTGCTGCATCTCGTCCAGGCACCTGCAACGACCGGCCGCGAGCGTGCCATGGTTAAACCCCCGAGCAATGGCGCGCGCTCACCGCCAAGCTGCGGGGTGCTTGGATCGCGCGTGAACCGTTTTCGCTTTGTCGATGGCTTCCAGCGGCCGTAACGTGCGTGTCGTATGTGCGCACATATATGCATCTTGAACTTCTTTTGCGCCGTACGTAGTGAACTGTGCTACTGGGAGGTGCGAAGTGTGGCCACAGTGTCAAATTGACATGCGTGACCGAGAAGCGTGATCAAATTAACGTCCCGCGACCCACACAGCGTGCGAGAGGTCGCCGTTCAGTGGTGGACTGACAAAGATCAAGAAGAGCGGCGACATTTGAGTGGTACGCAAAACAGCCGGCAATCACAGACGTCACTTACTAACACAAGGATGAAATAAGAAAATAAAAGCATTGTTTGCAGTACTTTTTCAAACAAAAAAGCAAATAGGCTTTGTGAAAGACAGTTATTTAAAAAACACACATACGTGACAAGCTTCCTTTCCATTCATCTCCCTACATTGCCTCTATTTCTATCTGCAAAAGGTGAACCATGCACCCTAACCAGGTCATCTCCGAGGCCTCAAGGGTAGGATAACGAACTTGTCAGGAGGTTCTAGATTTGAAGCTTTCATGACTGCAAGGATTCATACTCTTTGGTTTTTTCGGTAAAGTCACATAGGTTAAAAAAAAACAAATAAAATAAATCACGACGTTTCGGAGGCAACACAAGCTTCCGTCTTCAGGTGAAACCGTCAAAGCAAAATTGCTGTATCAAGTGAAGAGAAGTCCCAAGAGGCACGACCTTATATACTGGTTAAGGCGGGAGGAGCCAGGATGGGTCGCAGGAGAGGAGGAGTTGTGAGATGGTCAGTACTGCTGCTGGAACTGAGCCTTTGTAATGTAGATGGCAGAAGTAGATAAGCAAGCTAGGATTAAGCTGCCTTTTGTGATGCTGCTGGGTGGGTAAAATTCAAAGCAGGTAACTAAAGTAAAAAAGAAGCTAAACATGATAAGCAACGTGTGGTGATGTTGATGGTGGTGCGTGGAGCTGGGGGTAACAGACTAGTAATATGGATATGTTTAAAAAGATAAATCTAAACTGGCTGTCTATCAGTAAACTGCACGGTAACTAAAGTTTAACTTGGTTAATTACATCTTTCCAATGATTGCTCAATCTGAATCCATCATCTCGATTGAAGTTATGTCTGTGTTTGTATATCTGGATGGCCTCATGGACAAATCTTTGGTAGTATCCAGGAGGTTTGAAAAGTACCTTGGTATCTGAGAACACAACGTCATGCGAGCCAGCAGTATTATAACAGTGGTCAGCCACGGCCGACGAATTCGTCTTACCATGTTTCAAATCCGACTTGTGCTCGCGAATGCAGTCAGCAATGTGTCGTTTAGTTTCCCCGATATAGCAGTCACCACAGGTACAACTTAATCTGTAAACACCGGGGTACTGTAATTCAGGAATGGCGTCCTTTATGGATGGGATCAGATCACGAATTTTGTGTACTGTATTGAATCGGACCTGGATCTTGTGTTTGTTAAGAATTTTGGAAATCTTTTTGCTAACGCCTGCTATGTATGGCAACGTGATGGTTTTGATCGGAGTTTCATGTGGTTGTTTCTGCATGGTGGGAGAAACAGCTTGGCGGATAGTGCGGTCAGAGTATCCATTCATCTTGAGGGCCCGATGTACATGTTTTAATGCAATGGCCAGGTGGTGTTGGTTAGAGATGCAATGAGCCCTATGATATAGTGTTTTGATGAGAAAATTCCTTTGAGCCGGGTGCTGGTGGAAATCAGGCTTCAAGTAGGAACCTGTGTGGGTGGCCTTCCTGTAAACAGAATGACCCAAAGAGCCATCGGGCCTCCTCTCAAACAGAACATCCAAGAATGGTAGCTTGCCATCTTTCTCCACTTCCATTGTAAATTTGATGGATGGGTGTCTGGAATTGTTATGCAGCTCATGGAGACGTGACATTTATTAAGTGCCAGGCTAGCCCAACGTTACATTTGGACAGCGCCGCACATCGTGTTTCAAAGAAAGACGGATGCAGACTGCCGTGGTCAAGATTTAGAGGTTATGTAACCGCTGTGGACCAGAGGTCAGAGCGCTGAGTTGGCACCGCTAAAGATCCTGGGTTGGAATTCAGATGGTCGCCTGTTATTAAAGCAGGTTCTCAGACATAGTGAGTCGATAGATTACTCTCAGTGGTCAAGCAGGTGGGAAAGTGCTGCCCCTTACTGTGTCATCCAGAGGTCACTTGAAGGGATCTTTCCTGATGCTGGTCATTACAACATGAAGCACAGGAGCGACTGATGAATTTAGTAACGATCACTGCAAAGGTTGGCTCAAGCTAACGTTGTAAACCGAAGTCACGTGCCACGCATTCCGTTTGCAAATGAAAGATATCAGTTTGAGGGTCACAACCGGAAGACACATCAAACCACGTGTACCTACTAGGGCAGACCATGGTGAGATCAGCTCATGTACAAGAGCTGGATCAGTTGAGATGGAGACGGCTTGGCGAAGGCTTCATCTAGCAGTGAACGTTCTGACTACAAATGACCTCATCCGATGCCACCACACTCCTATCAAATTACAGCCCGCAAAAAACCTTGCTTACACACCATTGCAGAAGCAGTCGCAAAAACAAGAACACCAAAACAAATATGTAAACGCCCCGTCGGCGATTGCAAGGCCGGTCTGCCTGGGTTGCCTGGTCACGTGTGTCGTCTGCAGAGATTACAAACGTTCCGCTTAGGAGGACGCGGGAAGACAATCTGTCCCCAGGTTTTGGGCGGGCCCTCTGGGACGCGTGTGTCACTCAAAGCCCAAGGCATTAATACCCCCCCCACCCTCCAAATTTCTCGTGCTGCGTGGCAAAACAGCCGAAGCCAAAGCCATTTGGCTTTTTTTCTGTGTTGTCCAAGACAACCAAGCTAATCTGCGCACGACAATGGATTACAATTCGAAAGCCTCGTGCTGAGCATCATCCACATCCTCTTAGCTCTTCCATTGTGCTGAGTTCGAAGGTGATTATTCCGAGTGATAAATCCACTGGGATGCACACACTTCTTGAATGCAAGCGTGTGACAAATGAGGGATGTTTTCACTTTATTTGTTAAGCCAAGGGACACATTCGGCCCCACAAGATATTCTATTGACCCACAGCAGCATATCAGCAAGGACAATAGTGGGATATTAGCAAGGACAATCGCGTGAAATGTCCCTGGTCTTTACAGAAACGATCTGTGGATTCATTAGGGTTTATGAAGCAAGACTGCTGCAAGGTAAAACATCTCTTAGATATGAATACGCCAAGTACGGCACACAGTGCACCCCTAGCATTGCACAAGTCACTTTCACACCTGCATTTGTAAATAATGATTGTAGTCCGTTAGCATTGAAAACAAAAGGAAGTCAACCAGACAAACCAAAAGCCACTGACATCTCTAAGACAATGAAATATCACAACTTTACTGCACTTCACATGTTATAAAATGATTGTGAAGACATTCAACAGCAAAATTATTCAGATAATGCCATCCACAAAGTGACAGGAGCTATAAAAGACATCCGGAAAAAAAAAAACATGTTTTAAATGGGCACCAACCATGGGATCCATAATAACATCGAAATTCCTGGCTAGCGATTAAAAAAACATTGTCGCACGTTATTTAAAACACACTGCCGTTCGCTTAGTTAGAAAACTGGATTTCTCCCATCAGTAGACATCATGTAATAAAAGGTTGCAAGGCATTACTACAATTGCTCAAGGTGCGGTGTGCCAGTACCGTTTAATTGAACATACAAACTGCACATGAGAACAATCGTTCGTATTTACTAAATGCTGAATTACATTTTTGTTTTATGTTTTATCATCAATAACAAATTAAAATTGGCGAAAATGCATTGGCAGTAGTGTACAAGCACAGATTACAAAATAAAACTCAAAACATATGTCAATAACACTGCCATAAAAGGAAAGAAATATATAAATAGGTTCCATTTTGAGCAATGGCACTTCTTCATAGTTCTATGCTATTTAGAGTAGAACCACTGCCTAACAAGTGACCTTTTATATGTTTATTTTTAGGGCACTGATATTGACAAATTTACTGAGTTACTCTATTTTATTAGCTGGATCGGTGTCACTGCAAAAAGAAATCCCACTTTATATATAAGGCTCTGGGTTTCATTAAAATATCAAGCGCTGATGTGTCAACAATGCAGTTTAATAGGACTCAAATTGTACCGCAAAATACAATTACACCTGTGTTATTCCAATTGTTTTATCCATTTATTCTGAAAAAATGTTTTTTTATACACATTTATTTAGGAATAAAACCATTCTTCAGATGTAAAAAAGGAAGTTCCAGATGTCAACACAAGCAATCATCATCAAGTGTGAAAAACAACAAGAAAATTTGAAAAAAGTGGGTGTGTTTTTCACACCTTATGATGATTGCTTGTGTTGCAGTCGAAACGTCGTGAGAATTGTATTGTTTTATATTTTTATTATTTTATTGTTTCCCTTCTAAGTGACTTTACCGAAAGAACCAAGAATATGAATCCCTGCAGTCACGAAAGCTTCAAATTAAGGTTTAACATATGTATCAGAAACACGGACAGTGACAAAGTAAATGGAAGAAAAGCTAAAAAGTGCCCAAAAAACATGCAAAAGCACTTGCTTGAAATTACACTGACAAACACAAAGATACACACAAATTAAGATATATTCGATCGAATGCAAAGCACATCAAGAGAAGTGCATGGGTTTGGGCAGGACACATCCCAGAAAGGAGAATGGCTGATGGCCGATACTGACGGTGGAGTGGCAAATACGGGAACATGCCCCAGAGGTTGAGCACCACAGAAGCAAAGACGACATCAGTTCAAGTGCATGAGCTGGATGGATTGTTGCATCGCAAGGCAGTGACATGTGGTCAACAACTTGGGGTGTTTTGAATCCAGCAGTGGATAGCTCATGAATGATGATGATGATGGTTGTGTTTATGGGTACTTAACTTTTTACTTTCGACAGTGAACTGCTGCCCTGGACTGAAATAATTCACTAAAAAATTTTGCCCAACCGCTCGTAAAATCTCACAATCCAATAGAGCTAGATAGCTCTCACACTGTTTGGTTTGAAATAAACAAATCCCCGAAACTATCAATACAATGAGAAGATAAAAAAAAAACATATTTTCAGCACAAGGATACTCATAAGAGACAATTTTCGAGCCTAAAGTGGCCATCTCCGTGTGCAGACCACAGCCATGCAGGCAAATGAACGGGAGGCAGCGGAAATCACGGAGGACGGTGATGGACAGACAGACACGCGCGTCACGATCTGTCCACACCAAGACCGGGCGTTCTGACGGCGGAGGATCCGTTTTCCGAGAGCGAGCGAGCGAGCGAGCGAGGGGAGACACACACACATGGGGGGCACGCCTGCACCGCAGCTCCCTGCCGACCACTGCACCGCGAGAATACTGAAGAACATTATTATTAATGGGCACAGCAATATATACCTGGCGGCAATCACTCACGCACCTTTTGCTTGTCATATTTTTCAGGCTTAGAAGCGTCGCGCAGCCCACTGATATTCCCACCCCCCCCCCGACGTTCGTATCCCTTGACTTAAAGGGGAGACGTAAATTCTGGTTTGAAAACCCCATTTGAGCAAAATCAAGCGATTGACCACAGAGACAGATATTGGTCAAATGAAGACGGTCCTCTGCCCTCACAAATGTTTTTTCCCTGCACTCCGACAAATTACAAGCAATGGTTTGCTCAGGTCCAATACCCCAGCTTGCTGTATTATTTATGAAGTAAGGAACTAGGTAAAGTCTTGAGGAGCAAGCGATCCATCTTCATCTCAGTCATTATTCATTAGGTGTTTTCAATCAAAGGCATGTTGCACATACCCTTGGCAGCAAAACAGCTATGGCACATTTTGCAATGTAGCTACCACCTTTAAGGAAATGTCAACACGCCTTCTGTTCCGATTTGTACCGCTGTAATTGTCAACCAAACAAGCAGTCACACGCAGTAAAAAATTTATTTTTTCTTCAGTCGAACAACATCACTATTCTGGGAGGCATATAAAGAAGCATCTTTGCAATTTTGCATCTAAGCAAGGCATCTGTTCGACGCGTATTTGCACCGTAACAAATAAAACGTGCATGCAACCTGCTGCTGCTGCACAAACAGGAGTGTGCGCCGCACTTGCTAAAGGGCAGCTTTGTAATCAGAACGACTGCAACAGAACATAAGTTAGAGTAATTTAATTAAGCACCAGGGTGGTTAAATCTCCCTACAGGTGGTCTCCCGTCGATAGTGCGCGTCGTTAATCCAAAGCCATTTCCCAAGACAGCTAAACGCGATTGCCCACTAGCTAATCTTGTGGGAGGAGGTCATTTAAGTGGAGAAAAAGGCAAAAACACGGACAAATTCCACATGGGAAAATTCAATATAGCCATCACGAACACAACTAACTCAAGTGCACGTGGTCCCTTGCCCTTCTACGACCCAGCCTCAGCTGTCCCCTCGTGCCACTCTCAAATGAGGGAATGAACAAAATTGGTGGCATGATTCGTTTTCTGAAACGTTGCCAAGTGACAATATGTCACACACCAAACATTAAGATAAATTACCTTTGTATACACATTACACAAATTGCAATCGAAGGCCAGCTTTGGGTCCATTCACTAACACCATGTTATGCATCACTTTGTTGATTTATCCACAATGTTCTACACTCTAGCTACTTAATACAACATTATTCTTGAAGGGATGCTTTAGTCCAAAGTCAATGACTGTGACTGGGTTTTTTTGTCAACGGGTGAAAAAATGGGCATGAACCACCCAGCTTCCCAAGCCCTCACTACAAACGTGCCAGAGACAAAAATATCGAACTTGCCTCATCTCTGACCACCTCTGCAAGGCTGCAATTTGCAGACAGCTTTCACAGCGGATGCACCTGACAGATGCACCAGCACTATGACCAAATCACCAGAAATGCGCCCGATCCCATCAGATTACAGAAGCAAAGGAGGCTTGAGTCTGAAGAGTGATTGGATGGCAAACCTCCATCCACAACACAGGTGTCATAGGCTGTTGCAGGGCTATGTTGTGAGCAGCAGAGTTACTGTCCTGTACTTATATACTCCAACAGCTATGCTTTCCACCATCAGATCAGAGGAGTGATGTATGGTAAAATAACCCCAGTAACCCACAGCATGGGGAGTCCCCATCCACCAGTCGATTGACAAAGGAATGTAAAAGAAGATGCACTTCAGCACTGCTCTACACGGACAAAGAACAACGCAAGGGGCCACCGCATCGGGTCACCTCCCAATGACTTCAGTACATGCAAACATAGGGCTGCAGACATCCTGATGCTCATGCATCCTTTGGCTAAACTTGACATTATCAGAGTAATGGGTTCTCATGAACACAGCAACGGTGATTTGTTACACACAAAACCCTTGTCTGCCAAGTGCTGCATCACTGGTATGCGCCACCATGCCCCAAATGTGCATACAGTATTTATATTACGTGGTGGTGCTAATGACGAAGGTTGGGCTGTTACGAAATAGTGAACGTATAATTAACTAGTGGAGAGATCCCAACACAGACGCACGTATAGATTGTTTGACCTAAGGCTACATGAAAACGCTTTGTCTTGGCAAATACCTTCCAAGTTAATGGAAAGTGCATGCAGGATGGCGCCGACGGCAACTGCTGTTGTTGCCCCCTGCTGTTAACGCACGGTCAGCCACCAACAGCTTTACACCGCATGCAATCATCGCTTCGGTTACACTCAAGCCATTTTACCCCTAAAGGCTTTTCTTACACAACCGCAAAAAGCCACATTGCAGTGGCTCAGCAGCCACCGAATCACACAAGCCTCTCACAATATGGCTTGTATTGCTCATATGCGCCAAAACAAACTGCCTCATACCAGTGTATACTGCCATCTGCTGGCACGCCGTATCACACAATGGAGGGTGAGTAGAAACTGGTTTGGCGAAGAAACGGCGATTCCAGACGAGAAACTCTGCATAACCACTGCCGCACTCAAAGTTCAACAATGTATGTTGAACTTCTTTCGCACCGTACGTAGCCAACCGCGCTAATCGGAGGTGCATGTGGCAGCAAGCGAGGCATATGTTGGCGGGCGCGGTGTCTCACCTCGCGACGACGCTCTGTGCAATGTTGGGCACACGCCCCATGCACTCCAAGGCAGCGGCGTATGATACCAGGCTGGGCTTCAGGCCGGCCTCACCAACCATGGAGAAGAGCTTGGCAATCTTGAATAGAAATTTCTGTACGATGACACACACAATGTTATCAGTCGCAGGTTCCGTAAGACCAGTAACGGCAATCAAGTTTGGTTGGTTGTGGTTTAATGGCCGGCTGCCTAGCTAACAAGACAGTAGCCCTCCTAGCTTGTTGCGACTGGGCCTGAGGCCTGTTGGATATAAGAGGAAATTATATCTAAAGAAGATATACATGGAAGACCCAGGGTAGAGATCGAGAGACGGCATATAAAGTGGTGGTTCAACAAAAGGAGTGGAGTGGACATTTCCAGAACAGAAATTAATGGATTAAGACCAGAAAGGTACACCCTCACGTGAGGGAAAATGGTATAAAGACAAAGACCCAAAATTTTGTTTAAAACAGTAAAACCTTGGATTGCGAGTAACTTGGTCTCCGAGTGTTTTTGCAAGATGAGCAAATTTTTTAAATAAATATTAATTTGATAAACGAGCGAGGTCTTGCGATACGAGTAGTACGTGCATAAGCTTTGTCTGCCGAGCGTCACGTGATCACAATATACAAGTGCTTTGGATTACAAACACGTTTCCGGAACAAATTATGCTCGCAATCCAAGGTTTTACTGTATAGCCGCGCCACATTCACTTCAACGATCTAAACCCGTACAACATTCACCATCAAATACAACGTTCAACGTGGACTAATTTTTCTCACAATGCAACGTTTTAAAGAACATGAAGGAGTATATAAAGCCGTTTGCAACACGGATGAGTGTGGAAGGTGGAGAAAAGTTGGCCTTTCCTTTTTGGCCCAGGCGCCCATCATTACGTCGTAGATCTGCATATTCAACAGCGAGCGCAAGTTGGGATCCTGGTGGTAGTGCCACAAGTATTTCTGCGCACGCTTCAGCTCGCCGGAGAAGAGGCAGGCATCAAGGTAGCACAGAAGGCGGTCACGGAGTTCATCCGGATCATTCTGCTGCCTCTCCTGGACTTGCGTCGCCCCCTCGGCCTTGTCCTTTACTACAACCACCGCCTGTCACACACACAACACAGTGGCTTGACAATTAAAACTGTGGTCATTATCCAAAAATGATGTTATTTGCGCGTCCCACATGATGTAGGGAAGGCCGATTGAAATTAAGAGACAGAGATCTTGCTTGTATGTGTTTGTGTCCCACATGACGTCGATTGAATATTAATCAGAACTCCATGAAAACAAATATAGCCACTGTTTTTGAAGATCTTGGTATGCTGTTGCATTTATATGCTATATAAATATAAAGTGGGTTGTATTGTAAATAATTTATGGGATGAAAATAGTTTAACATATGGGGACGAAGCTGGTGGGTATGAAATTGTGTGAAGATACTTAAGCATGCCCGCATTCTAAAACAGATTACACAACAGGTAACTAACAACTGGAAACCGTGCATTCCACCAGTGATGTTGTCAGCTCAACCACTCCACACATTGTGCTGGTTCAAGATGCAAAGCACATGCAGGTTTTACCTTTGCGTCCTTGAGCTTCGCGTCCACCTTGGAAGCATTTTGATCGAGAGCAGTCTGCCTACGCGGCTGCTCTAACGTTTCTGCAGACGCTGCAATGGCTGCGTGAGGAAGGGGCGCTTTCCGTGCAGACGCGGCGTCGGACAGCGATTCAGTGCCACCGTCCCCACTCGCCTTGGTAGGCTGCTGCCGAGAGTTCACTTTGATGGACTTTATCGTGGACTTTGACTTGACTGTGCCCGTCTTTGGCTGTGCGGGACGACTTTGTTTGCTTGCGCTGGGTTCACCTGCATTGGGTTTCACCTTGGTGGGTTTGGAGGCACTGCCTTCGTCGTTACCCTTGACCTTGTCAGCAGGCTGCTTGCCCCTGGAGCAACTCTGTTTAGTCACAACGGCTTGTGATTGCGAAGGCAAACTCTGCGCAGGTTCGCGGGTGGATATTTGCTCCACCACATATTTTCCTTGTAGCTGGTGTTGTCGTGCCTTTAAAACTGCAAAATAAAAGTGATTAATAATTTCCATTTTTCCAAAGTGTCCAAACATGTCTTGACCCATTTGAGAGATCATCTTCCACAGCACATTCTGCTCTGTAAAGTTTATCGATTCAGTTAAAACATCTTTTGTTTTTCCCCACGACTGAATAACACGCATGCCGTTCTTTGAGTACAGCGTCCTGAGGTTCCATCACATCACAGAGATCATTACAAATTCAAATGCTATTCTAACTGCATCGTATTAATACTGGTGTGGAGCTGTGGTACAGTGGCTAGTGACCTGCTCTATGAACGCAGTGACCTAAATACAATTCCTGACCATGGCTCACATCAGTGGCAGGTGAAATCAGAACCGGTCCCTGTCCTCCCCACCTTCCTTCACCAACCCACACTCATCAGCAAAGTAAAGAATGCTAAAACAAAACATTCCATGAATGATTGGCGTGGGGATGCCTTCATTCAACAGTGGATTGAATGAAAGCCTCCCTCCACCGCGTCATTCATGGATAGGGGAGGCCTTCACCCAGCAGTGGTCTGAGAATAATAAAAACATATTTTATTGATTTCATTGTATTTACACCACGTGACAGGTAAGACATGAGAAAAAACGACTGATTAAATTGTAAGCAATGTACACACACATGGGCATGGAGCCTAATGTAGGGATAATTGCTTTTTTACCCTTTTATCTGGCAACAAAACTGACACCTTTTTTTACAAGGAGTCATGTTTGCATAGATCACAATACCTGCAGTCGTAATGTAAACAAAAAGAGACGTGCACCTTTTGGCGTCATCTGGTCTAACACCATGTGAGATGAGGCTCTAAGGAAAGCTGTCTCGGGTGTGGACCAATCAACTTCAAGGACAGTGCACATACATTATCAGAATTATGTTTTTTGTTTGCATTACGACTGCAGGTATTGTGGTCTATGCAAACATGACTGCTTGTAAAAAAGGTGTCAGTTTGTTGCCAGATAAAAGGGTAAAAAAACAATTATCATGTTTTTCTACTGGCAAATGAGGTTCCAATGGTCTAATGTAGGGAGATCACACTCACCCTGAAGCAGCTCCCGCTGGTACAGATGCTTGAGCGATGGTGTGGAGGAAGCCCTCTTCAGCAATGTCGCCTCTGTCAAAACAACAGCAACGTTCATACCGTGTGGTTGAACTTGAGCAGTTGCAAGTGAATGCCATGCATTTATTAAATGAAATGTAGAATGTCAATTCAGCGCTTATGGCATTCTGACCCCATATCATCATGGGAGTTGCCTGACCATATTTAATCACGCCTGGTCAATGCGAGTTGGTGAATCGGGAGCATAGATGTTAGAGCACAGTACAGTACAATAATGCACTTTGCTACAATGGCCACTACTGTCAACGTCCTGTACGCCTTCACCAACCCACAATTACCAGCGTGGAGAAGTATGTTCAATGAGTCTCCAGGACGCCTCATCCATGCATCAGTGTACTCTGCATGTGTTGGTGAATGGGTGCTGCTATGCCCACTGACGCCCTCTGGCGGCCTATGTAGATCACTCTAATTGTGCATATATTATATTGTCAGAATGATTGTTTACATATTCACTACAAGTGCGGTCAATGCCAACTTAATTCCTTGCAAAAGTTTTCTATTTGGTGTTTGAACATCTTAACACCTGTTTTATTGGCAGAAAGGGTAAAACCAATTCTTTTTTTTTCAAACTCTGATCCTGCCAAAAAGGTCCCATTTTGTAGCTGTTCACCCCGAGCTATAAATACCCTGGCAGTGCATTGCCCTTGTCCTGTTCGCCTTTTGGCGTTCTCTGGTCTGACACTGATGAGACTAGGTCCTAAAGAAGGCTGTCTCTGGTGTAGGCCAATCAGTTTCAAAGACAATGCCCATATATTTCAGTAGACCTCCATTGCCAGTACCAAAATATAATAATAGGGTTTTTCCCCTTTTTTTGGCAACAAAACTGAAACCTTTTAACAAGGATTCATGTCTGCATTAACCACAATACTTGCAGTCAAAATGCAAACAAAAAACACACTATGATAATATATACATTGTCCTTGAAACTGATTGGTCCACACCAAGGGACGGCTTTCTTTTGAGCCTCGACCCAATTGGTGCTTGACCAGAGGACGCCAAAGAAAAGGGGAAAACCCCTATTATTATTATTAATGCATACATTATCAGAGCATGTTTGTTTTCTGTTCACAAGTACGTGTGGTTAATGCAGACGTGATTCCTTGCAAAAGGCAGTGGTGTTGGAACATTTTGACACGACCGTTTTATTGACAGAAATCATCAAACCTATTGTTATTTTTTTCACATTGTAATTGTGTTCCATTATCCTCTGGTGACCTCAAACAACTGTGCTGTGGCCTGAACACAAGTGGCCGGTTACCTCGAACACATCGAATGAGATGTTTTAAATAGATGTGTCATTTGAAACGATACAAGGGAAATAATTATCACCGGGCCACTGACATGTCGGAGCATACTTCACCAGCATGGTTAAGTTTGTTCAAACCCCTACGACACGGCGTAGACAGACCCTTTATCCAACAGTTAATGATGCTGGACATTACATAATTCCAATACAGTATTGGACAAAGCCCTACCCACGTCGTGAAGGTCATGGGAGGGTGGGAGGTCATTTGGCCATAGGGGCCGGCCATAAATGACGTCACGCGACATTGGACGATTTCTGACCCCCCCCCCTTCGTCACACGGCGTCACAAAGTCAGACCCCCCTCAAATGACGTCACAAAGCTCTGCCCCCCCCCCCAAACCATAAAACATGCTTCAAATCGCTTTAAACTATTGTCATTGTAGTGCGTATTTAATGTGGCGCTGCACTGTGATGTTGTAGGAGAAAACATTTATTAAAAAGTCTATTTAATTAAGTAGAACGTGTTGTCTATATTACTTTAAAGTTGCGCATTTTGATGTGACGTCACATTTCTCACCGGCCCCCCCCTCCTCGTCACACATCGTCACAAATGTCTGAACCCCCCCAAGATGCGTGACGTCATTTATGGACGGCCTCATACTTCACCACGCTTGTCAATGCGGGCCGATGAAAGCGCTCGGCACAAACGCAGAAGTACAACACAACGTGGTTGTCGCACTGCCCCCCCCCCTCCCCCACAACTCCGCGCTTAAGAGCCACTAACAACAACAAATACACCACCAACACCATCACCACCCACCACCACCCACCGACTGTATAAACTCATCGCATTGCCCTCACCGGGAGCCACGCGAAGGGCCGCGCAGCCCAGACACACGAACACGCGGCCACCGCCGGGCCCAGCGCCTGCGCCCCACGACCGCATCTGCTGGCCAAGCCGCGTGAGGCAGAGCATGGCCGAGGCCGAGGCCGGCGGCGGGGGGGGGATGCCGAGGCGAGGGGGTTCGTGGGGGTTCAGGAGACGTCGTGACGGGGGGTCACCCCCTGGCCCCGCAGCGTGGACATCAACAGCACGTGGGGCCCAGCCGACGAGGGAGAGGGGGGGGGTGTGTGGGGTCAACTTTGACCCCCCCACACACACCCCCCAGCGGGGCACTTTACATTTCGTAGCTCGCACACCCCGTTCGCGGCACCCCATTGGGTGGACGGGCTGTGCGCGTGACGACCGCCGGAGCGCGCCCATTGGCTGAGAGGGCCGTTCGCGCGCCGATCCGCTGTAGGTAATGTAAAGCGGGAGTGGGGGGTGTGGGGGGTGAGAAGCCCAAAGAAATCGATGGAGTCGAGCGAGTCGATGTAGGGGGGGGGGAGCACGTGGAGGTTGTCAAGATCACACGGCAACGTGGTGGCGATTTATCGATTATCTTAAGAACGTTCACGTGACAAATCAGGGGTGGGGTACGGGGGGGGGGTAAGGCAACCAAAACAACAAGATAATTTTTTTTTTATTCGGTTAAAGATTATACAAAACGTTGCTATTATTAAGAACAGCAGCAACGTAAAAAAAACAACCTCACGAAACAGCCCTTAAAGAGGCTAGCATGCGGCTGGTAAACTGGACTTTCAAGGTGAACTGGACTTCCATGGTGATCTGAACTCCAATGGTAAACTGGCCTTTGGGGCCGTCCATAAATGACGTCACGCAATTTCGGCCGATTTTTCACCCCCCTCTCCCCCCCTCGTCACACGACGTCACAAAAAGTCAGACCCCCCCTCAAATATGACGTCACAAAGCTCTGCCCCCCCCCCCAAAACCATATTACCATTTTGAAAATAAAACATGCTTCAAATCGCTTTAAACTATTGTCATTGTAGTGCGTATTTAATGTGGCGCTGCACTCTGATGTTGTAGGAGAAAACACGTATTATAAAGGAGGCGTTGGAAAGCTGAAATTTAACATAAAATTAATTTGAAAATATTCAACGTCTAACTAAAACTGCAGATGTTCAGAATATGATATTGAAATTCTCTTATAATTATAAAATATTAAAAGTAATTATAACCATAAAAAATACTTTAAACGTTGTAGTAGAAAGAAGCAAAATGGAGAGTACAATTATAACAATCACATATTCATCTTCTTGGTTCTTTCGGTAAAGTCACGTAGAAGGGAAGTAATAAAATAATAAAAATAAAACAACAACAAAAATATTATTTTCTTATATTATTATATAATGTTATTTTATTATTATATTATTTTAATATGTTTTATTTTTTTTATTTTATTACTTCCCTTCTACGTGACTTTACCGAAAGAACCAAGAAGATGAATCCCTGCAGTCACGAAAGCTTTAAATCGAAATCACATATTCATGCCACAGAATGAAAAGCCACGGTAGAATCATTAAAATGAAAATGTTTAATAACAATCAATCACAAAATGTATGCTTCTACATTCTCCCATGGAGAAGCAAAATGCTCCTTGTGGGTCACAAGATATCTGGACCACGCTGTGCATAACAAGAACGATTGCGTAACACCACGAAAACAAATACCCTCCTTCCACAAAAACGCACGCGGTTTCATGTGCCCCGATTTCGCGAGCGTCCGAATCGGTGATAATCGACGAATCGCACACGCGGCCTCGTAAAAATCGATTGATTGGTAATTGATGAGCGATTTATTGACGAGTGATTAATTGTAAGGTTCTCGCTCGGAAACTTTCGCCCTCTGTGCCCCGTGGCAGGCCGCACGGGGCGCCACGATGCCCGGCGACTCGCTCGACCCCTTCACGATTCCATTCCTAGCGACGACACTTTGACGCGTCTCGCTTCTCACCGTCACCCACTTGTACGCGATCCCATCAGTTACCCTGCCAGCCAAACTAGTCGCCCAATCAGCGCATTCACATAAAACCCAAGACAGCATTTACATTTTTAACACGTTTCGGTGTCCGTGGAGGAATCGACGAATCGAGGTGCCGTGCGCTCGCCGGCTCCACGTGGGTGAGATGAGGCGGTCGGAGGCGGTGACCCATCCCCACCACCACCCCCCCCCACCACCACCCCCCCCACCACCCCCACGACCCCCACCACCCCCACGACCCCCACCACCACCCCCACCACCCCCACGACCCCCACCACCCCCACGACCCCCACCATCACCCCCACCACCCCCACCACATGCAGAGAGTGAAGCCCGGGACGGAGTACGAACTCTGGAGTTCGGCAGCTGTTCGGCTTCTTGGCTTGCAGCAACAACAGCAGCTGCTGCTGTTGTTGTTGTTGCTGCTGCTGCTGTTGTTGTTGTTGTTTCTGCTGCTGCTGTTGACTTAAAGCGACCGCTGCCGTCTGGAGGAGGGAGGGAGGGAAGAGGAGGGGTCCGTGCTTCGTCTCCGCTCTTCTGCCGCCACTGCCTCGCCGTCGAAAGCGCCGCGGTTTTGTAACGATGGAGGAGGACAAGCAGATGACGGAGTTTTGTCTCAAGGTCCCCAAAGTGGTAAGTGGCGAGCGCTGTTGTTGTTGTTGATGTTGTCACGCGTCAGATCGATCGGCACCTTCGTTCTTCGGTCGCGCTCGTTCCACTGCTCGATGGAGACACTCGGTTCATCTTGGGGCGCATTGGATGCGCGCACTGACCGCGTATCCGTCTTTAGACTGTCGGGGTTTAAGCGATGTTCATTATCAAGTCGTGATCGATCCACTGCTGGATGAGGTCCCAGCCCCCTTCCCAACCTCCACCTCCTTTTCCTTACCCCCCCCCCCATCTCCCGTGATCATTTCAGTACTGTAACAGCACCCGCGCGTAGCACGCGATCCGATTTCATCGCTCCATCTCCTTGGTGCGCGTGTTGCCCCCTGAGCGCTCATGGTGACGGTGTGTCCGCACACGGTTACCCGGATCTAACGCTGTGGTCCACGTGCACAACCCGTGGTGTTGTCAACCCACTGCTGGATGGACGAGGGCCTCCTCCGTTCGGGGTAATTTCACCATATTTCACCACTTTTGCCAGGCGGTGATGGGGGGAGTGCACGGCCCTCGACTCCCCTGAACGCCTATAACGCCAATCTTGCGTTTGGTGGTCGCCCATCCAAGCCCGAGGCAGGCTCACAATTCTTCTGAGCTTCCGAGATCTGACAATACCCTGTTGTCCTAGACTGGCACCCGCCATAGTAATGTGGAATTTACACCATTGATCCTGTAGCCACTGTTCGAATCGGAGCACCGCACCATAGCCCACTTGCAAAATAATAATAAAAAATTGACGGGCTGATATTTTATGCCAGCCCTCCTTGACACAACCACACCATGCGTTCATATAAACTGTGTTTATTTTATATAGCGTCTAAATACAACTGCATCTCAAAGACCCGGCGTTTCCAGCCCTATGCCAAAATTGGCTCAACTTTGGTTTGCTTACTGGAAGTGTGTGCCATACGTCTTGCAGACTATAATACGTAAATACACGAGAGTCGGGGCTTAATATCGTCAGCAGGAGCTTAATATGATCAGCAGGAGCTGTCCGGGGCTGAGCTGCAGTAAAAATAAACATGTTTTGATGCCCCCAATGTAGTACAGTATATATATGTTTAATAGATGCTTAGGTTTGATTAACCAAACTAGTTCTACTCACGTGCACGTGCTTAACTTGTGTTTTAATAATTTGCCTTCTAAAAAAACAAACTCTAGACATGTCTCACACCCCCCCAGAAAGGGCATTTCGCACCCCAGGTTAAGAACCACTGCTCTAGAGGGAGAAAGCAATCAGAATAGGCAGGAGATAATTATTTTATACTCGACTTGAACAGAGGTAAGGGAATCAACAGCACGTACAGCTGTGGGAGGAGGGAGTCCCCATACTGTTGGAGGGGGGGGGGTAGATTGGGGGGTAGCACAGATGAAGGTTCTTGGTCACACAAAACGAGTGGTTGTCTTATGAAACACTCAGCCCTGCCATATGAATGTGCCGTTTCCATCACTGGTTGTGTTAAGGTGGAGTGCTCTTGCCAATAACATCTGGTGATGCAGCAGCATTTTGTTCAACAAGTCTGACTGCTGATGAGACCCAACATTCCGAAACCATCTTCTTGGTTCTTTCGGTAAAGTCACGTAGAAGGGAAGTAATAAAATAATAAAAATTAAAATAATTCTCACGACGTTTCGGCTACAACGCAAGCAGCCGTCTTCAGGTGGTTGTAGCCGAAACGTCGTGAGAATTATTTTATTTTTATTATTTTATTACTTCCCTTCTACGTGACTTTACCGAAAGAACCAAGAAGATGAATCCCTGCAGTCACGAAAGCTTTAAATGGAAATTCCGAAACCAGTCCAGTGCTTGCTTTAACAAATGCTGCTGGATAGTATTGCTCTGGGAAGCGGATAAGCTGTGTGGTAATAATGTTATATTTGTGCATTCGTAAGTGGTGAGACTGAACCGGGGTTCTGCTTGTGTTTTGGTTGCATGATGATGATGATTATTACCAATCGCCCATCCTATGTTGTTACGCGAGCTCTTTATTTCCACTGCCTGACCCCTGCAATTGGACGTCTCAATTGAAAGGGACCCAGGTTTAAATATAGATCGCCCACTTTGTTTGTACCGCGTGTGTGTTGTATGTTTATGCCAGAGTGCACATGTGTACAGTATTGTGTATCTGTGAGTGAGTTTTTTTGCGCGTGTCTTGAGTTTGTCTGGGTATGTGTGTGGTAATAATCTAAATTGAGCTGTGTCTGAGTTTATATACGTAACTATGTGTGTTTGTATAAACACGTGTGTCTTGAGTATGTGTTTGTATGTATGACTGCGCTGCGCTACGAACCCGGCGACCCGAGTTTGATTCCCTCTCACGGCCAGCACCAGTGACGATTATCGAAACTGGCCATGGGCCTCCCCTAGGTCGACTCAGCCTCAAATGAGTGTCTGGTTCGGTGTGTAAACAATCGCCACTGGGGAGACGAAGGCGGCCGGGCGTGGTACTGGCGACCCTTCCCCTCGTGTGCCTTCATAGGTGCTCGCTAACAGCACTTGCTTCTACAATCTGTTAAGGTTGTATGTATGTACTGTGTTTGCCTTTGTGCAAGTGTTCCCGCTATGCAGTTGTATTTAGACGTAATATAATTACGATTTATATTCAAGTATACAGTAATAATCTTCATATATTGCCCCTTTTTGTCGAACCACTCTTGAATAAAGACTTTCCCCACGCAGTGCGTGTCGTAAGGGTTATTTGGCCATACTTTGCCTGTCAGGGGATTCATTGATCATGGATGATGATGATGATGATAACAGCACTTTCCCCACAGTCTATAATGGATTAGTGTTTGAGCCAGTGGTGTGCATCGGGTTGATGCGTGTGATTATCCAGAGCAGCCAGGAATTAAATCGAACAGCGCCTTTAGCTCGCAACAATGAGAACATTCAGTCCTGTGCCTAGCCCTTTTAGTACCTCTAACACCAATGTGGCTTGCCTGGCATAGCCTAAGCACCGTGCTACCAAGTGGCAGGGAAATTTGAAAGGTGCTATGAAATTAGGATATTTGCTGCACTGCCCTTTGCTATGAATCAGAATATTTACTTATACTGGAGGAATCCGATGAGCTATGAAGCTCTTTTTCAGAGGGGCGGGTCAGAACGTACAACAACAAACGATACAAAAATATGATAGGAGTGCAAAGTATAGGAAAGGTAGACAAATCACTTTAAAAATGTATACAAATTAAACTAAACTACGTTTTTTCTTACCGCGTAAAGCCCACCGAGCTATTAACTTCGTTTTCACTAGCTACCTGGCCACAAATGATAGCTCAACAAAGTGGCTTATGTAGAAATTTATAGCAGGAAAATTCCAGGCCCATTCCTTAATTAACCAGAAAGATTTGCCCTTGGGATGGGAATTGAATGGATGTTTATAAAGTTTATTTTCTGGTTGTGGGTTCCGCAAGCAAATGCGGGTCTGGTGCTGATTACATGTGCAGTGAGTCCAACTGAGTCTCAGACGTTCTTCTTCAGAAGCAACACATTTATTACACAACACATATATACAAAAGGGATAGCTGCCCCTTTACCAGATACAGCCGAGGGTGGTGACCACCGCAGCTAACTACACTACCATACAGGAGTTAGGGCTACGACGGACTCGGACTCGGGTCCCGGTCCACGTGTTGGTGCCTCTTCAGATGTAGAACGTGGATCTTCCAGCTTGCAGAACGTAGCAACCCCGGTCCCTCCCAGGGACCCACCTTATATCCTCCCGGGTCGGGGCCGACTCCGCCTTTCGCCCCGCCCACCTTCGAGAGCGTTCCAGCTCTCTCTGGATTCCTCTCGAGAGCTCTCCCCGGACACGTGATCACCCCTGAGCCCCCCCACCTGGGGGCCTCCCTCTGGACACTCTGGATCACGTGCCTACGGGGTCAACCAGAGTGCTATGGCCTGGGGCAACCCTGCCCCTAGGCTGACACTCTCCCGCTCCCTCTAGTGGGAGCCCGCACTGCACGCAATGCGTGGTGCCATCGCTATCCCAGCGCCAGAGGTCGCAACTGGGTACCCGATACCCGTACCCTACCCAATACCCGGCTACCCTGTACCCAGCCGGGTACGGGTACTCGTTTGCGACCCTGGTGCGGCCGGGTACGGGTAGGCCGCGAGTCACTGGTGAGTAACCGTTTGTCACTCATTTCGGGTAGGGTACGGGTACCCATTTGCGACCCTGGTGCGGCCGGGTACGGGTAAGGAATCAAAACCCGTTTGCGACCTCTGCCCAGCGCTCCCCAAGCCCTGCTCGGGCTGGTACTACACCCACCTACGGGGTGGACGCGATGACAGCGCATCGCACGCCATGGCCCTCTAGGGCCGGCACCATACAGTGACATCACCAATGTCACTACACGTGCAAAAGTGCAAAGACGTGTATTGTCACTTTTTTTTTAATAAGCGTCTACGCCCTGGTAAATCGGGAACATTGAGACCTATTCATGTATTCATGAAATGTATTTTATCAAATTAATTTAAACCTGTGTTGGTAAGTTTACAGTTGGTGACAGAACGCATGGAGGATTTATGCTGTGTCGTAAAAAAGAAGTATTAGGTGATGACGCTGGCCAGCTGTCGTTTCTCCACCATGGTTTCAGTGTGGAGTGTTAGTCACCAATGTGAGCATGACGTAAGTAGAATTTCATGTTGGAGGAACCGGTATACTGTATTTGCGTGTAAAATGTAATTAAAATGTACAGGACAATTTAATTTATGACCTCCAGGTATTGGCATGAAAGTTGTAACAAAATATACAAAGGACATTGAGTACGTGATATTTATTTTGAGATTGAACATAACTTATACGGTAAAAAAACACGTCCTTTAATAGAAAGTATTGTCTATACACTGCTGGATTAAGGCCTCCCCATGCCGTTTCGCTCATGGGAATTATTTCACCATACTGCACTGCTCTGGCAGTGTGGGTTGGTGAAGGGGTTACCAGGAGCTGTAAAGCTATCACTCGCTATTGATGTTAGCCGTAGCCATCGCGCAGTGTACCAAGAAAGCCCTGCATTAGCAGCACTCCAACCCGTTTGAATATATACAGTATAATCTAATCAGTCCATTCAATTGTAACGCATTTAAATCATATGTCAGTATGGGGCCAAGTACATTCACCATGGGAAACGAAGCAACAATCTCGTCTCATGTGAAGGGTGCTACGTGAATTGATACATTGCACGAACCGAGGGGATGGCAATGGATTTCGGGAGGCCTTCATCCATGGATTAACGATTGTCCCACATTTTTGGCATCTTTACTCTCCGCAGGAACTGCACGCCCACATCAATGGCTCCATCAGCGAGGCGACGATGGAGAAGCTCATGCACAAAAAGCCGCATCTGAACGTCCAGCACAGCATGACGATGATCAAAAAGGGACAGCAGAGGAGCTTGGAGGAGTAAGATGGCTGCGTTCTCCTTCCACGTCGGTGCCGTAGATATTGGTATCGTTTGTCGGTAAAGGTGCTGCCACTGTGCATTTGCACACTCGACTTGCACTCCAGAGGTATTCGGTATTCGATTCGATCTCCCAGCGTGGCTGTTTCCGCCCCCCCCCCCCCCTGACGGTCTGTGTCCACCCAGCAGAATAAATGGGTGCACTACAGTCGACCGGCAGGTCACACGTGTGGTGGAGTAAAGTGAAGCCAATAGCTCTCGGCTTTACCAGAACATTTTTTAGGGTTTAGTTATATTTGTATATATTTTGAATTGTTCTTTTTACCTTTCCTATATACTTTGCACTCCTATCGTGTTTTTGGATTGTTTGTTGTTGTAACCTTCTGACCTGGCCCTCTTGGACATCTGTGAAAAAAGAGCTCATCGGATTCCTCCGGTATAAATAAATCTCATTCTCTACTCCTGTATCTTCCAAGACGTCTGGCCAGCGTAGAAGAGTAGGCCAACTACCCTCCAGAGGGGTCTCTCTTAAGCCCCCCCCCCCCTCCCAGTAAACATGGAACGTTGGCCCATGTTTACTGGACCCACAACTTGAGGGCCTTCTGCCAGCAGTGGGTGTGAGCGATTCATAGCATGGCTGCACCTTTCGCATCACCCAGCAGTAAGAGTAAACATTGGCTGCACACGCAGCCATTGGCCACCAGTTTGACAATCACTCCCCAGGGCCCTGACCTGCATGAATGAAAGCCAACATGCTTTTGAAGCCATGGCAATATATCACGCGTATTTTGTGGGTTGGAATTTTTTAATGAAATGGTATGGACCTTAAACTTTTGAGGCGGGGGAGGGGTGAACGCAAATGTTGTTAAACTATTGGTGTCGTGTGGTTGATCGACCCAGATGCTATGGATATGATCGCCATGCCATTGGTAATCGTGCAAACTGTAACAGATTTGTGCCGTATTTCTTTCAGATGCTTTGAGATGTTCAAGGTGATACATAAGCTGACGGACTGTGAGGAAAGCATTGTCATGGTAACCCACATTTAATTATCCGCGACTCATCAAATTGCTGACCAGGCATGTAACAATTTATCGATTCTCTAAAATCGATTCTTAACCCTGAAGAGACATGCATCGAATGAATACAACGTGAATTGTGCTGTATTGCTTGTTTCAATTGAATGGGGGCCCATTCTGTAGATGGAGTGCTCTTGTCAATAACATCTCAGCGTTGAACACAATTAACGTGTGGGTACTCTTCCAAGACGTCTGGCCAGCAAGGAAGAAGAGTAGGCCAAGTAGAGGGATACTCTTGAGCTCTATCCCACTTGTGCTATAAGACGGGTCACGGGACAAATGTCCAAAAATCCCTTTTACCTGCTGCGGCTTCCTCTGGTGGCCGGGTGTGTATCCGTAAGTCGTACTCACGGTGGATGTGTAAACCAACACCACACACCGTGCTAGCCTGTGCTCATTAATAATGTCGGGTCCTTTGCAGGTCACGAAAGATGTCATCAGGGAATTTCACCAAGACGGCGTGAAATATCTTGAGCTGCGAAGCACTCCCAGGGAAGAGAAGAGCACCGGTAAAGCGAGCGTATCCAATTGTGTGGATTGGAGCCAATACAAAAACATATATTAATAACTTCAGTGCCATTGTTTGACTAAAAGTAAACTTGACCGGTTTCTACATCATTAACAAATTAGGGCCAATTCACATTGGAGTAAAGAGAAATGTAAGAATGAATGAAATTTTCGTAGGTCAGCCCTCTGTCCCCATAAAGAGTTTTTGACTGCTTTAAAACATGCTTCGAAAAACATTGGTTCTCATGGTTCACAGGCTGATGGACTTAAGTGTCCATTACATACCCGGTTAAGCAAAGCCTTGTTATTGCCCAAGGCTCTTATCTGCGTGTTTCAGATGTTGATACGAGTTGCACATTGAGCATATTTTAGAAGGGTGTTTGTCAAGGATGTTAGTGCGGCCACATCGGGGAAAAACAAACAGATTACCTCTTGTGCAGTCATGCTGGAGCTGTGGCACAGTGGTGGGGCTGCTCCTTGAACCCACCGACCTGGGTTCAATTCCCAGCCTTGGCTAACATGTGGTGGGCGATATCTGAACCTGTCACGGGAACCCTCCCCCACCACCTCCTCACCTTAACCAACGACACAAAATATGGTCGAGTAATCACAAGAACAACCCGGTGTGGTAAGACCTTCATCCAGCAGCGTTTTGATCTTGAATAACGATGATTTTTTTAAATACCCCCCCCCCCCCAAAAGAAATTGGTCAAATGCTAGGACTGAGAATCTTTCTGAAAAAGGCTCCGAGATGCAGTGGAACTTTTCTGAATACAAATGTTTTTTCTTAATCCGTGGCAATGACTTTCTGCTTGACGGTGGCCAGGATTGACGCGCAGGTCCTACGTTGACGCCGTTCTCTCCGCCATACGGCAATCCAAGGAGGAGCTACCGGGCATCGACGTGAGGTCAGAGTCGCAGCCCCCCTACGCCCACACCAGAGGCACGGGTCAATGCAGACATTTCCGTCAAAACTAAAACACAAACGCATCCCGATTGCCGGCGATGCCGTTAGGTTCTTGCTGGCCATCGATCGGCGGAACGGACCCGCGGTCGCCATGGAGACGGCGAAGCTGGCGGAGGAGCACCTGCTAAGCTCGGGTGCCCTCGTGCTGGGCCTTGACATGAGCGGAGACCCCTCGGTGCGTCCACAAACAACGCCCGCCCGCTTCCTTCGTCGCCTGAACGCGGCCCACACACACACACACCACTTGCACCTCTGATTCAAGAGCCGAATGGCTCACAGGGCTATACCTAATAAATGAACTTGCACCTCTGATGAACACGGTTAGCCACGTACGGTGCGAAAGAAGTTCAACATGCATACGTAGCAACAGCAGTGGTGATTCGTCAAGTCACCGGACAAAAATATAACCCTCTTAGAGCAGGACGCTTCAGGAGGCTGTAATGTGTACAGTGCTGGAGGGGGGGGGGCGGGGGTGTGCTTGTTGGAACACGATGATAAGATATTGAGCAATCAAAGCTGATGACACCGTGATATAATTCATAGTATTGCAGGGCCGAAATGTGCAAATTCTAAAATTATCCGCACATTGCTCAATTGATGACATTACACATCGTCCCCGACTTGCCGACATAGGCCTGTTCGCGGCTCCAAATGCCGAGTCGCTTTGTGCCCCACGGAGAGCTGCCACTAGGGGGTGCCCTTTCAAATGTGATCAGATGCGATGTACAGGGTTCTGAAATGCCCCAGCAAAAATAGGCCGCTATACAGGGTGTCTCATCAGTCAGGAATCATCGTAAAAAAAGGCAATACCACTTTTATTCACAGAACGTGCTCAATATGTCCACCATTGTTCCTGATACACCACTCCCGACGAGATACGCAGTCGGCAAGCACACGGTAAATGGTATCAGGGGTAACGGTGTTACATGCGTCAATAATACGCTGCCGCAAATGTTCAACACTGAATTTTCTCCGTGTTGACCAGCGCCTTCAAGTGACCCCAGAGATAAAAATCCAGTGGTGTAAGATTCTCGCTAGCCATTCCACTGGTCCTCTGCGTCCTAACAAATGACCAGGGAATTGTCGGTGCAGGAACTCCCTTAAATGGCCTGCATCAACAAACAAATATGAATGGGTTATTTTTCCCTATGATTCCAGACTTATGGGACACCCTGTTAAAAAAAATATAATTGTATGTATGTTGAACTTCTTTTGCACCGTACGTAGCCAACTGCTAATCAGAGGTGCGGGGGAAGGACAAACTAAACACAAAAATCAGTTCTGAGATCGTGGACCTTTGATTGTTCCGAAACCATTCGTTGATCACTATCTGCCACATTGAGGAGCTGTACTGCATGGGAGGTGCAGTATAAGTAATGATGATGATGATGTTGATTTCACATTTGTTTAGGTTGGACATGGAAGAGACTTTCTTCCCGTCCTGGAATATGCGAAGAAAGCCGGGCTTAAACTGGCATTGCATTTATCAGAGGTGAATTTCAAAGTTGTCTACACATAATAATATACGTTAGTAAGAGGTTTTATGGATGATATTGGTGGCGAAAGGCTACGTGTTGAACTGAATATACATTAGTTCCACATGAAACGTACCAAGTCTATACAGGACCAAGATTGCATAACTAAAATAGAAGACAAATGTGTAATGTTGAAGTCTAATTCAAATAAGCAGTATAAAAGTGGTATAACATGCTGTGAGGAGTTATCAAATTATTAGAATGAGGTGGACGGGAAGAAGAATGTTGATAGATGCCAGCAACAAAACTTATACCGGTTCAACATGCCACTTAAAAACATATTTCGTTTATCAAGCATTACCTTTAGAAATGGCAACTGTCACAATATTCTTGGTTCTTTGGTAAAGTCACGTAGGTAGAAAATAAAAAATAAAATTGAAAATAAATTCTAAATAAAAGTCAATAACACACGTTTTGATCGCAACACAAGTCTTGCGATCGCTTGCAACCGAAATGTGGGTTTTTTTGCTTTTATTTTTAATTTAATTTTAAAAATACAAATTTTTATTTGAAATTTTATTGAATTTTTATTTTCTATCTACGTGACCAAGAATATGAATTCCTGCAGTCACGAAAGTTTTACGTCAAAACTGTCACAATCTTTGCGGGTGGCTGTGGCCAGATCCCAAGCCAGACAGAGGAGACGAGAATTCTCATGGACCTGCCGCCCGATCGGATCGGACACGGCACTTTTCTGCATCCAGACGTCGGCGGATCGCAAGAGATCGTCGATCTCATTATCCGCCATCAAACCCCCATCGGTAAGCTTCAAATCTAGAACCCCATCGGTAAACCTGGGAGGGCAGCGCAGACATGGATTCTTAAAATCTGTGCGCGGCTTTTGAGTGTTACCATCCTGCACGCAAGGCAATTGTTCTCATGGTGGTCCAAGTTTCCTCCAACTTGAAACGGCGTCCATTCATGGAATTGCCCAAACATCCTGAAGCAGCAGCAGCAGCACCTGCCTGGGAGTGTCAGGAGACTGAGGCTCTCCGACCTTAAGGGAATCATTGATCCTAAACCCCCATAATTGGTGGAAACTGCACTTAAAAGCAATCTGCATTGTCAAATGCGGCGTTGCCTTGCATTTTAGACATGGCTGATTTAAATTGTATTGTGCACCATTTTGGTTCACGTGTGATATTAGTAGGCTACCAATTATATGAAAACCAGCCCAAATTAACCCAAAATGTACTGGGAGCTGTTTACATAAGCCCTCTGGCATGCAAAACAGAAATTGAATCCTCGTACTACTGGAGCGGACTAAGCAGCACAAGATTTAAACGTATTTAATACATTGTCATTTTATCCCATTTCTCCATTCCATCAGAATTGTGTCTGACTTCCAACGTGAAGGGCAAGACCGTAGCGACGTACGATCAGCACCATTTCAGATTTTGGTACGGAAGGGGACACCCTTGCATTATTTGCGTAAGTACTTGCTGTAACGCACTCAACCTGGCGAGTCGAACAGACTTTTAAAAAATGTAATCACGGCCACTTATCAGCGCGTCCCACCTACACAACATTCTTTAAATGCCCTGAACTAAAATCTCAAACTTCTTCCTCCAGACCGATGACAAGGGAGTTTTTGCCACCGACCTCTCCCAGGAATATCACATTGCAGCAGACACATTCAACCTCTCCAAAGAGGACCTGTGGAATATCTCTTACCGCAGCATCGATTGCATATTTTTGCCAGAAGGCGAGAAACGTCAACTTCGTGGTGAATGGGACAAGCTAAAGGGATCCCTGCTAAACTCGAACAAGTGAGCAAAGTCTGATGAGGAATGGGCGGGTGCAAACTGCACATTGAATCACATCAAAACGTTTATAGTTTAGTATAACTGTGGTGAAATTATTATCAACATTTCAAAAAACAACATCCAATATATATTTACTCATGTTTATCGTTGAATTATGTGAATGACGTGAACTACTCATTGGATGTCGTGTTAAAGAATGTTATATTTATCTTTAAGTATATTTTGGTGGTGTTAACCCCTGCATGGAGGTCTGTTGTACCTTATATATTCTGTGAGAGAAGTCTCACTGTGCTGCCTATTTACAAACCTTAGATGCGAGATTCAATTGCAGTGCAGAGCTACTGTACCACTGTATTTTAATGACATTTCATATCATGTGTGTCTGTTAACGCATTTTAAAATACGAGTAAACATTTCACCTTTACTTTTCACCTTATGAATGTTTACATAAATGTTATCGCATTCATTTCTACATTAAAAAACACACGGGAAAAACTCCACCGTCTTCTCGTCAATTTAATATGATAGTGCGATAGCAGTCAAACACCGTAATGTTACACGTTTACACTTACAAAATACACAGGCATGTAACTATTCAGCTTGCTTTACAATTCAATAAATCGTCAATTCAGGGTAAAATCCAGTTCAAGAATAATTTTATTTACCATTGTTGCGAATGGGGCCACGGGGTTTACGTCAACCAATTCCATACAACGTAAGGGTGTGCAACCTTTTTTGACGCTGGTCCAAACAATGCGAAACGTCGAGCTCCTCGCAGGCACCCGTGGGCATAAACGTTCACGAAGGTGACATCATGGCAGCCCGTTCGTGTTCTATCTACTGCTACTGCTGACACCACACCACAGGCTGTTTCTGATTCATGGATGGCCCTTCGGTTGCACACCCCGAATGTATCTATGTATGGCTTAATTTCCCGGTCAATATTCGCTCGGTCACTTGTACACCGAAGTAGGTGGCATGTGGACGAGTAGCCACGGCCAAAGTAATACCGGATGCGATGGATGTGGAAATATTTTCCAGGGTCACCAACCCAAACAGGCCTGGCAGAAATGAAATCCCAATCAGTTACATGCCTACTAAATAAACGCAGGCAAGAGTGCCCATCTTTTGCCCGCCACACTTGATGTGGCGTTTCCTCCATCAACCGCTCGTCGTTGGGCCTTCCCCAGCACCAACAGGTGTGGTGGTGGTGGTGGTGGTGGCGGCGCTTGTGGCCACCTCCGCCGCCTCCGCCATGAGCACGGGATTGAGTGGCTGGTTGAGCAGCAGGCGCACGAGCATCGTAACCACCTCATCGTTGAACCCGTGCACCTGGGAGCCCTCGACGGCGTCGTAGAGGCGCATGCTCTGCGTGCCCCAGCACACATTACGCCGTGCATTTCCCCCATCGGTGTGAGTGTCCAGCGCCAGCGTGTTGAGCTGGTAGCAGAAGAAGGAGAAGTGGATGCCGTCGGTGATGACGGCTTGCGAGACGAAGGGCCGCGTCAAGTCCTCGTCCGCCCAGAAACCTGCGATTACGAAAACGGCACAATGAGTTGCCACATTCGAATCGCATCACGGAAAACTGATGGCGGCTGTTTTTGATGGAACAGTGTGGGGGGTCACCGCTCGCTCGTTCCGTTACCTTGGTACATCGCCTGGGCTCCTGTCCAGGCAAAGAGGCTGGCGATGGCGTGAGCCCTCAGCCGCACCTCCACCTGGTCAGCGATGCCCTTTTCAGCCAGTTTCTTAGGGTTCAGCTTGTCAGCCGTGACGTGAAACTGAGTGTGGCCGTAACGGTACGGGTCGTTTATTTTTGCTCCTGGTGTGGGAGGGGGGATGTGTAAGGGAGGTAGTGCAAAACAGAGCGATCTGCAGCTGTTAAACGACTATGTGAAGGATAAGCTGTTGAATCCGAAGCGGACGAGACATTTTTAAAATAAATGTTTAGTGCCACCTGTAAATACCTGTGAATATTTTGTTCTCGAACTGCCTCTTGAAAAGAGGAAGGTGGCATGGATCGTTGGTGTAGCTGGGGACTTCACCATCTATTGAGAGGTCTGAATCAATAGGAATGAACTGCAACGACAAGAAAAATAATAAAATTGTAAATATTTATCATTAGAAAATCTTAAGATACAAAAAAGGGGGATATTATCTGGAATGTCATTTGTAAACAGTGTCATGTGTGTAAATACTGTACTGGCAGATAATGGTTGTCTTAGTTACCAAAGTATTTACATCTACACAACCTTACAGAATTTAACATGGAAAATCTAATTCCTATTAAAACGGCCCCACGTTTGAAGTTCAAACACACCTTTACCACCATTACGTAATGAACTCGCTATAAATATGGACATACTGCACAGAAACCTTCAATGTAACCCACGTTGTGACTTCTCAGCATGAACCATACTGGGGATGAAAATGGTTTGGACCAAGAGTCAAAATTGGCGTCAAATTTGAAGTTGGAATGTTTAAGAGGTGAGCTAGCACATACCTGTCAACCTCTTATCAATGCCTATCTTATGACAGACCAATTCAGACCGTATTGGTCACCCTGTGCCCTTCTAAATCTCAACGTTCATCCTACAAAGTCCCATCACACTGATCAGCATGGTGAAATAGTCAAATAACCCTCTCTCTGTATGGCCAGGCAAAATTCTCATCTCGCAGTGGATTGACAAAGGGCTGTAAATGTACATACACGTATACAAGAGCAATTATGGTCATGACCCCCAGGACTTTGAGAATATGCTTCTCCCAGAAATAATAAATCAATGGAGCTGTGATTGAAAGGCGGCAACGAGCCAAACATCTGAGGGCCTATTAAACCAGAGATGCTTCTGGAATCAAGACAATGCATACATCTAAATTATCATGAAATCAATAACTCCATACCTCGGGCAGCTGCTGCTGCATGCGTATCTGGTTGATGGGCTTGTCTTCAATCTGGAAACGTATGGGTTCAATCTTGCCGCTCCGGTGGCCCCGTGGCACCTTCCTCTCGCCCCGCCACCAGTAAAACCCCACGTCCGGTTTCACGTCTGCAGCAACCAAACCAAAAGTGCATGCAGAAAATTACATTTCAGTGTGTGCTGTGTAAAAAAAACAACGGCATATTTGCAAACCTAAACAATTGGCTTAGAGCGACCCATCACTCGTTTGGTTGTGCTGCGGTAACTGGTCTCCATAATGGGATTCTGGAATTTCCACAGATGAGAGCCACCCAATGGCTTGTTTGAGAGCACACTTTGACAACTGTTTGACTGGCGTGGCGGCGCATGCTTCTAAATCAGTGGAGAGAAGGGTCGGTGGAGCAGGAAGATGTGTGGCATTCCCAAACCTGCTGGGTTGACAGGCTATTTGAGATGTGCAGTCCCATCAAATTCGTTTTTAATCCACGTGTGCGGATTTTTGTATGCGTGCGTTTCCTCCAGGCACTTCGATATCCGTCGGCACGCAAAACACTCAACAACGGAATTGACCAAACAACCCGATTGCAGGATCCTCCTAAAAAAGTCTCAAGATTAATTGACTTTCCTGGACAATTTAATTTACCGTATGGTTAAAATCACGTCTACAGCTGAACAGGCCCCACGATATCCACGTCGAGATAGCTGTTTGGCTTTATCAAGAATCCCAGCAGCATCTTTTAAACGGACTACTCTCGTATGGTTTACAGTCAGAAACCCAAAGCAAGTGTGGAGTTTGCCTGCTAAATCAATTACTGGTACCACTGGTACTGAAAAAGATGTAAACATTGGACCCTATCGAAAATTAGGCTGATACATTCGTCCAAAATGATACTTATGCGTTTACATAGTGCACCAAAACATTGTCTGTTTACTTATCTTATTGTATCCCCCACGCGTATGTCAAGCCACATCCGACAGTGAAGTACTGTACTGTACAATTTGAATGGCACGTCTGCGGTGCTTAATTTCATGCCGCATCCATCTCACCTCACGTCGTCCGAGTGATACTGTGGCAGTGTCAGTAAGGTTACTGTGTGGGAAGATTGTATAGGTGACAATTAAAGCCGTGTTGTAAACGTGAAACATGAGGTGACAATTCGGGCAAAATTACTCTTCTTCGTCGAACATAGCTGACGTTTCGGACAATGGCCCATTTTAGGGCATACAATGTGCTATAAAGGGGGCATTGCTCGAACCGTCAGTCCTGCTTTACATGTAACACCCCTCTCCACCCTAAACCAACTCACGACTCTGTGGTCTTCATTGCAAGGCCGCGCGCGACCCACTGGCGGCCCCTGAGGTGCGGCCTCCTCCCGACAATACACAAATGGTGACAGCAACCCCCAACCACCACCACCATCATCACCATCGTGCTGCTGTCAACCCCAACAACGCTTGTTGTGGCGTGCCATCATGCCGACGATGCCCTCAACACTGCTGTGAACGCACCGATGCAGGCCTCTCCAAGAGCCGAGTTGCTCCCGGCGAGCAAGGCGGTCAGCCTGGACACCAGGTTCACCACGAACGCCTCCACCACGTGCCGCCGCTCGCGGTACAGCGGGCCCCGCTGCCGGCGCACGAAGGCGAACTCCTGGAGAAGGGCATCCCTCACCAAGCCACCGGCCCGGCCCAGCGGCAACGACGACGAGACGGGAGCCGCGAGTCGCTCTGGAAGGCGCTGCACGAAGGCGGTCTTGGTGAAGTGCTGGTAGGGGCGGTCGGCGTTGAGCGAGAAGGTGAGCGGACTCACGACGTACTTGAGGCGCTGCACGCTGCTCAGCATGCGGATCTTCTCGGCGGCGCTCGGAGCGTCCCTCACCCTGGCCCGCGCCTCCTGACGCCTCCGCGCCGCGGCCGCTTTGCTCATGGCCGTGAGCGAGGGGAGCACGGGCGGGTAGCGAGGCCCCACTGCGGCGGTCGTCTCGGACTCCCCCTTCGTCGTCGCTGCTGCTTGCGGCTGCGTTGAGAAGTGGACATGGTGGTGGTGCTGGTGGAGCAGAGGCAGCAGCAGCAGCCGTCGATGTGTTCCGCCACCGACTGCCGCTTGCGTGTTCCTCAACACGTGCGAACAGCGTAGCCCCATGCGCGCCGCCATGACACTCGCCAAGGGCGGCCGGGCTACGCGGACGCAGCGCCCCCGTTGGGCGGATGCAGATTCGCGTTTGACTGCAACGCCACGGATTCGCCACGCAGACTGACGTTTTCAAGTTATCTGGCAAACAAAACTACGTCAGTTTTGTTGGCAGATAAAAGGGTAAGTTTTTTTTTATCATATTTTGCTACTGGCAAAGGAGGTTCCAATGGTGTAAATGCTTACCCCGAGTTCTTATACTCTGATGGTGCATTGTCTTTGAGTTGTGCACCTTTTGGCGTCATCTGGTCCAACACCATGTGAGACTAGGCTCTAAGGAAAGCTGTCTCGGGTGTGGACCAATCAATTTCAAGGACAGTGCATGCATTATCAGAGTTATGTTTTTTGTTTGCATTCCGACCGCAGGTATTGTGGTCAATGCAAACATGACTCCTTGTAAAAAACAAGGTGTCAGTTTTGTTGCCAGATAAAAGGATAAAAAAAACAATCATCATATTTTGCTACTGGCAAAGGAGGTTCCAATGGTGTAAATTATCTCATAAACTTGAAACTTGGTGGTGTGGGTGGGGGGGGGGCTTGAATGCGCGGCAGTGAACGCGCGGATAGGTAAACGCGCGCGCGTGATGCCACGTGCCTCCACTGGGATCAGCTGATCGTGGTTCCGGGTGCAGCTCAGCGCCGTGCAGCCTCGGAAAGGGGAGACCCCCCCCCCCCCAACCACCTTTCCTAGCTCCCTCCTGCGCGTGTGTGTGTGCGCTTCCCTGTCTACCTCTTAACGCCTTACAGATCTCGGACAGTCCTGCACGAGACATGGCGACGGAGCCTCCTAAACTCCTGGAAATAGACGTGAATGCAAACGAAAGGTGAGTTCGTTGGTTGTTTAATGACGCGAGAGTTGTGTTTGAAAGAACAGGTCGCACGAGATCGAGGTGGTTCGATTGCAGTTACCTACTCAACGACGGTGCTCTTTGCAAAATACAATAGAGTCCTGTAGCTTCACCTATTTGATTAATGCGCGTCCTGTCATTTATTTGATTGATTATTTTGTATCCGTCGGCCAAAATTTAGTTCGTTCCTCCGAGTTGTGTAAATTCGAAACGGTTGGATATATGCAATACATGGTATATAAACTTACTAAATAAATATTTGCGCAAAAATAACTTCCGTCCTTTCGAAAATCTTGCTTTTAATGTGGCGGCACACGAGAACGAAGGAGTCAACGTGACCGAGCTGGCAGAGTTCCCGTGCAATGCTGCTGATGTGCCAACGTTGAAAGAAAACGCCGTGCTTGACTTTGTTTTGCAAGGTGTGTGCGTATCCCCAGGGCCAATTGAAGCGCCCTTTGTTGAATATTGTCTACCCCTAAATGCCTCTCCGCAGGTTCTCGCGCATCAAGGCGGCCTTTCTCTGCAAGTTTGGCCGAGCTCCCGAGTTTTATGCCCGAGCGCCAGGTCGCGTCAACCTCATTGGTGATTTTGCGCACACAAAGATAAAGACAAAGATCTACCGTATAGCCTTAACAGACTGTAGGGGCAAGTGCTGTTAGCGAGCACCTATGAAGGCCAGAACGGTACACAAGGGGGTAGGTGGCCAGCACCACGCCCGACCGCCTTTGTCTCCCTAGTGGCAATGTTTACACACCGCACCAAGTACTCATTTGAGGCTGAGTCGACCTAGGGGAGGCCCGGGACCGGTTCAGATAATTGCACTGATGTTGGCCGTGAGCGGGAATCGAACTCGTGTCGCCGGGTTCATTGCGCAGCGCGCTAACCGCTACACTATTGCGCACAGACACGCGTACACACACACAGACACGCGTACACACACAAAGTGACACACACACAGTGACACACACACACGCGTACACACACACGCACACACACAGTCTCACGCGCTGTTGTCGGAGTTTCAAGCCACGTTGCACATTTAATCCTTCGATAAATTGGCGTAAAGAATGGTGGTGATCTGATATACATGCACTACTGTCGTCTTTACAGACTCGGTGGTGTTCACAGGAGCAGGCTGATATGTACACACATTTCCTTTTCTCATATGTAAAATTTGTAATGCAATTAGTCATTACTGACATCTGTGAAAACTACTGGACATATGTGAAAATGAGCTTTATAACTCATCGGATTCCTCCAGTATAAATAGATATTCTGATTATTAACAAGTAGATTACAGTCATTTTGTATATCCACTTCTGGATTGACACCCTGCCCACCCTATGTTGATCATGAGGTCTTATTAGACCATACAGTGCCACGCTGATCAGTACAGATTGGTGGAGTGGGAGGTGGGGAGGGGATTGATTTAGACCGGTTCAGATGTCATTCACCACTGATGTTAGCCGTGGCCAGGAATTGGACTTGGGTGACGAGGTTCATAGCACAGTGCCATAACCACTACCGCCGTTCCCCTTTGCAGTTGCCAACCTGTTAACCAGATTCTGTGTTTGGGAAGTCTGCCTGCCTGCAACTGAGATGTATGCATCACATTTGTTAAAAATCTGATACATCGTCACGTGAGGCCCATATGCTTATGAGCTCAGTCCGGTAAACCTGTTTACGACGCACAAACAAAATATCACATGACGCCAGGTCGTTATGGGGGCAACTTTATAATCCAAGTCAGCTGAACGCAATGAAAGTACTCTGAGTAGACAGTGCTGTGGGTGCAGCAGTCCATCCAAGGATCGGTGCCACCTCTGGGTTCAGAGGTCGTCACTCAGTGCAGCATCCTCCACTCTCTCGTAATGTTCCACGTGCCCAGCTGGGTTTTTTCCACCTCAACGCAGTGATGTCATCCCACCAGCAGTGGGAAGGGAAACTGCAGCTAATGGCAATAATTGCACACATGCCTCACTCACGTGGACGGGCAGGAATGTTGACACGCAGGTGTGTTTTCTTGTTGTCCCAAAGGGGAGCACATCGATTACTGTGGCTATGCCGTGCTGCCCATGGCCATCGAGCAAGACATCGTGACAGCGGTGGCTGGAAATACCTCTGGAATTGTCAACTTGGCCAACACAAACTCCGTCTACCCGTAAGCCGCATGGCATTGCTTGAGACTCGCGGTGGGGAATCCTTTCCTTACTGTGGGCCAAATCGGACTTGCGAGAAACACATGAACACACCGTCTCGGTTAATGCAAGAGGCTATTGAAATGACTGTACATATTGTTAGGTCTTTTGGTAAAGCAGCTTTCCCGCTATTTTTTTCTCCTGATGGCGATTACTTGTGTTGCGAGCGAAACGTCGTAGTTTTTTGTTGTTATTTTTTTATTTTCTTTGAACCTATCTACGTGACTTTACCGAAAAAACCAAGAATATGAATTCCTGCAGTCACGAAAGCTTTAAGTCACAATATGACTGAACATGCTAAAATTATCCGAGTCAAACACATGGTCCCTCTGGTTCTAGATCATTGCAGCTAAGATGCTTGCTATGATAGATATAATTTCGAAATTGTAGGTCCCAAGTGGCAGTGCCCTATGAATGTTAAGTCGTAAACTGGATACGTTCCCCACCGCAGTTTGTACACGTGGTCACGCGTCAACCCCCAAAATAAATCATGCAGTGCCACCTTGTGTTAAAAAAAGTTTTTATTGTATTTTTGTAACCACTAGATGGCGCTGCAGATTAAGAAATGTGAAAACTATGAAAGTATTTTTTTTTGCTTCAGTAAATTTCAGTCGAAAAGAATCATTACTTTAACCTTCAAGTAAGAATTAACAAGAAAAAAGAGATTTATTTTATTAAAGGTAATTATAGGAGTCAAAGGAACCCCCCCTCCGAATGTGTGTATATATATAAACACATCATAGCAGTCCACTAGAGTGGGGTGCAATTAACGTTGATGCGCCTTCTTTCTTGCAGTGATTACAATGTTGCTGTGGATAAAGTTGTGATAGACAAAAGCCAGCCACACTGGTACTACTATTTCCTCTGCGGATTTCTGGGATTGAAGGTACGACGCGCATCGCATTGCTGGTTTAAATAATGCACTGCCCCTTGGCAAATCCACTGCCAGATGAAGGCCTCCACATGACACGTGGGTCTTGGTGGTTGTTTTGACCACAAACCACCTCACCAGTCAGTGTTGGTGAACAAGGGGAGAGCATGCAGGAACCAAGTCAGATATCACTCACCAATGATGCTTGCCCTGGCTTGCAATTGAGCTCTGACACAAGCTTCTTAGTGCAAGGCACGCTAACCACCGCACCACTGCTTTCCCCAGTTAGACTATAACACAATATCGGGTTTTAATTCGGTCTGCAAAATGCAGCGATTAAATTATTTTTTTTTGTTACGCACGCAATACATTTGTTGGATCTAATGTGTGAGAATGTACTACTTTCGATTATTAATATATATTTAAAAAAAAGATAAAATGCTTATGTTGCGTTTTGGCTAAAGGAGGAAAGAAACATGTACAAATGGGATGGAAAATGATAAACGGCACAAACTATTCCTTAAAACTTAGACAAAAAGGATCTATTCTTGCAGTCAACGCCATCCCAAAATCATCACAATTGTTCACATCACTCGGGTGGTGAATGTGATCGCCAGTGGCCATGTGATAGATAAATTGCGCCCCTGCTGTAAAAGCGTGGGAATTTCACCACTGACTCAAGAGCTATCAACAGAGCTGAGCATTGTTTCAATGCTCACTTAAGGATGGACACTGACTAATTTTAGATTATGTGAATTGATTAAAGCAATTGCGATTGAGCAAATGACTATAATTTACACTTTAAACGCACCAAAAACTAATAGTAAACAAAAACCGTCATGGCTTGGAAAGGTACCTGAAAATGTAAGGTTTCACAAACTTGCTCTGCTGTTTTTTTGCTTTTGCTTTGGTGAACAATTTATGAATGTCAACGTGTGCTGCTGGGATTGCTCACAGGAGCACCTGGGTGAGGTGACGTGCCATGGCATGGACTGCCTCGTGGATGGGACCATCCCTCCCAGCTCGGGCCTTTCCAGCTCCAGTGCCATGGTCTGCTGTGCCGGCCTCGCCACGATGCACGCCAACCACAAGAGCATGTCCAAGGTGAGGCTGTGTTCAGGCCAGAGCTGGCTGGGCTGTCTGATTATTAAGTAATTGATTACTCGACCATAATAAAGTTTTTTTGGGGGTTGATCGCGTAAATATTAATTTCTCGTGAAACCCACCATCTAACCCAAAAAAATTCTGCTTTGGATAATATTGATCGCAAAAGCCTTCATGTTAAACTGATTACTCTACTGATTATTGGTTCGGTTATTTGACTCGTCGAATGAGTACAACGTTTGTTCCTACAGTGTATTGCTGTGGACGGGAGGTGATGGGGGGCAGGGCTTGGTGATGTCATTGGCTGCCGTCATGCTGGGTGTGGCTTTTTTATCAAGGGGCCTGAATAATCAACCACAACAAATATTTTATTATAACTTTTAGTCGATTGATGGACTAATTGTCCCAGCTCTAGTTCATTCTGCAATGGCACATGCAGCTGCCTTAATGTGAGCTGGGCAGTTCATGGCATTACAACTGTCGACTTTATTTGTACACTGGTGAAATGTTTTGATTGAGTGGGCTGACATTTATTCAGTGCCAGCAGCATTCAGTAGGTTGAAGGGGGGGGAAAAAACTCCCAAAAAATTCCACATTTTCCCTACTTAAGACACTATATTAGTTGTGAAATGAGCCATTATAGCAACAAAAATATACTTAGTCACAATGGTGATTGACATTTTTTAGTACGTTTTTTTCTTCTTTTTAAAAATGTGCTACATGCTTGCAAGTGATTTATCAGTAGGCGCATTGTTGGGCAAATAGTGGTTGAATCAGCCAATTCGTACATCAATTCCATAAAAAGTCACTGTAACTGGAAGAGAACCCAGTATAAAGAGATGAAACGGACTCGCTGTTTGTTCGTCGGTTTCACGAGCGTATCAATGCTTGGGTCAGGCAGGTCTTCAAAGAAGGAATTTTTTTTTGCCACATAATCGACCATCAAAGCACCAGCATGTTTTTATCACACAGCCAACACCAGGCAAGGCTTTGCCAGGGCTGACTGACAAGATAATATCGGTGCGCTACCATTGTTCGGGGGGTGGTTTGGCTTGAGAATGAGCGTTGTGTGCCGTTCCCAGTGCGCCCGGCCGCTGGCAGGGAGCGCTCGTTTCCACGTGGGGGCCACCGTCAGGCCAAAGGACCCGACGGGGTCTTCTTGCAGTTGCTTCCCACATTGTTCGGGGGGGGGGGGGCTTTTAGGGGTCAAATTGTACCTCCGCTCGGATCCGACCGTTGTCGTCGTGCGCACGAGTTTTAGACTGTGGCGCTCGTGAAACGTGAGTGGCCGCGGGATGAAATGTGCCCGCCCGCTCTTAACCGCGAGATGACTTTTTATCGCCCTCTGGGCTACATGCGGCAAAATGGAAAAAGTTTAATTACCAACACGTTGGTGGCTTGTTAGCCTGGCAACCAAATAAATAAACAAAGCAAGCGTCTGCCCAGCCATTGAAATGTCTTCTATTGCCAGTGCTAATGCACAGAGGGGCACAATGGTTTTTTTCCATAAATAACACTGGCTTACACGTGCACGAGGCCATTGAAGACGAATGGAAATGTTGCCGCAAATTTACACAATGCAGTAATTGTTGCATTGTTTGCGGCCCTGCCACCTGTAGTCGTTGCTTAACCTCGCAACATCTGCGTGTCGGCCGTTGTTAAAAAAAGAAACTGTGATTGCAGGTTACGCTGGCCGAGGTGTGCGCGCGCTGCGAAAGGTATATTGGGACGGAGGGTGGAGGCATGGATCAGTCGATCTCATTCTTGGCTGAAGCGGGAAAGGTAAGAGAATGTGGGGGGGGGGGGCGCCACAGACTACCAAAGCGTAATGGCATTGATGATTAATAAACCATATGGGGTACTCGACCCCCCCCCCCCACACTCATTTCGATGAGTTGCAACAATTTAACAATTTGTAGTCACGATGTGGTTAAAAGTGATGTAACTTTGCATCTCCATTCTATCTCGTTTGTATTTCCCTCATTCTGTTCTGGTACGTTCGCCCGAATATGAGATTACATTATAATTGTCATGAATTTCACGAAATAAAATCTTACCTGGACAATGCAATCCATGTATCGTGAGTAAGAACCTATTTAATCAAACATGCCTAATTGTTGGGGCTTAATTTCAGCCTGGTCTGTTTTGCTGACGAGCCGGAAAAAACTGTCATCATTTGGCTTACCACATCCAATATACCTTTCAGTATAATGCTCACTATGGCTGTACCAGTGAACCAGAAAATATTCAATGAGAAATGAAGCCCTACTAAGAAGTTAGGCACACTATACATAAATATAGCAATATTCCACAAACATATCCTAACACACACTGTGTGAAGTGTTTCCTGTGACATTAACACGAGGCCACCTTGCTGCTTTTCCGAATATCACTGCAGTATTTAGTCTGCAGCTGAACTCGTTTCAGCCAATAGGAACCTTGCCGAGACGCACGCAAGGCGGCCAAACACGCCTCGGCCTCTTGCGCCGCTTAATAATAATAATAGTTCAATTTGAAACGCGCGCAAATTTTCAGACGTAGTGGCCGCAACTCAGAGGCGCGGAGCCAAGCTCAAAGTCGCTCGAAAGCGTGATTGTAGAGGTGAGTTTTTAAGTCTCTCTTGAAGGAGGCGATTGAGGTGATGCTGCGAATGTGCAGAGGGATATCGTTCCAGACTGTTGGGGCTGCCACCGAGAAGCGGCGCATAGACACGATGACCATCCTGGATCTTGGTATCAAGAGGAGGTCGTGAGTCGCGCTGCACAGGCATCTGCCGTGTGCTGAGCTGCAAGTTGTCAATAATGAAGAAAGGTACGGCGGGCAGGCAGATATGAAGGCATTGTGGCAGAGGCAGGCGATCTTGTATGTGACCCTACTGGCAATGGGGAGCCAGTTGAGAGCATGGAGACAAGCTAGTGAGTCTTCTCCCGGCCTGCGCCACGGATGGACGCTACTCCGCAGCGCGGCCCTTGCAAAACATCCCGAGGGAGAGCGCGCGCCGCTGCCTCCGCTCGCGAGGGCCGAAACGCCAGCGGCGTCGGGCGAGGAGAGAGTGCCGTCGTGTATGCCCGACGGTCATTTGCCATTTTCCTCGTCAGGCGAAACTCATCGAGTTCAACCCCCTGCGCGCGAGCGACGTGCGCCTGCCGGGAGGCGCGGCGTTCGTCATCACCAACAGCCTCGCGCAGATGAACAAGGCGGCCTCCTCCCACTTCAACATGCGGGTAGTGGAGTGTCGACTTGCCACCAAGGTACTGGGGCCGTTGTTTTTCTTGGAACGCAGATGCACCGTGTCCAACGAGATCACAACACGAGTCGCTCCTCTGAAGCTTTGTTGTGAAATCGAGTTAAAAACAATAAAGGGGACGCGAAACGATGTTTTATAGTGGCTCTGCCGGCTGCCGCAGTCTCACGTCAAGTGTGTGAACGCGCTGGGATGGAAAGGGTCGCGGGTGCACATTCACGGACGAGCCGGTTTTCATTGGGTCGAGAGCTGGATTCCCACAGCCGACGGGAAATTTTACGCGGGGCCGCTGTCAAAGCGTGCTGGTGCCTTGTCAGGCGGACATTAAAGACCGTGTGACACCATTCAAAATATTAGGTAATATAATGCCAGAGCCATTGCAGTCCCAAATGACAAATAAATAAAAAATGTCTCCACTAGAGTTCACACATTTCATAACACACTTCATATGACTACAGGTACCCAGATATTCTCTTGCGCAAACAATAATGCACTCTCACAAGGTTATCATAGATGGCCCTATTTTATGCAAGAAAGACTACGAGGCTCAATACTTTTTTTCTTCAAGATGGTCCTGCATTGGTGGGGTCGTTTGGAAAAATTCCTGAATGAGTATTGCTTTCATACGGGATAAAACCTGTGTGCCCAGAGAAGGTATTAAATGTTGCATATAACCAACATTGTGTACTTTTGTTGCGGTTGCACCCGATTCAAGAGCCGAATGGCTCACAGGGCTATACCTAATAAATGAACTTGAACGTATACTCAAGCGTCCCGCTCTCTTTGCTCTCGCCATCTTACGCTCACCCTTTCAGCCTCGCAAGTTGCGAGGCCCTCGCACAGTGATCTCTCCGTTTACCAAAAGCAGAAATTGTCTCTGCTATGAAGAAGGGCCTTTGCCCAAAACATCACCTAATACATATATATTTTCCCTTTTTAGGCCAGTATTATTGAAAAGCATTTATTGGTGCTTGCACACCACTTCCAACGCAGTATCACAAACTCGAATTTCTTTGTTTGCCACCGACTTTCACTCTGAGTGCTCTGGATTGCCGGCGCGCGCAACCGCGTCCGGCACACTGTGACGCCGAGTTGACTTGTTGCCGTAGGTGATGGCCAAGACCAAGGGGCTGACGTGGCGGAACATCAGCAAGCTGGGAGAGCTCCACGACAAGCTGGGGCTGGAGCTGCCCGAGATGGTGCGGTTGGTGGAGGAGACTCTGCACTGCGAGCCGTACAGTCGTGACGAGGTTTGCGCCCTGCTGGGCATCGCCTCCGAAGAGCTGGAGGCGTCCGTGCTGAGCGAAAACACTCGCGACGGTACGCGCGCTCTGCGCACTCTGCACACCCGGTTTTAGGCGCTCGGGAGGGCGGTTTTTACGGAGGTGTCGAAGTGGTTTTTACGTAGGCCTCACCCCAAGAAACATTGTTGAGTGTGTTTGGCCGATCAGATTGTGCTTCGGTAAGTGACGATACTCCACAACGGTCGACTGTCACTTACGGAGTGGCTCGTTCAAACACACCAGCAACAATTTGGTCTTGAAAAAGAAAATTCGCGAAGGAACCAAACTACATTTACCAATTCCACGTTAACGGTCAAGTCAGCGCCCTACATTATCTTTATACAAGTGTTAAAAGAAGAAAACTATTGAGTTCCTTTGATATTCATGACATCGGTTGGAGGGTTTTTGGAAGGGCATATGGTGTTCAGTTCAGGGCAAACCTGTCCCTCATGCGTACAGGGCAATAATACAACACGATTTGAACAAATAGGAAAATACAGGCCACAACCACAGATGTATCATGCAGAGTCTATAACTTTGGGGCAGCACTTCTCTCCACTGATATCCCTGAGGCATTGGTGTAAATTCCACATTTCCATGGCAGGGCCGATCCATAGAATGGCCACTTGCTGATTTTATAAACAGTGGAAATAATTGTATTGACCCTGGAGGGATGATAGCCCGAGTTGACCCTGAACTGATATTTCAACTCCGCAACCTTCCGACTGCGAGTCGAGCGATCGAATCGCAGCGTTTCCCCGACCGCTGACGGATATTATGAAATGTCATTTTATCATTCTTACCCACTAGGGGGTGCTTGACAGTTCGTGTCTTTGAATGAGCACTTTTTTTTTTTAACCACACACATCAACACACCGTTTGGAGTGCCCGCCCCGTGCAGCCCAGGTGCTCAGCTGGGCATCTAAGGACCTCTAGTTTGAACTTGGGTTCTAGCTTCTTTTGACACTTTGCCATGGCACAGTGTCAAATGCCACGGAAGCTCTCAGCCCCCCCTTCCCCCCCCCCCCCCGAGAAAACCTGATCATCTCCAAATGCTGATCTGTCATCTCTAAATGTTGCAGTCTTTTATCCCTAGCCAGTTTTGAGATCTAGGAGGTTGTACTTTCCCCCTCACTCCCCTCCCCAAAAAGCTGGGGGGAGAGAAATGAAAAGGAAAGGAATATTATTAAACCAAAGGTATTTTCGGACAACCTTCTCGAAACACGATCGTGAAAAAAGATGTGTCCAAAAGGTTCAGCCATTGCACGTCAAATCATAACCCGAGTCTGCATGCACCTCCACAAGCGTGCGCTCGCCACTCATCCACAGATATGTACACAGGTACACCCACACCTTACCTCCCATACCAACGCACACCCAAAACCAGTGTTTATCAATGCAGTACAAAGTTGACCTTTAAGAAACCATTTGCCTCCTGTAAACTTCGAGTCTTAATTCATACTTGAAAGCTAGAAGTCAGAATATTCCCTTTGAAGTTGCAAAGCTAAAATTAGTTCAGCTTGTTTCATTTTTTTTTCATCACTATGACCACAGCAAAAGCTGGTATAATTGAGAAAGGTTTATACGTTGAAACAATTCTAATCCGATGAGCAAGGTTTGCTTTAAAATATATCACTTTCAACCCCCTGTCCATGCATTGCTGGATTAAGGCCTCCACACGCCACATGGGTCACGGGTGTCGTTTGACCATACTTCTCCGTGCCTGGCCAGCGCGAGTTCGTCATGGGGGGAGGGGGGGCCCAGCACAGGCTCACATATCGCCGCTTGCTACGGATGTTGGCCGCGGCCGGATACGGAACTCCTCCGCACGACGTTTGCTTTATCCCAGGCGTGGCCAATTTTCCCTGCTAATCAGCGCGCAAGTCTCTCGCCGTTGTCTGAAACCCATCCCGACATCAAAGAGGCAGGAGAGTGCAATAAATGTAATTCGCAGTGCAAGCATCAAAGGCCACAGGAAGCAATCTCCCCGCACAAAAGTACATTTACCATTGTTATTGTATTAATTTATCGCGCTGTATTTATACGTGCAATGTTAATTTCCGCTTCACCGTGTTATGAGCGTCGTGCCATCTCCAGGGGCTCAAGTGCTTCCGCGTGCAATGGGAAATGATTTCGGTAAATGAGGAACGTTTGTGAGTTGGTCAGAGGATCACTTGTTTTTTCAAAGCTTTATACGGGTCCCACCTAAAACGTAGCCCCGGAGTCTACAAGTTTACAACGCAGCCGTATAAAATAACCACTTGGGCATAACATTTTAATGCTCCCCCCAGAGGCTACGTTTCACTGTAAGACGCCTTACAATTTAGCTGCTTACATGCAGAATTACAAAAAATGAAGGTGAAATACGATTTCCCGTAACAGCATAACACTTGTTCTGCATCAACACATGCTTGAATGCAATGTACAATTGGTAAAGGTGGGGGGGGGGGGGTATTTAATGAGCGTGTTGTGATGGGCCTCTGGAAGTGATGTAATCCCATCCGCCGCAGCCGTGGGAGTGCTGCCAATGGTGATCGTCCCCAAACGCCGGGCAGGCCGAGGCGGGCCACCGGTTGTATTTACGCAGCATAGCAAAGCATTACAAGTGCGTTTTGTTCACGGTGTGTGTGTGTGTGTGCGCGCGCGACCGCCCTTGGGTGGGCAGCTCTATCTGTGTCTCAAATACCTGCTTCGGTCGTCATCACAGGGAAGGTATGTTCACTATGACTGGCAAGCGGGAGCTTGTCGCCCGTGCAGGGGGTGGGCTATATTTAGCGTTGATTAAAAGCCACCACTTTTACTTGGCCATGTTCCTCACATAGGCCGTGTTAGGCGTCGGCTGCACCATTTACGAACGTGGCCGCTCTCGCCTTTTCGCCGTTTTGACAATCGCCGTCGTTAGGTGCGAGATTAGTGACGCTGGCACTTTAAAAAGTGGCAGCTCCTCCAGATAGCTTGTGTCAAACCAGGACAAATGGGCGCAGGCGGACAGGTTAAGAAGAACCGCGCGCGCGCGCTCTCCACGGCTTGTGTGCGCGCGAGCGAACGTACGACGTGCGCTTGTTTTCATCCCTTCCAGCTAACAGCTTCAAGCTGTATCAGCGAGCCAAGCACGTGTTCGGCGAGGCCGCGCGGGTGCAGCAGTTCAGACGGGTCTGCCAAGAGGCGCAGAGTGGGAGCGACGCGGAGGTGATGAGCAGCCTGGGCGAGCTAATGAATGACAGTCACGCCAGCTGCCGGGACCTGTACGAGTGCAGCTGCCCCGAGCTCGACAAGCTTGTCGAGTGCTGCCTGTAAGTGTGGCCCCGTCCAAGTCGCCTCCTCCACGAGCTTCTCAACATCCATGCTCGTTGGAGCCAGTTGTCCGCATCTTTGCCGGTCAGGTTACCAGTACTGACACTGCCAATATATATTTTAAAAAAGGTGCATCCTTTATTTAGAGAAGGAGGGTCGGTTTGTTGCCCACGATTTGATTGTTAGCTAAGTTGAGATCCAAGAAGCTTTTTTATTCAAATCGTGCCATTAAACTCATCAACACCCAAGGGGGGTTATAAAAAGCCTTTTGCTGTGCAAATCCAATATTTATGCATGTGTTTTATTCAGCAACTTGGCCACAGATGAATGACGCATCCTGCGCATGTAACAAGTTATTTGTCTCTCTCTCGCCCTTGCAGCAAGAGTGGTGCCGTGAGCTCGCGCTTGACGGGCGCTGGCTGGGGAGGGTGCGCCGTGTCTCTGGTGCCTGTCGGGGAAATAGAAGCCTTCCAGTTGTTGTTGAAGGAGAGGTTTTACGTGGAGGCCCCACACTCTCGGCTCTTGGCATACAACAGCATGTTTGCGACCCAACCTGTCATGGGAGCCGCCCTCTACAAAGAGGCTTTGTGAATAGGGGTCCCCCCCCCCCACTTGCGGCACAGAGCTGCTGTTGCCTGTTACACGCGGGGGCCACGTGTACACATCCACGTTTTACTGGAAGTTTCCATTCCCAAGAAGTTGGTGTGTTGTGATTAAGAAAGAAAAAAATCTTCATATCTGAGCAAATTAATTTCATGGTTTTTTTGGGTCCATTTTCCTGGATATAATTTTTTTTCACAATGTCCACTGGGAAATAATAGCGCAAGGTGTTTAAGGTAAATAGGTTCAATATATGGCACACGAGGCAAAATATTGGTGGAACTGGCAGTCGGTTAAGCTTGTTTAAGTAAAAACAATCTACGCACATTACAAAAAGATCTCTCCTGCGATTTGAACAGGGTCGCGCGCTTTACCGACTTCTACAGGTTTGTGTTGCCCTGCCCGTGGCTTGTTTAGTATTCACGCAAACACTCCCATTGTTGAGAAATCAATACTTTCCTGCGAGAAATTAGCAAGCATTAAGGCTTTTTTTTTCGTGTTTCATTTTTTGCCCCGGCGCTTTTCAGAGCGGCAGGGCGGTCACATGTCACGCGCCCAGTATAGCGGTTTGGACGGTAAAATTAGAGCGTTTTCAGCGATGCTACAGTCCTGTCACATGAAGCCCCCCCCCCCTCCTACCTCCGGCTCTGGGTGCAGAGTTCATGGGAAAACGCAGGGCCCCTGCTGCCAGATCAGACGTAGGGGAAACCCGATTCCTTGTTGTGTGTAATTTAAGATCGGGGACTTGGCGGACGTTGGGGGGGGGGGGAGGCAGAGAGACCTGTATGCTTTGGACGTGGTTGGACACGGCAGGTAGCCCGGCCCGACAGTCGTGGGTATAAAAACGCCGAGGCCGCTGGAGAGTAGGTGGGTGGCTTTGGGGGTGAGCTCCTGGTCGTCCCACTCTTTAACTTCTCTCTCTCTCTCTCCCTATCCCTCTGAGTCACCCAATCTCTGAACTACCTCTTTGTGTGTCTTTACAAACTGGCTGAATGGGGACAGCGATTGAGATTAAAGGATGATTAAAGGCCTGGGAAACGTGAAACAGTGTAATGATTGTTGTAATCGCTTTAATGAATGTAATACTGTGGTATGTGTTACCTTCATGCAGAGGATTTTGGTGTATACATACTTATATTTTTAGAAAGGGGTAACGGTTTTTAATAGTCTTATTGACAATTCATTTTTATAAATAGTTCACAACTAGTGATTTGTCAATTTGACATTTAGAAATAAAATCAATAATTTCAATGTCATCTCTCCATTGGGGAGGATACGATTTGTTTAATCTCTGCGATGTCACGATTGCTTTGCATGAGTTTCACAAATTAATACATCGAATAAAAATCACGTAGAAAAAAAACAACAACACTGTGTTGCCGACTTGCTCGTGTGTTGTTTCTCGTCACGTCCCATACGATTTCAACAGCCACCACCAAAAACGCATCGATTGCAGAGCTCCCAAATTGACTTCCAGCGTTGCGAGCATCTCACCGAGGGCTGGCCTCTGCTCCTGGGTGGCGTACGGGCGACCTCCATGCCACCTGGGTGCCCTCGCTCGCCTCATACGTCGCCTTGCTGCGGTGGAGAAGGTGGCGGAGGAATAAGGGGCGGTGGAAGGTGGTGGGGGGGTGGGAAGCTTTGTTAATAAAAACACGTTTTTCAACAATGACACTCGGATGACACTCGGGTCTACAATGACACCCTCGCGTCTACAACAGTTACGAAGTTTTGCAACGGTGTAGTATTCGTGCCGCCGTGTGTAAAACAGCCCTCGCGACAAGAGCGTACAATGGACGTTTGCCTTTTTTCCTCCCCCAATCCAGAACCCCCTCCCCTCCCAATCCCTATCGCTGTTTAAAAATTTGTGCTAAATATTTTCGCATTAGCTCACAGATACCTCTAACGCAGTGATGGATTTCCAAACAAGGGCTTATTTGATTTGCGGTATTTGTAAAAACCAAAGTGGAGCGGCGTGAAGTGTAAACACGGACTGAGAAACAACCCATTTGTCTTGCAGCTGTGCGCCTCGCCTCCGTGGCCTCGCTGCTGCTGCTGCTGCTGCTCTGGGATTCTCTTCACCATTTGTTTTTTTTCGCCGTATTCGTTGGCCAGATATTTCAATGGCAAGTGCCCCACGTACGGCGAGCATCACGAAACAACATATGTGTTCAAGTCGAGCACGAAACCATTTACCTTTATAATAGGATTTTAAAGGCTCGGGACTTGAAAGGCGTCAAATTGCGCGTATTAAATATGGACATCTTTACACAATTGTGCACGGTGACAAACACATTGCTTTGAACGCCCCTACGCGTCGCTTCAACCGCGACAAAGTTCAACAAAAAATGGTTAAAGTTCCCCGCAGCGCAACATTTAAAGCCGGTGCGCGATTGGGCGGTTTCTCACAGTTTGCTGTGTACAAAACCTGCCAAAGCAATCGGCGGAGATCAATAAAGACGTCACCGTCTCTGTGACCTGCGAAACAAAACGGCGCAGGTGGACAGCACAAGTAGCCTCCCGATTTTTCGAGCGGTCCATTTGGGGGGTGGGTGGGTGGGTTGGTAGGAGGAGGAGACAGAGTGGAGGCGGCACGGTTAATCCCTCCCGAGCCGAGGCACGGCGTTACTGTTAAGGTGTGGTGATTAGCGCAAAGTACAGGATACCCGATAGTTTCCCATTCAACCGCTCGGGCTGCTACATTGTGCTGGGGCCCTTTCATGTGTTTCTTCAACCAAAAAAAACCGGCTCATAAACACACAAACAGGCGTACGGGGCAGGTGATAACCACCGAAAGGACAGAGGAGAGAAAAAAAAAACACGGGGGCACCAAAAACATCGCCCATTTTTTTCACAAGTTCAATGGACTTCTGGTATTTTTCTGCCTCTTCACCCTGTTATTTAGGGGAAAAAAACTTCAAATAATTTTCGTCCTTTCAGCATGCTATTTATTTCGGTAAGCTGCGCTCGTGATGGCCGAAGCCAATGATTGCTCTGCCCGTTGCCATATTTTACAATCCACATCAAACGCAGCACCTTTTCCTCCTGCGTGCAGATCGAGTTCTCGTCTGTTCCAGCGATCTCCGTGCGCGTCCTGTGAAACATCAAAACGGCGCCGTCAACAATAAGGAGTGGGTGGCATCGCGCGAAGCCTTCTTGAATTCACATCTGTCGTGACCACGTCATTAACAGCAGCAGCAGCAGCAGCAGCCACGGGTTTTCTTATTTTTTTTCTCAACAAAAAAAATGTCAAAACAGACAAAATTACTATTAAGCTTTGCTTTTACATGTCTTTTCATTTACCGCAAGCTGTACAATTAAAAGAGAAGGAACTCAACATGGTGTTTAAATTATTGCTGCATTTGCAAAGCCTGAGTCACACGCAACCCGCCTGCGGTAATTGTCTTTGAGCTGCTTGTTTTGAGCTTCCCAGGCGCTGATGACGTCCGCATAGGTTGGGCCAGATGCAGTGATACTACACGGGGCTGCAGTCAAGGGCAGCTGCGGCGTGCGATGGAAGGAACCGAAAACGAAGCTACAAAACCGGCTGTGGTGCAACTGAGCATGAGAACCTGCCACCCCACCACGTGCCCGGAGTAGCAAAAAAAAAAACGAAACAGGAGGATTTCTCCACAACTACGGCCGTCACCTGATGATGCTGGTTGTAATTACCGGCGAAATGTCGTACCCGAATTGTAAATGTTGTGGGTTTACTCTCCAACACACCGGTGGGCTGAAGCAGTAAACTAATTGTCGCGTTGTGTTTACGTGACAAACCTTACTGGCTGTGTCGGGTGGTGGAGGGTTACGACACATTTATACTCACGCTATCTAACCCAAAAACCTTTATGAATAAAAAACGAAACTATGTTTATTTTAAAGGGTAAAGCCCACTGAGCTATCTAGCTCTTTTTCAGAAGCAACCTGGCTATCACAAATGACGGCTCAACAAAGTGACTTATCATCACGTGGAAATGTACAGCAGCCAAATATCCTAAACACGTGATGTTGATTCTAAATGTGGGGGGAAAGACCGGAGGACCCGGAGAAAAATCCACACGACCACAGGGAGAGAGACACGGAAACTCCAACTATACAGGCGTCAGGGTCGGGATCGAGCCGACGACCTCCTTGATTACCAGGCGAGGTAGTTAACATCTCGCCACCGTGGCGCAATGCATGAGGTGCGGGGCCGCGTCCATCACTTGCGCCGTTGGGCAGTCCGCCGCGTGTAAAGGATATTACGGGACTGGCTTGACCTCGGTGAGTTTGACCCATCCACCGGCCAGACGGCCCCTGTAACCCGCGGCGAGGTGGCTTGACTGGAGGACGTGGGCGACCAGGGGGCTTTGGCCGCGCACATTAAACGGCACGCGCCGATAGGACTGGCCCGGTCCTACCAAATGTGACTGAAGGGGGGGGGGGGGGGTTGCAAAAAGGAAAATGAGCACAAAAGTGAATGAGACACGTGAATGAACATTGGGAGAAGAAAAAAAACCGCGTCAAATTCATTCACTGGCACCGCCAACTAAGCGCGCTCACGATTCATGTTTAGAGTCAAGACACAATGTTTTCCCCGTTCGTGGGAGAATTGGGCGATGCTCATCGTCAGAAGTCAAGCGGGCATCAACGCTGGACGGTGCTAGAATGAGTGACCACCGTGCACACAGCTCGTTATTGACCGCCTTCACCGAGCAGCACTGACCATCGTGGCGAAGTGCCGTCAAATAATCTGCACGATCCACACGGCGTGGCGAGGACATCATCCAGCAGTGGATTGACAAACGACTGCACATGTGCGTCTCTCTGATATAGTCTCTCCGATGTCAGGTCTTTCTGTCAGTTTCTGCATCGAACAACCAGCATTCACGTCCAACAAAATAACACTCGTTTTTATTCGAAGATATGATGGGTACGACGCAAAAGTAGATTATTTTTTCTTTCTTGAAGCACAACTGAATAAGTTTCGTCAACCTGCCAATGTCGACATGCCGAGGTCTAAATGTCAAATCCTAGATCGTACAATTCACATTCTAACTTTCCCGTGTATGTACGTGCGTTGAACTTCTTTCACACCGTACGTCGCCAACCGTGCTAACCAGAGGTGCGCCCACCTTCCGTCCGACTCTCCGTCGACCACAAAGGCACGCAAGAATAAATCTAACGACGAAGTCACACCACAGATAAAGTTTGAGAGCGAATTGTAACCCGGGCTGCGGTAACCTTAAATCAGCGCGGTGACGGAAAGCAAGTGGGGGGCCGGGGTTGGGTGTAGAGGGGGGGGCTGGGATGCGAGAAGACTCCCAGCGTCTTAGCGAGAGCCTCACCTCTCTGGTGTCGGCTGAAGCCACGTGGACGTCCGCGTGTGACGGCAGCTCCCGGCGGTCACCCCCGCCCCGCGGCGCGCCAGAACGAGCCGCGTCTGCTCGCGCCGCCTCCACATCAAACCGAGGTGGGGTGCCCACTGTTGGTTTTGCTGAACACAGGGCAGCGCAAAGTGTGAGCCCTTGTAATAACAAACCAATAAAGTTGACTGATTCACGTATTTTTTTTTTTTGCTAACAAGAATCATAAAAAGGAAGCCCCAGAGGATGTGAATCTGGCTTTATAGGCTGAAAGGCCCTTTTTTGGATCTGTAACGTCACACGGGAGTTATTTTTTCTTGTTTCTGTAACTCATACTATTGAGGGATAAGTGCAATAAAGTTAGCTTTTAAAGTTGACATGAGGAGCCCTCCGATATCAGGATGACAGTGAAACAAAAAAATTAACCATTGACGCAGGTTTTTTTTGGTCTGCATTGTAATTTTTGGCCTTTATTACCTGCAAATACCAGGGAGAGAAGGTTTGGGTTACACTCTGCGAGTTCTACTGATATGAGAGACCATATCCTCCCAGTTGAACATTAATGAAGCGGAATTTCCCATCAATGATGGCATTTCTTCTGTCAACTTGCATTGCAACATTGTGCAAAATGGAAATATTCCTGTTTATGATTACAATCATCAACCAGAACTGCATTTTTTTTCCAAAAAATGTTTTGCCTTTGAACATTTTTTTTTTCATTCTTTAAAGTCAACGTCTTGGTACCGACAAAATTCGTGTCTTCCCTACTACCTCATGCCCCATTTATTTCCGCCCAGGTCTCCCTCACGAAAAGAAACGATGTCTCTCAGTGGAATCCCACCTGGTTTGAATAAAGGAGCGATATAAAAAAAAAAGATTACAACTACTACTACTACACATTTGACAGGTTGTCTCAGTCACACAAAAAAAGACGTCCAGAGAATCGCCGCACATCACCGTCACAAACTAGTAATGGGAGCCGATTCTTTCCTTTACCGTGAACACCTGAAAAATAACGTTTTGGCAAGGGGGAACAAAGTTTCATTTTAAGCGTTCTGGAAAGAAATGGGCTATGAATGCAGTCTGAGCCCATTCGTGCAGTTATAAAGGGGTGGTAATGAGAGATCTGTTCTTTAGAAACTCACTCCATTCCCAGCACAGCCACGCATTTCTGTTTATTCCCAGCTGAGATGGTCTGCGACTGTGGCCGCAGTGTGCATTGTGTTGGGGGCCCATTCACTTTGCAGACCAAATACTGATGTCAGACCGGCATTACCACATTCACCACCAGCCATCGTCATCAACTCATCACGATCATCGTGATCAGCATGCTTGTAACTATTAGAGTTGAACGCAACAACTTTTATTTTTTTTTACTCTCCAGTGTGCGGCGACTTATTTTGCTGTTTGCTGCCTGTAGGAAAAACGATTGAACATCCTGTAATCGTAACTAATCTTGAACACACGTGACACAACATCGGCAATGTTAACTCGGGTGGAGCGGCGGCGGCGGCAAGGGCTGTCGAGCACGGCGCGATGAACCCGGTGACCCGAGTTTGATTCCATGCCACAGTTTACCATAGCGGCGGGGAATGTCTGAAGCAGTGCTCCCCTCTTGTGAACAAACCTGCACTGACCAGCGTGGTGAAGTATGGTCACACAAAACCCCCTTCAACGGGCGCGGCATAGGCAAGCCTTCATCCAGCAGTGGATTGGCAATGCGCTGTAAATTATTATTTTAACTCAAATTCCTCGCTCAAGTATTTCTATCCGTTTAACAGCAGCCTAATGCTCATTAAACAATATTTACCTTCTTAATTAAACAGTTTGGTCGTTTTAAGAGAGTCATAAAAGTGCAAGACACATTGAATGCCCCTATAAAAATTCCCTCCACCATTTGTCTTCTTGCATTAACTTGGCTAATTTGTCATTACAACTGCAATACGTATCCTTCCAAATAATACAAATATTTTATGGGATTAACATGCAATAAAGGTTAACATTTGCTAACATTTTGAAATAAAATCCAATACAGTACTAACCTCCAAAGTTACAAAAGTTCCACTTGGGGAAGAAAGAAAAAAAAAGTGCTACCAGGTAACATTTGGCACAGAGGTAAATGAAATGTCCCGTGAATGTGTCACAGATGGCCTTGGCTAGACACAATCTCGGCGATCCTTCAAAATACATTTTGTCGTCTGAAAACACTCGGATAGACTCGATATGCGAATAGACGTTTAAAGATAATGAACACAGGATAAGAAGCGTATGTATATTTTTCTTCTTGAATAACGGCAAGAAAATGTACAAAGTCATCGCTCGGCATCTGCCAAGCCAAGAGAATGAAAAGCCCCGACTTCGTGTGCAGTCATTCTCGCCGGCGTGCTTCAAGCCGCGATCAATGGAAACTACATTTTCCAAGAATGTTGTTTTGTTTTGATGTGTTTTGGCTTTTTTTTTTACTTTTACCCAAACACCTTTTTGTGGGTTTAAGATGCATTATGCGTGTTGTTTGGCCACGCAACTCAAACCACAGAATTCTTTTGGGGCAAAGCATGCCCAACACAGAAGCGGTTGAGGGTCACTGGCCGTGCAAGGCTGGGTGTGTGTGTGTGTTCTGTTTGCTTTCCCAAAGCTCAGTGTGGAATTAGCCCCCCCCCCCTGCCGCGCGCCCACCAAGACGCATCTAAATCCCAGTGAATATGGTATTTAAAACCATTTTGAGCTCGCAAGTATAACCTAAATACACAAGGCAATTAAATGTTAGCATGCTTGCTGTGTTTTCCCCAGCATCATGTTTACAATATGTGTATTTAAAACAAAGAATTGTATAAAAAGCACACTTTCAAGCAGTGGGCGGGGGGGGAACACATCCCTGTGTTGTAATGAATCTGGTTTGCGTGTGCCAAGCCTGTACAATCTATGGAATTAAGAGAACTAATTCCACAGCAATGACGTCACAAGTTCCAAAAATATGCCCTCTTCATATTGTGTTTTTGTACTGTAGCTCTTATGATATCCTATAATGTTTCAGTGCAATTTTGAGCCCTTTAGTTTTGAACAGGAAATAAAAATGAATAACTTTAAGCCAACTTAAAAAAAAAAGTTTTCCTTCTAAAATGCAAATGAAACCTATCCAAAAAGAATAATACATGGACTGAATTCTACCAAGCAATATCTGAAAATAAAAAAATAGAAATATATATTTTTCAATAAGCTGCCCAAAGCAATAAAACGTTGAAAATAAACACACGACTCATAACGGGCGTTAAAAGGGCAGGAACAACTTTGATGTTCGACTAACCGCTGTAAGGGAACGCAATTAGTGCCGCTAACGAGCAAAGTGAGCCAGGAAAGACTGAAAGGAGAGCAAACTTTGGTCTGCTCGAGGGTAATGTACCCGCAGTAAAAGCTTCCAAAATGCCTCGACTCTGCTGCGGTCCCTATGAGCTCCCCTCCATCCGTATGATCGCCCATGCGGAGAGAAGCCTGCAGCTGAATGATTTTATAAGCTATGGTTACCCCCCACCACCCTTGCGTTTATGATGCAAATTCTGCTTTTGCAACTTTGTTTTATTGAGGGTGACCTGCCCTAATGCATTATCTCACAAAAGCACACACACAGACATAATGACAACACTCTAAAATGATGAGCCCAAATGAACACACTGCACGTATACATTTAAATGCAGTACGTAGGCAAATTCAAATAAGACCACAGGTTTAGTTTTTTGGAGGTAATAATGCCACAGAATATTTTGGGTTGTGAACCGACCATTTGATAGAATAAAAACTTCCAGGTGAAAATATAAAGCATGTACAACTGAGATTTCATTCCAATAAAGTTTGGACTCTCCTACGGGAAGCATGTGTCTCTTATATTGTTGTTATAACGAGTGCCAAGTCTTATTTCTAAGTGTTACATCTGCAACCTCTTTATTAAGCAATGACAATCAATTTTCTAAGATATTACACGTAAAAAAAGGTGTGTACATTGGGCACACTTGTGTAAACACAATACATTATAATGGATAATAGCCTGACCATTAATAATGCAAAACAGATGAAGTTCACGATAACCATCTCTGCATGAGAAAAAAAAACAATCCAATGTAGATTTTTGCTGCGCGGGCCATGCTCATAGACAAAATCCCTGTACACACACTGGGCACAAAGTTAGCACACGCACACGCGGCGGGCGGTACACGTCAAGCGAGCACACAAATGATTTTTTTTTGCGCAAAACACGAGTCATTCTTTGAAGCCACCACCACCCCGCACCAAAAAGAAATCTCCACAAACACCAGCCATGATGAGCATCGCACTCGGGAGTGTGTAGCAGCGGCCGAGAGCAGCCTACAGCAGCCCCAAGGCAAGGGCAGGCCCTCAGCTATTGCTGGAACTCCAACCATTCCTCTAATAGTGCTGGCGGTCAGCCAAATCAACGGGACCCGGTGCCTCCATACCTGTTTTGGCAAGTCAGACCATACCAAGTAAACAAGGAGCGTTTCTACTCAATGCTTTCCTCTCTCTCTCTCTCTCTCGCCTCGCTCTCTGCCTCCCTGTTGCTCTGCCCTCAATGAATTGATCTCACGTTATGTTATATAGCATATAGCACCGCGAGGATCGAGCTGCAGAGAGCATCGTTCTCCGGAGTCGTCTCCAGGCCCCCCCCCACCACCCTCGTGCCTGCCGCGGTGCTGGAACCGACATGTGGGACTGATATTGGTTTATTTATCCGTGTTCTATAGAGATTTGGAGGGATACAGAAAACCAGGAATGTAAGTCACTTTTTTTTACTTTCTATTTTCTCAACACATATCGGTCATAATTAGGCTGCCGTTTATTTAATTTTTCTGTATACCGAACTAATTTATCGCTGCGTTATTCCACCGCCGAGAATCTTGCCATTGAGAACTCTGCTCCGGCAAGCCTTAATGACGAGCCATTTATTTATTTTTAGCTTGAACATACGCTGGACTTTTGTTGAAATATTTTAAAACTAGATTAAAACCGAGAATATATACACAGATACATGGCAATTCAAAGAATCCATAATTGCGTGCAAGTGTTATGGCTGTGTTTCCGTTTGAAGGAGATAATGACGTTCAGAGTATTTTAGAAATGTGTTTCTTTTAAGTGTATTTGAAGAAACGAGCATTCAACTGAAACACCATTTAGTTCTCCAGACAGCAGGCCTATACTCCGTATGAAATCCAAAAGTGCACTGTGGGTTCATCGGCACCGAATGATCGTTTGATTATTTCTTTTTTAAAGTGTATACATTCTCACACACACATACACTGGAGGATGATGAATGCCGGTATGTGAGTCAACGAGGACAATTCAAACTGTGTGAGTGTACGGTATTTACGCATGGCCAGCTGTCAGAACACGCATTCGGAATGTCAGTGCTTGGTGTTGTGGCTCTGCCCGAAACATTCCTGTGAATGTACCCCTTCCCCTCGATGCTTTAATTTGCCATCTTCTGCTCGCACGCATTCAATCAGGAGGTGACGATATTTCTCCTTGGGACCGTTTTCGTCGTGGAATAATCATAAAAAAGAGCCAACGTTTGACAGTGGAGTTTGATATCGTGTGGGTCACCCCGAGAGAGGGTACTTGTCTTTACCCATAAACAACATTATTTATTTGTAGATTGTTGCAATCATTCGAGTTGTCCAAACTTTCAATTACCGTAATTGCTATTTGGTCATTTCCCCCCACCCCTCCCCACCCACCATGCCTGCAGTTTTTTTTAAAAGTAATGTTTGCTCTTTTCTTTCCCTGGTGTTGTATTTGTTTCTGCTGGCTATAATTACAGCTGCTTACTCTTCCTTTACTTTTCAGTTACATTGAACAAAAAAAAGTTGCATCCCAGATGAGTTTAAAAGAGAGTCACGTACGACACGGTTTGGCTCGATAATTCTCCCCTTTGTGAGCAGGCCCTTTTAAAAAAAAAAAATTCTCCTTTTGTTCTTGGAACTGTCATCTATGATCTTTACAAAGTGAACTTAACCTGAGCTTGGAAAAGATCACAGAGCAGGCAAGTGCATTGAACGCCACCATCTAATAGCCCGGGCGCTCTTCTCTCTCCCTCTCAAACAGTACACAATGCGACCTGCTTCAGGCTAATTTCATTAGGCAAAGGAGAGAGAAAAAAATAGTTTGCACTTTAATTATTCCCCCTTTGATTGTGACATTACCGTTAAATCCATCTTGTCAAGAGCGCGCGTAAAGGTGTCGTAGCCCCCACCTCCACCTTGCTCTACCGCGCGAATAAAGTTTTCACCTTCGCCACAACCGGAGGCAATGGCATTATCGGCAGCCCAAGCGGCACACGACCGAAGGCGGGGGGAACGCTTGAAATCGATAAATGCGAACGTAGCTAAAACGTTCCAATGCCGCGGCTCGGTCGGTCCGCGTTGAGTGAAAGTAATTCCCGAGCGAGCATGAGCTGCTCGAAGACGAACGGAGTTTGCCTTGTCCTCCACCTGTTGCCAGTCATTCATTCGCGACCGCGCTTCCTAGCGCTGAGGTCGGTCGCTAAGAGCCGCCGTCTGCAGGTGAGTCAGGCCTCGCCCGCACACCTTTGTAACGCTGCGGAGGGGGTGGGAGAAAACAACCACGCGGTCGCTCTGCGCGTGATGCTGGCACCCCTCCACCCAGCCCCCCACCTTCCACCAACAACTATCACCACCCCCACCTCGCCTCGCCATGCTCCACCATCAATTACCCTGACAGTTTTAAGACACAAAAGGCATCGGTGCCTTTGAAAAACAGCGTGGGGGGACGAAAAAAATGTCTAAAACATCTCCGGCCCTCTTATGTTTTAAAGAAAGAGCTTAATAAGGGATTGTGGACTTCTGAAGGTGAACGATTTCTTTTCTTACCTGTGTGGGGATACAACATTTTCTGTGCTATGTACACAAACCCACAGCAGATAAAAGGAGAGTTTTTGGGGGGGGGGGGTGGGGGTAGAATTTCAAAAGTAATCTTTCGAGAAATGTATCCCCATTTAAGTTTGGCTTCAACTGACTAACACCTGCACCCACGCATTACCCAATGACTAAGCACGAGCCGACCAAACGCCACAGTGTGACACACAACACAAACATCAAGGTATCTGTCCTCCCCGCACCCCCCCCCGTAATACAGCAATCGGCCCGAGCTTGAAACGCACAGAGAGGAAGCGAGATACAGACAGCTGCTAGGAATAACCAGGCTCGTGAAACGATCACCAAGGAGTGAGACACAATTGATTGCAACTGAACCTGCCAAACCATATCAGTCTCCGCAAGAAGGCTTTTCCACAAATGCCAAATTTTCTCCCAAAGGGTCAGCCAGACAGAACGGGGGGTGTGAGGAGTGGCGGTGGGGGGGGGGGGGCGTGGGTGTTGGGGGTGGAGGGGGGTCAACTGTCAACTGTCCCACATTGGTTGTTCACACCATATTCAAAGCATTGCTGAGCAGAGCAGGTGTGCATGATGTTGGGGAGGAGGGAGATTGGGGTGCGAGGGGGGGGCAAGGTTGTCGGGGGGTGTGGATACCAGCATAAGGTCTGGCATCACTGAACGAGTCGCGTCTTCTGAACCTTTTGACGGAAGGTTAGCGCCCCTCCCCCCTCATCCCTCCACAGCGGCTGACCTCAAGTCGAGCACTCGGCAGCCAGCGGGCGAGGTGCGCTTGAGAAAAGCCCACGTGGGTTTACACGGACCATTTGTTTAAATCAGCCAGGCAGCGCAAGGCATTGCTTTAATTAGCGCCAGGAAGTGCGGCGAGGAGTGGCCTGCCGTCATGTCTCAGACAGGTAGTGTGCAGCTGTGAGAGCTGGGAAGCTGGCTATCGCGTGCGGCTCCGGGCCACATTAAATACCGAGCAGACAAGAATATTTCGAAAACGTGAGTATATTGTATACGCATATTTTCAGTTCTTCCTCCATGTAGGTGTGTACACGCGTGCGGAGATGTTATGTGTGTGTGTATATATATGCGCTCTACGGGTTTAGTTTGACGTATCACTGTAAAAACAGCCCGGAGGCAGCAATGTCTGAGACGGTATGTCAATGCATAAACGGTTTAGTGCCTTTAATATAAGACTCTCAGCTTTCCCCTTTGATCACATGTTGCTACAGCACTTTTACTATAATGATTGCATGAGATGAACAAACTGAGCGTTTTTTAATAACTTTTTTTGAAAATAAAGTTAGATATTCAATTGTAAAGACCTAAACTTAAATTCAGTGTTATTGAGCATCTTAAAGTGAGTGCGTGTGAGCAATAGTGAGTTATTTCAGTGAACTCATCCATATAAATGTGAATAAAAATCTAACAAGATCTGTACTTAAAACATCAAATACAGGACATGGGGAAAAAAATCATGATTCATCAGTCAGGACTTTAACAACGATTAGAGGCCTTGATCTTTTTATTTATATAAATAACACAAATAATATAACCATACAAAGTGCAACGAAATCTAACGGTAGATTTTCTGCGGTTGCTCTGCACTGCTCTCTGATGCGTTTTCGGGTTGCCCCGCGTCTCGTCCGGCACGACGTTTCACTGCCTGTGCTGGGAGCTTCTGCAGGAAATGAAACGATGGACAACGCGCCGAACACCAACGCGGTACAACCCGAAAGCACGTCGGGGTATACTCTTGGACAAGACGATTATAGGTCAATTATTTGCCACATATTGGGGGGCTGACCATTTTTTAAATCCTTTATATTACGTTCACTTGCTTGTTTGTTTGCGCGCTTACGACCGTGCAAATCTTTCGGTCGTTTTTTAACCCACTTCCCCTGATCCAATCGAGCTGACATTTTGCACACAGACTCGTTGTGCGTGACAATTTATTTTCGTGAAATTTTTTTTCCATAACTTTACACTTTTTAGGAAAAAAATAATAATATTTAATTACCAATTGCTTAATGGTGGCAGGCAATCATCTGACCCATAGGTGGCAGCCATCTCAAGCCAGAGGACGAGAGGACTCTAGCCGCCACGCATATAAAGGATTTATAGTGAAAAACTTTGTTTTTATGGGTTAATTTTTTCTGCCTGGCATCTGACTTTCGACGTCTGCGCACCACGCGGAGCGCGTATTGCTCTCGTCATCCGTCCCCGCGCACGGCTCCGACACCGAGCCGGACGGCAAAATTGCAAATCGACGGAGCCACCGCCAGGGCGCGAATCGCAGAGGGCACAATTAAACTCGGACGCAGGGGAGGGCGGCAGATAGGGAGCGAGCGAGCGAGGGAGGGAAGCGAGTCGAGGTGGCCCACGCAGACACGTAAGCAGCCCGGGCGGAGGAGGCCGAGGCTAAACACTGCCGCCTCTGTGCCGCCGGTAGCCGCGGAGCTATCTTCATCTTCCGCGCGCTCCGCTCTCGGAGGATCCATTTCAAACGGCTACAGCGGGCAGTGACAAATTACATCGACAACAAAAAAAACAGCCCTCAGCTAGGACCCTGTGATAAATAATATGGGAAGTGGAGGCTGTCAGCCCCTCAGATCGGTAATGTAACCAATAAGGTTTTTTTTTTTAAACGCCTAAGTGTTATTAACCAAGACAAAAGACAGAAAACACTTGAGGCACTTGAGGAATATGAATTGCTCACGTACGGGGCAGTCAACGTGACTTTAGCAGCCTCGCTTGTGAGTTGTGGAATAACATTTATGTAACCCAATTATGGCCATTGCGATCATTTCACAGCTGCAGTTGTTGTCACCGTAGTCACCGCAATCGGCTAGTCTCAATCCACAGCTGAATGCGAGCAGTCATCCGTGCACACACCAGCGCCTATGGTCCTGTGAAGCTGTAATTAACCTCACCCACGCGTGTCACCTGTCTTGGAATTAATTCCACCGCTGACAAGCTTATTTGGAATGCTCCACGAACTTCTGGCTACATAAAAGAAAACCGCTGTCCTAAGTCTATAATTACGACTAAACAACCAACAATATTTCTCAGATTATTGCCATAAAAAAAAATCTCACTCAACAGTCACAGCTGAAGACATTAAAAGTCACCGCATTCGTAAAACGTCCTTCGCCTTTGTTAAGAAACGTAGCGATGAGCTAATTCGCCTCGTAAATCCCGCAGCCAATGCCAAAGCGTCAAACGCTCACTCGAATCTGGGCGATGCTACATCTGTTTCGCTTTTTAGTTTGCGTGACATCATGAAGGAGTTGTGGTCACCGAAGGGCCATAAAAAAAAAACGACGGTGTCTTATCTACCTCATGTCAGATCACCCCCACCCCCCCTTTCAGCCTATTGACAGTCACAAAAAAAGAAACGTAACGGTTCCTTGTCCCATTCTCGGGGCCCATCACCGCCCAGCCCAGAGGCTCTCTCTCTCTTTAACTGTCATTAACAAAACGGTTCATACCCCCAAGAGAAGAGTAGATCGACATAATTGCTGGCAATTTTGACAATGGGTAACAATTGAATATATTTTTTTACACGCGTAGAATGTAACCACGGTAAGAATTTTTTTTTTCCCACAATGTTCCCCACTGAATGCAATCCTTTTTTTATAGCGATTTAAAAAAAGGCCGTTCACCATGAGCTAACAACAACATATCTCAGAGAATTTTTTTTGCCGTTATGAAAGATATGATTCCGACGCAAAACTTAATTCATCCATCAATTCGTTCGTTTTCAACTTGACGTAGGCCACCGGACGGCATCCGGTTGGCAACACCGTGGGCGGGGAGTGTTGTTTTAGGACTCTGAAGGAAATGAATAACGCCGCGACAGTGGCCGTAGCTGCAGGGGCGTGCACGCAGCCTTGACCAGCTCATCTTTTCTTTCAGCGCCCTTCATCCCGGAGGTGAGCAAGGCCAGGGGAGTGATTTTCTAATGAGCAGCACGAGACGTCACGGACTGACGTGCGTACAAAACCTGCCGAGTGACGCTCACCGTCCCAGACCACCACCCCCGCCCCCACCCCACCCCTCTGGAGCCCGCCCAGTATTTTCCCGACACGTTAACAAGTAGGCTTTGATGTAAATAATACGTTTAAAAAAAAAATAACTGCAAACATATACTTCCTGAACATTTTGCAATAAATCGTATTGGTTCCCACGATCCCAATTATGAAGTTACATTTTTAGCCAAAAGGAAGTACCCTCCATGTGAATGTTAAACCGGAGAAATGTAAATGCGTCAACAGTGTTTCAACACTCATCCGAGCGGAGGATGGTGTTCCATCTCAACTGACATCCTCAGGCAATCGTCTGTATTCCACATTCCTATGAAGGGAGTGAATCACTCACTCCACAGAACTACAATGGGCTGCGCTGCATGCGTCTAAATGATGCATAGCAAAGTGCGCACGGTCCTTCTTGGGTGTATTTATAGGGGAGACAAAGTGCGCTTCAACGTGGCATTATGTACCATTAAAACAAAAGCATCTCTCGACAATGCAGGCAGGCACATAGAAACACCGCGACAAAACAAGCAATACATTTTCCTTACACAAACAAGAGCCATCTGGAAAAATTGGACTCCTTTGCCAATTTGTTTAAGGCAGAGATTGATACATAACCGTGGAAAAGGGAGTGTATAGTACACGGGGTCTGGAGGCCAAAGTGCGGTTGCAAAATGATTTAAAAAAAAAGGATTAACCAGGCGGATAATCTGCACTTAGGCACCCCTATTGGCCCCAGTTGCACCCACGGAGACGTTATCCACAGTCCCTCACTAATTGACCATCATGTTCAAGTGCAAAGGGAATCGGCCGAGACAGCCGGGGCGGGCTTTTGAAGCACTCTGGCCTGTGTGAGGGTGCCAATAGGTGTGGATAACATTCCATTTTGGAAACCCAAATCAGCAAGTGCACAATAACGGGCTTTCGCAAAGATCAACGCACACCTCCCTACCCACGCTCGCTAATTGGTGTCAAGTTTTAAAAGAAAAACCTGCAAGGAGGTACACTGTGATGCCTTCATTCTGGTGCCAACGACAAGAGATCGGAGCACGCTGTCACGGAGACTCCAGATGGGTCGGCTTAAGCTGTGCGTATAAGAGAATTAAGTGGACAATAGTGGACTTAGGAATACATCGCACGTACAACGGCCCGAGCTGAAACCCACCTCGGTTGGGGCTTAACGGCGATTAAACTCCGGCTTTAAAGAATACACTGAAAAGTTCAAACAATTCTGCTGCCTACGTTCGCGAGACAAATCTGCTGGCATCCATTGAGAATGTCAGTGGCTGTTGAATCGTACGGTCCCTTTAGCCTGCGCGGCTAGTCGCAGTGCACGCGTTACACTTTTAAAAAACAAGAACAAAATCCGCGGCTCAATTCCGCACAAAACAACCTTTTGAGCGTCTGGGTAAGGGCGGGGTCCTCGATTGCTCTTAGCCCGGCACTCGACGGTGAAGAGGTCCAAGTGGAGCACGTCTGGGAGCTGGTGAACTCCTTGAACTAGTGGGCGCTTCATCACCTGAGCTCAGTCGTGGTTCAAGAGGGAGATGAAGGTCGCGGTGGGGGGGGAGGCCGGCCGACGGGGAAGAGAACCGCCCCCTCCGGGAGAAGGTGCACCACCCCGTGATTTATGTCCCGCACCTGCGAGCGTCTCGACAAATTGTACGGCAGCGCCGAACAGGTGTGCGAAGTTGTGACGGCTGTGCGCACGCCATCTATATACTGCGGCGGGGGGTCAGGCGTTTGTTTTAATTTTACGCCGCACGTCGATGTGACGGTGCGCAGGCCACGGCTGCAGGAGAATGCGTGGCTGTTTAAAGCGGCCGTGTCACTTGAAAGCGAAGCAAGGAACGTGCGGCCGTTGTGAAGAGAAGACAGCCGGGGTTTATTATTCTTGCACGCTTTCTTTTAGCTCACTCTGTCTGTCTGATGTTGTCGTTGTTGTATCCTCAAATCTTGTAACTCAATTTTAACCCACTTCCCAATGTGGTATCGACTGCAAACTTGGTATACTTGTGTCATACTGATGCCAATACTATATTCTATCATAAACATTTTTTTTTAAATATATATCTTTAAACATTATTTTTTATATGTTATGTTTCTGCTTGGGTCTAATTGTCCACGCTCAACTGACGTTGGCTATAATTGGCCACGGTCCCTTACGTTATGGCAAGCTTCGGGGCCACTTCCTGGAGTGGTGGAGTTTTGCCATTACTAGTACATTTCATAAAAGCGTGTTTTTAAAAAAGTTTTTTTAATATTACTTTCTTCTTCTTCTGCTACGAACAGTGCTCGGTATCGCTGCAAAATGAGAAACCAATGTCGCATTTGTTACCGTGTAAAAATGTGTCAAATACCCTGCTCAAGCAAATATTGTGTCAAATATGTTTAACACTTTCATGGTCTTCGTAAAAAAAATTGGCATCAAATTAACAAGCCACAGCTAGAGGGAACGTTGGTTATGAGCCACAGAGCTCTTTCGAAAGTAATCCCATCCTGACTTTTACAACACTTGGCAGTTAAAACACATTTTGTTAGAGCATGCAACTTACAATAATGAAAGGAATTAACATCACTCCTTGTGCGTTCAAGGTTTTTTTTCGTCAGCCCCCTTGTTGTGTTGCTTATATTCTTCTCGAAAAGGTTTACAGCGCTCACTGAAGCAGGTTCACGGCTCATTCTGCCAGGTGTTTCCAAATGGACAAATTGGAGGTGACAGTAATGTGTGAAAACAGCTTTCTGGATTTGGAATTAGTAAAAAATTTCGTGCCATTCCACAAATGGAACCAGCTGGCTTTAAGCCAAATGCCTTGTACTAAGTGTGACATACTGAGAGCTGCAGGCAGTTAGAGGCTTTGCAAACCCCCTGTTTAACAAATTTACATCACCCAATAATCTGCTTTGGGACGTAAGTATCTCAAATACAGTCACTATTTCTTAGCATTACACATGTTTTAAACCATTGCAGCTTTCAGATTAAAAAAATTGTTCAGACGCGTTTACAAAATGTGCTCGAGACCAATTGCTAGCATAGCTGCCAGTGATGCGATCGGAATCATCGGAGAATGTTTACGCGAGAGGAAGTGGCCAAACAAGAGACCTGGCGTGATCCAGCTGGGCCCTGACCCCCCTGGTGCACAGGGCCAGCAGGTGTGGTCAGGAAGTCAGGGATTATGGCTGAGCCCAGAGAGGGCAGGCCCACCACGTGGATGTGGACCTCCAGCACCGGATGGATGGTTTTATTATGACTTTAAAGAGTACACGGGAGCTGACCTATTACATCGGTGGGATACGGTCAAAGCTACTCTTTTGTTTCCTCGCAGTAATAAACAGCTCTTAACCAACTATGCAGCTTCGTGCAACACGTTTACGAGCCACGATCTATTGAAGAGGGATTTCCCCGCTTAAAGGAATGCTCTTCGAAAACATTTGCCTATGAGGCCCATAGGCTGATGGGACGAAATGTCACCCGATTTTATTTTTACGCAGCAAAACAGACCCTGGTGTATTTATAGTTGTGCAATGCTCTGATCGAGACTAATATCTGTCAAACACTCATCACGTTGCATCGTGCCCCATCCCCCGGGCGTTGGCTGCTGTCGATAACGGACAGAGAAGTGCCATAGTGGTGATGTCTGTCAACAGACTTGGGTTATCCGTTACACCAGGTACGCGATGGCATCAGTCCGAGCTCTCCCAGGGGCACATAGCATCAACACAGATCAAGCCTTACCCCACAGCTCACTGCAACGAGAGCAGGAGTGTCGTGGACCAATTACTCAGCAGCAAACATGGTCTACTGCTCATGAGCCCCGCACAGAGAAGAGGACAGTCAAGAGAGCAGGGCCAAATTATAGTTGACACTTTGAGTCCAGGACAAACATATTGCAGACCTGCCCGTCATGTTTGGTCATTGAGGGTTGCTGAGAGCGGGCAGTCCAACAATGAATTGTGCTGCACCGCTCTCTGCTACCTGCCACGTTGCTCCGGAGTCTGTAACTAGCCTGCTGTGTATGGTGGTCACCCATCCAAGCACTGACCATGCTCAAACCTGCTTAGCTTCATGAGATGCGATGACATTGGGTGCATTCTGGGTAAGTTGGTCATCAGTTTGAGTTTAAGGTATAAACGTGGTAATTAATGGTATCAGGTTGTAGCCCGACCGTACGGGAGGAGAGAATGCATAAGTCGGTCTTGGTGGCGACAAATTCACCGAAACCAATAGCGACGATGACTTCAGTGAGCACCGCATCGACAACAACACCCAGCGGGGAAACGCAACGTTAGGCAATGTCTGTGCCACCACAACAGCCGAGGTCATCGAGAGTCAGTTTCCATCGAGGCCCGTGAATGCTACCATTGGTAAAAGACGGCCACCGTAAGTATTCGGCTCCGCGGGCCTGTGGTCCGCCCGAATCCCCTCCCACTGACTTAAACAATTAATAATGCGGGGCTATTACGGCCCAATTGTTTGCCCTAACTGGAAGGCTCCATTTCAACTCCCCCCCCCCACACCCACCCTTCCTTCCTTTTGATGTGTGCCGGCATCCCTCAGAGCTCATTACAGAGATAGAATCTCGATTCATACAGTTTTATTTTAATGAGGGAAATCTCGGGGGGGGGAGGGGGTGGGGGGCACGACGGGAGGCGCGGTGGGGAAAAGATAGAGTTACTGGTTAAAGGGGAGCGAGAGAGAGAGAGAGGGTGAAAAAAAGGTACATCTGAGCCGTGGGATCACTATCGTCCCAGGGTTGGGGAGTGTCCTGCGTGGTCTCTAACAACTACTCGCGCAAGTTGTTTGTACGGCCGCATTCGCCGCTGCTTTGTCGGTGCCGCGACAAATTGCCGGACTGGGAGTGCTGCTGCAGCCGTTGGGGAAGGGGCTCCGGCGCGTTTTGCAGCTGCCGAAGCTGCGAGCAGGAATGAGAGAAATGCCCCGTTGCGCGATTCAGTCAATGAAAGGTGACTGCAGCATCCGTGGTTTCGGTATTTGTTGTGACTTTGAAGGTAAAATCCATCCGGCTTTTGCTCTTTTGTGGTTAGGTTTTGAAAAACTATCCCAGTGTCACTGAATACTCCAAAGAATACTGGTCGTAAAAGGAACTTTAAAGCCGTTTGAAATATCACAGCCAGCATGTGTTTTATATCGCGTATAATTTAGCTTAAGATAATTTCGGATTTCAGGCACGATATTTCCTTTATTTAATGCAAATTAAAACAATTAATAAACTGCATAGCGCACTGTAGGTGGGGAATCAAACAGAAGCAGCGTTGGCTTGCGTTGATGCGAGATTGCGTTCATGAAACATCCATCAAGCTGTGGAGAACGGAACGCATGCAGCATTGCAACAAAACTGGCGTGCTCAAGTTGTTTCGAAAATAACCTATGCGACTTAAATGTTGAGCACGCTTCCTCAAGCATAAACAAGTTGAATGCTCGCCGAATTTGAGTCTCGCCGGGCCGTGTTTTGAAACAAATAGAAAAAGAAAAGAAAAACCCGCGCAAGCACAAAGGTCCCATAAATTATCACCGCAATTATAACATTTTGACTGGATGCATTTACATGAGCAACTTGACCAATGGTAACAATTACTTCTTGTTTAATTTGATAATCATTTCCTCCACAGACTGCAAGCACAGAGCTCAGCCCCTTAAACCGGTGCAGCCTTTCTGCGTTTAAACACCGGGATCAGAGTCGGGTGGGAGGAAATTTGTTTAGCGAGTGTTTGTCAGGCGAAGTTAACCTTATCTTCCTCTCTGTTTGACTTGTGCCCTGAACAGAGGATTTGTGACTTGTGGTGGTGGGGGGGGTTTAAGCTGCCTGTCAAGAGGCCGGACACACAAGTACGTCACTCGGGGCACACATCAGCAGTGTCCAAGACTCCTGTGGGGACCGGGGGAATAACAGACGCTCATCTCGGGAGGGGAACAAGGCTGCAAATAAAAGAAGGATCGGTCTGGAGGAGGAGCAGGAGGAGGATGCAAGTGGAAAATTAATTACAACAGGGCAAAATTAAACACCGAGCCAAGTTTCACGACAAGATACGATCGGAGAGGGGGGAAATATCAATCATTATCTTCGACCACGAGCGTGAATTCGGAGGAGGGAAGAAGAGCGAGCGAATGTCTGGAGATCACGTTTAAAACTATTCCGTCGTCGATTACCCATTCATAACCCAGGCGCTGACGAAATACAAAAAAACTCTCAGCAGCTTAAGAGCAGCAGCGGCAAAAAACCAGCGTACAGTGTATAAATAGACTAATCAACTACAAATGTCTGAGCAAGCTTTCGAGAGCCTTGCTGACAGCTAGGTGACCGCTTTCCACTTGGGGAAGATTGTTCAAAGAGCTCCTCCCAAGTTACGTGCAACACCGGCCGCGCGTTGGCATTAGCTACCGTCACAGCGGCTCAGAACACTGCAAAAAAAGGCGGGATTTAAAATAGAAGGGGAGCAGCAAGAGAGAGAAAAAAAACGTTTCACCTCCCACCAACACTGTGTGACGAACGGAGGCTCTTCAAAGGTAGTTCGTCGCAAAAGTGACTCAGTGGACTTGTGGCTGGTTTGGCAGCATTTCAGCACTCAGAGCCAGAGGAACCACAGTGATGTCGCACATCGCAGCGATCTTCAGATAAAAAGGCTGCACGCAGTTCGCAGCAGGTAAAGCACTTGAAGGGGTGCCCCCGGATTGAGCAACACGCAAAACGAGTCCGCAATTCCGCAGGGTTTGTCATAAAACTCAGTGCAGCGGGGAGCAGCAGGACTAGCAGAAAGCATCTTGACTTCAGATCCAGCTATGATTTTCCTGCGAGTTGCCCAAGTCGGCAGCACTACGACACTACCATGTGGAGATGGATTCTGAGGCAGCGGAGGCTGCTGCTGCTGCAATCTCCACTCTCCTCCTGGGGCTGTCGTTTCTTTGCCCTGCTCTGTTTGATCAGCCTGGCTGAAACGCACCCCCAGGAGGGGCCACTGACTCTCCAGGACTCCCGGCCGGGTCTCAGAAACTCTTCCAACTCCTCGTCTCTCTTTGGATCGGCGTCGTTGTCATCATCGGTGTCTTCGTCTTCGTCGTCTTCGTCGTCTTCTTCCAGCCTGGAGCGGCACGCGCGTAGTTACAAGCACCTAGAGGGAGACGTCAGGTGGCGTCGTCTCTTCTCGGCCACGAAATTCTTCCTTAAAATCGAAAAGGGTGGCAAAGTCAGCGGCACTCGCAAGAAGAACTGCCCGTTCAGTAAGTACCCCGTGCATAACGTCAGCGCTAATTCTGGAACTATGTGTGCACATATTGCACTTTCTTTCTGTTTTTGAAATGTTAAATTCTATAATTATATGGCAAGCCAAATTGTTGCCGCATTAGCCACCGTACACAGGTTGTCACAATACTGTAATCAAAACTGGATTTTCTTTCTCTTGCTCACTGAGAAACCTTCATATGCAATTATGTCACGCTTCACAATGTATTCCTTTGCCGAAAATAAGTATGCAGCGCACGCAAGCACGGTAGTACGTTCTACACACACACATTGGAATATAAACAAGCTACTAAACGGGTTGTTCATACGATATACATATGCAATACCAACTATGCATTACTTACACAAAGACAAAGATCCCCCGTATAGTCTGAACAGACTGTTGGGTCAAGTGCTGTTAACGATCACCTATAAAGGCCGGCACGGCACACGAGGGGGTGGGTGGCCAACACCACGCCCAGCCGCCTTTGTCTCCCTAGTGGCGATGTTTACACACCGCGCCAGGTACTCATTTGAGGCTGAGTTGACCTAGGGGAGGCCCAGGACCGGTTCAGATAATCGTCACTGGTGTTGGCCGTGAGCGGGAATTGAACTCGGGCCGCCGGGTTCGTAGCGCAGCGTAGCGCTAACCGCGACGCTACCGCTACCCACGCATTACATACCCAGCACACTGTGCACATGCGCAAGCCGGTTTATATATTTGTATTTACATTTCCAATTCAGTTACTTAAGGTCCGAGCATTATCTGCACGCAGTATACTTACTCATGTAGGGCACCAACATTTGCAGTCGTTTAGAAATGTACGGCAGACGCTGATAACAGATCTGGCTTGGTCAAGCAGTTAGCAAAACACCCGACGTACTCTGTGAGCACCGAAGACTTCGAACCCGACCGTCTGCGGTTGACTGGTTTAGCCATGATTCACTGAAAAGTTAATGACGTCCCTGACAACCGCTTTACCTCTAATAAGTAACAAATCAGTTCACAGGGCGTGACGAGTTGTTATGCTCCGCGACAATGAAAATATTGAAACGCAGAATGCAATTATATTTGATCATATACTCTAAATTAGAACATTATACGGTGCCCTTTGGCCAACTGCGTGACGGGCGAGCTAAAGTTAGGGGTTTTAAGGCAGTTATTTTCTTTGATGCGCACGAGGAATCCAATAGCGTTCGGAGAGTCCAAACATCCGACAGGGATAGAGCTTTGCGATGTCTTGGCGTGGGACGTTGTAACATCCAAAGCCGCACCAAAGTTTAATTTGAACAATTCCTCAGCAGCCTTGCCGAAGCACTTAGACGAGACTGTCGTATGCGTACGTATATTAAAGTTCCATATATTCACATACCTGTGTACTGTGTATATAATAATACAGTATAGACAAGCGTGCACACACACACACACACACTCGTGTTATTTGTGCTTGATGCGAGGGAAAATCATAGTTGAAGCAATTACAACTCTCCAGTTCAAGCAGAGAGCGCAGCGCTGTCATTAGGTTAACAAGGGTCTCGGTTAATTCAGGAAGTCTTTCATTTCGCAGGAGAGATCAGAGAGCAAATTTTTTTCTCCCAGCACGGAGGTCATTAGGATTTCCTGAGAGGAGACTCGTGCCGCAGCCACTAACGAATGACACCCGGCGGCGGCAGGAGAATAAAAAATCCCCACGGCACAAATGATGAATGTTTTTTTTCCGTCTCGCAAATGTGTTCATCCTACTGAATATCAAGCAACGAACGCAAACCCGCTTGTCAGGTCGACTTAAGCGGTAAAAATGGCAAACGTTTTTTTTATTGCGTCCTTGTTTGCTGGTTCCTTTTAATGAAACTATCCCTTGATCCGGTGTGTGCAACAAGGGCGGTCACATCTTACAGGGTACGAATTAGGCAGGTGCTATATTTATAGTAAAATGTATGGTATTTACGAATCAGAAGAAATATTACGCCATAACATGGCTATTTGTGTTAATATTAACCACACCGAAGGACCACTTAATTGTATCAAATGCTCTGGCACTGTTACGTAACGTTAATATTCCCACTATCACCATGGAGCCATGAATCAAACATCAAAGTAAAAAATAGACTCGAGAGATAATTTATAACGTGAGGAAATCCCCATCAGTCCCCGTTATGAAAGACTGAAATAATTTTCATACCCTCAGAATAATCACAATGTAATTCTGGTATTAAATCGAGAGTGGTGGAGAAAGGCGGAAAAAAAACCTAGTCTATTTAAAAGCTTAATTCCTGACGCTAGAGAAAATATAACTTTATTTTGCATGGCAATAAAATGGCCAAGGACGTTCTAAATGCAAGAAAATCTTCATCAGATACCACTTAACCCGCTGACCTTATGTTGACTCACCACACCACAGATAGACCCATATCTTCACGTACGGGTTTCCTCAAAGGATCCGTGTCTGTCATCTGCTATGCCCTCTAATGCCCTTTAACACATCTTGAGCCTGTGCATTCAGTTTTCAGCCTCTGTTATCCTTAACATCCCTCTGCATCCCATTCAATAAAATCCCAACGTTTCCCTTTACCGCTGATTAAATATGACGGCCACCTTGCACGTGTATTTGCTCAAATTCAAACGAATTGCTCGGTAGTTTGCAATGTATCTATCAGCCATTGGTGTTTTTTAGCGAGTAAGTAACGGTGCAGATGCACGAGCGATCAAATGGCAGCGCTGACAGAAACCAGACTTGCAAGCATCACCACTGGCTGCAGTTAACCCTTAAAACCAACAAACTCTAAGGCCCCTATAAGCAGGAATTCCCGGCTGTTGGCTTTAGATGAGCGCAGTTGATAAAGAGGCCAGCCATTGAGTAAGTTAGCTTACCAGCAGTCCCGAATCCCCAAACAAGAGCATTTCTGTGACAACGGCAGTTAAGTAAGAAGGCATTTTAGGGTCAGCAAAGAATGAAAATGTCAAAATTAGTTTCGTCAAATATTTCCCGCTTTCCGATGACACGCACGTGAGCTTCGTATTTGCTCAGCGGTGTGAGCTGCCGTTTGTGTTTTCAGCAGCCACCAGTTCGTGGCACTGACAGGTTTGCATCCGGTTTTTCAGACGTCGTGACAGGATCCATCACAAATCTGCGTGCTGTGCCTAGCAAGAGACCATACTCGAGACCTTTTGAGTTTCAACTTATTGTGTAATCGAGACACCCGACGACTCCTTGCTCACGTTCATTTCAAGCGGTGTATTTCCTTCGTTTTCTACGTCATGCGATGGACACACAATACTTCCTATTTCACAAAAAATGTATGAAAATAAAACCCTCCTGCATTGAAAACCGCTGCGGATTCACGTTACTGTACAAGGGGCAAATAGTTAACGTTGCACAATGGACATTTGTTTGAAGTGGCAATTTCCAGCTAATTTTATTTTCCACAAACCAAACACGGCGCACTGCAATTATACATGTAATATGTATTTTTGTACGCTTTCATTTGTTATGTGCAAATGACCATAAAATTGCTTTCAATTATTTTATACAGATGCTAAGAATTTGCAATTGGAAGCTAAGTCCCATGAGAACGAACTTAAAGTAGTCCATTAAACCCTGCAAAATAATAGCAACAAAGCAATCATACAATTAAGAAAATAAATATACCGGAGAAAAGGAGTATTGTCGAGGAGGCAATTTCGAGCGGGAGGACCAGTGTTGTCCTAAACAACGGGTGACCGTGGCTTACAATAGGCCCTTGCTAGGTGACCAACAATAGTGCATTGTGTGCCCAGAATGCAAACGCAAACCTGTTGCACGTTTTGGGTTCCCACGCGTCTATTACGCGTCTCGGCAGGCCAGCCGTTGAAACCCACCCACCTTGTGTCTGCTTGCTGAATGGGCTACGGTCGGGCACTATTTTTCGAAATAAAAAAGATTTTTATCTCTCTCCACACCAAACCCCCCCCCACCACCACCACCATCGCCCCCCCCCCCACCACCATTCCGTCCCTACCCAGCCTCTAACTGCACCCCCTGCAACCTCTTTTTTTCTTTCTTTCATATGTTTTTTGAAATTCTGGCATGATCAGCGTAAAACTTCCTTTAATCATGTTTGCTAGTTGAATAATAATAATAAAATGATAATAAAGCAGCTTTTTACCATACCAACCTAGTTGGGTGAATTGCCTGTCGAGTAGAGTTGATGTTTTGTCTACAGCACCTGAAAGAACTGGCTGGAATTTTTTGTATGAACCGTGTAAAGTTATACCGTTGCATACAAATTTCATTTGGTGTATTATCCCTTTTCAATAATGTTTAACTTTGTTTGATACCAAATCCGACCTGCGTCCTTAAGATGTCCAGAGAATAAATGCCATTTGTCAAACACGTAAAAAAAATGGCAATGAACAAAAATACGGAATTGTAGAACCTGTCATCCTTGACAACAATGAATTCAGGCTAGCACTATCTTTAAATTGAGTGACCAAGTAATTGAGCAGTTATGGGCAATGAATTGCAGAATAATACGGTACATTATTTAAGTCAATTTGTTGCCATACACACACCTACACAAACACCACACAAATTTGGTGTCTCCCAGGAAAACCTGTTTGCTCAAAACGTTATCATTCCCATTCACTGCAAAACTGTATTTTATTCTCTACCAAGTTGCGTGCATGAAACGATATGCATACACCGTTTAGAGAATGCAAAACAATTCTCGTCTGTTCCCAAAAAGCAAATAACAAAAGCCAATATGAAACGTTTTCCCAGAGTCGAATCCTCCCCCATCACACTTTAAACTACTGTTTATCATTCTACCTTCAAAAGATTTTCTGCACCTTTCATTTGAAGAACAGAATGAAACTGTGGGGCCAAAGGTCACTCCGAGTGTTAACAGAGCAGCCTTTCAGGGGACAAACAATACACGCAATTTCAGGTCTACCTGTGTGAACTACGCAGGAGGCCCATGTCTTATGCAAACCTATACTCTTTAATACCCCGACACATCACCACATGCACGAACTCTAAGCCAGTGTGAGGTGACTTTCCACTCGCCGAATAAATAAACGGCGCGCCACTCCTTACAGTCCTACACTCAGATCGCTTGTGTTTTACATGACAAGCCTTCAAGTATGAGAGGGTGAATTTTGATTTAAAGCTTTCGTGACTGCAGGGATTCATATTCTTGGTTCTTTCGGTAAAGTCACGTAGAAGGGAAATATAAATAATAAAAATAATATAAATATAAAACAATAAAAATTCTCACGACGTTTCGACTGCAACACAAGCAATCATCATCAGGTGTGAAATCCACAGCAAGAAAATGTTCTTGCTGTGGATGATGATTGCTTGTGTTACAGTCGAAACGTCGTAAGAATTTTTATTGTTTTATATTTATATTATTTTTATTATTTCCCTTCTACGTGACTTTACCGAAAGAACCAAGAATATGAGAGGGTGGTTTACTATATACAAGAAAAATGTTATCAACACACACACACACCTGCCTAACCCATTCGTCCAAGACATTCATTATTTCTAACGGTAGCTGGCTCTGTTCTGGAGACTTGCGGTTATGATACATTTTTTATTTTTAGCAGTACCAACACTTTGGAATGATTTTAAGGCAAAGATTGAGGAAGCTGGTAAAATTCCGCCAGTTTAAAGCACACACCTTGAATCAATTGTTGTGGATACGTCATGATCCACATGCAACCAAATTCTCCTGTGATTGGCGTCGCAATTGAGGATTCGTTCACGAGCGGAAGGTGCGTTTAGAAAAAAATGTTTAGAAGATAGTGGTGATATATTGAATGTCAAACACATGGCCAGTAAGAGCAAACAAGCTGCCTTTTCTTTTTTTGGGGTCAAAGATAACGCATCAATTTGGTGACCTCTCTTCAAGGGTGAGGGGTTTTTTTTTTTTTACAAATCCTCTCTGAAAACTAAGTTCGAGCAGCACCGAAACAAAACGAGAAATGCATCGTCACACGTAACGATGCATTTCTCTTTTTTTGTTGTTGTTGTAAAGTCTGGCCAAAAAAGTGACAATCTGGTGGAATGTGTGACTAATTTGTACTCGCTGACAAATGATGAACACAGTACGTGCGGTTCTCACAATACAATAAACATTTTTTCTCTCCAACGTTCAGCACAATAAAACGTATTCAACAATGTTTTAAACCAATTATATGCCAATTAGTCTCTATTTATATTATTGTGTTTATAGGCCATTAGCATTTCATTCTGGAGCCGCATACCACAGCAGAAACACATTTAATTGCAGAACTATGCGTAACTAATGTCAGTCCTTTACACAACACCATTTAAAGGCTAAACTTACACAACTGCAACAGAACATGATCTGCTCGAACATTGAGATGAGAGTCGCTACGGACTAAATGAGAGTACAACATCAAACTTTTAACCGTCTGCTTTTTTTCCCTTCAAAGTTCCCATTAGTGACCAGGCAGACACAAATTCACTACACTTGAGAATCCGGTTTAATCTTGGGTGACCACCCAGGATTTCAATCCCAGCATCTCCGCAGCGCGGGCCTTCACTGGCGCACAGCGCTAACAAGAATCAAATGGCAAAAAAAAAAAAAAATCTCATCCGCGCTCTGATTTATGAGCGCAGCATTGAGGAGGTCCCAATCACTGCGGCAAGCATTCATGAAAATAAGAAAAAATAAGAAAACCGACACACACTGAGTGAGAGCAGTGGCCTTTAAGCTTCTCGGAGGCTTCGCCTTTGGTTTTGTTCGGCTTCTGAAAGCAAACGGGAATCTGGTTACGTATGTCCTCTCAGATGTCGCGCGCGCGCTCGCTCGCTCTCTCAGAAATACGGGATGGCCCGCCCTCGTGATGATAGCGTATACGCTGATCAAAGACCCGCCCGACTCTAGATTACTTCACAGGGAGACGGAAGAAATTTTTTTTTTTGCATTTGCTGAAACTAAAAAAAAACGTCCCTTCGCTGAAAGGGTATACGATCGACGCCAGGAAATGAAAAGTGTCACCATCGAAGCAAGCGTTCACACTTTACAGTTGAAAATGCCAAAATAGAGTAGGTTTTGTGAATTAATGCAATTGCTTATGTCAACATATCAGCAGAAATAGAGCACTGGGAGGGTAATTGTACGGAAAGTGTTTTTTTTGCACCTCCACACCAAATAATGTATACACAACCGAAGAAATACGCGTAGCAGCTTTCCCAGACATAACCCCTCGCTCCGTACAATACGTGCAACGTGTAAACCAGTGCCGAAAGTTAGAATGATGTGGTCGACTGTTACACACATCTGGGAGGCAACGCCCCCCCACCACCCCTCTCTTACTCTCTGCACGTGAGCATCTGTGTGGACCCTATTTTTGCTTAGGGTTTAGAGCATCGTAATCTGCTTCATATGCATACCAGGGCTCGGTGATACACTTTAACTCCACATCTTGGCTCAAGTTATGTGTGTGTGCGCACAAGCAAAAAAGGGAAACAATTTTTGTACGTTCATAAACAAGAGGGCCACACATGCTCGGAAGATGGGGAAGGCGCTACGTTAGCTAACAGGACGCAGCTGTTAGCCAACACCTGAAGCATCATGAATCATCGCAAGAGTTGCTCATAAATGGAATGTGCATGTGAGCTCTTAATCCATACATTTGTTGTCAATGGAACCCCAAGTTTCAGCAGGAAGCCTCCTATCCCCAGGCTGATTCACATATCGCATTTCAAAGAGGAAAATCATTAGGACTAATGAGAGCACGGGATGAGCCCAGTACACTCACGTGGAGGGTACGAGGCCTCAGATGCTCCACACATAGCTTCCCAAGCTGTGTTTACAAGGTGTTCTCGTAAATACTTGACCTTGTTGGTGTGTAAATGAACAACCAAAACAGCACCTAATCAAGCATTGGGGAGATAAATTGGATGTGTACATGCTATTAATCGTGTATAATTGTCTCACACACTCCATTCTGTGGTGGTCGCCTAGGTAAATGCTTGAGGAAATAAGGCACGTGTACTTCATAATGGACTGACATTCAAATGGCGTTACTTTCCTCTAAATATATGTAGAGGAACGTGTAAAGCACCACTGACTGCTTCATCAGAGGAGGAGGAGGACAGTGTTGGTAAAAGGGCATGAACAAGCATGTTGGCCACATCCGTTTCCTGTTGCACAAGAACATTCAGGCAGGGCTCTCCTGGCGGTGCTGTCAGTTCACAGGTAACAAGGCCACGAGGTTAATGAAACCAGAGCAGAACCCACGGAGGGCCCAGCCACTCCCACCCATTCCATATGGCAGGAGTTCAGCAAAGAATTATGAGGCGCAGATGTATCCTTTGGCTAAAGTTGTCTAATTGTCTGCAAGGGCTCGTGAAGTCTACGCTTTAATAGAATTTCTGCGCCAAGTGTTTCGGGGCCAAGAACAACAATTTTATTTTTAGTGTCAAAAACAATTTTTCTATATATGTGTATTGTCCCACGCAATAAGCTCTCCGCGTGCATCAAGGTGCAGGATGGTTATTATATATAAAGAAAAACATCTAAAAGAAATATCAATGAAAACGTACATGGCTGCTATTTTTCCATTTTTGTTTTGCAGGCATTATGGAAATCACATCGGTGGAAGTAGGAGTTGTGGCGCTAAAGGGCGTCCATAGCGGATATTTCTTGGCAATGAACAAGAAAGGAAAAGTCTATAGCACGGTAAGAGGGTTAAACATTACCAGCGGTCTGAATAACCTGCACGAATTACATTACCATTTATATGTACGGTGTATTTTCTTTTCCACAGTGAAAACAAAAACATTACATTCACAATGCCAGCATATTCATTGATGCGCCGGGCCACACATGCAAAACGTTGAACGATAAGGTACCCCTAAACATCACTTTCATTTTACGACCTGCAAATGATGGAGAGTTGCCAGCTTTCAACCTAGAGCACCGCTGCTAAGCCGTGGAAAAAGATAGGCCACAAAAGGTGTCACAACTCTTTCACATAGCAGGCACATCGGAATAAATCACAGGAAGCGAGACAAACCGAAAGGTCACGTCACAAAGCGCAGAGGCACACAGCAGGCACCTGAGAGACGGGTTCACGCACAGCACTGGGCACACACGGCCACGGCCTGACACGACAAGATGCACAGGTGTGGAGCGAACATGTGGTGGGCAGGCTGTGGCCCCGGGCAAGCCGCTGCAACATGAGAGCGAGAAGCAGTCCAATCAGTTCAACCCCTTCGATAAATCACGGCACCAGATACCCCACCGTAACCTTGTACAACACCGCACTACAATGAAGCCATGTATTAAGGCGGTTATGAGCAATTGCGCGAAACATTATTGACAAGAACAGTAAATTATGCCAAACAGCAACGTTGGCCTTTCATTCTCCACCAAAGCGACTCACTGACTGGATAGGTGACACAAAATTAGAGGGGCTGGGTCGCCTGGCGGATAACGCATCCACTACTTCGCCGGTTTGAATGATGTCGAGGGTTCTTTTCACACTGCGGCTCAGTCGTTTACACAAACTGATTTCCTAAGCAAAGTATTGGCTACAAAGTACAGCAGATGTTACCGACTTGTGATATTGTCATTTCCTAAAATTTAACCGAGTGCAAAACATTATATACATTCATGGTTATGCGTGGTTTCAATTGCATTTCTGAGCTCTCTTCTAAAGAAACCCCAATAAAATGGAAACGGAGCAAGGTCTGAATAAGTAAGCTTAAAAGCTCGATGTGTAGTGGCAGAGCCCACAGCACCTTTCGAGACATTGCAGGTGAACACCAAAATACCCTCACAGGCCCACAAGGTGAACATGAGCGTATCGAGGCAACACGCAATGAATCTCGGGTCACCCGCGTGGCCCACCCTCGCAGCGGTGTGCGAGGGCGGACCATCGGCAGGCAGGGTCTAACTCCACCTTGGCCTGCAAGATACCATGGCAGGCCCCTGTCACACCACTTGTTACGATGATTGAAGAATTCAAAAGTATCGCAAACCATACAAGGATTGTTGACATTTTGTAGTCTGGTTGCCCGGTCGGTTTGCGATAAGATAAAAAGTTTTCGCATTATCATTTTCGTAACATGCCTTTCTCAAATTACAGGTATTTCATAACAGATGACGTGTAATCTGTGATTGTTTTTGGTATACAGTATCTACACACGAACAGTACAGTAATGTAAACATTTCCTGTAATAGATGCGATACAATGTGAAAAGTATGAAAGTGAAATTGCTTCCATATTAAATGCTTCCGAGATGAAAGTCCAAAAACATATATTTATTTGCAGTATTTTAAGATCGGCACAAAAATGTCACGTGAACAACATTATATTCATAAGCTTTGTTGGCGCCTTGTGCATGTTTCCGAAGGTGTTTGACAATCCCTCTGTGCATACAAAACGTGCATACGTATAGGTATGCGTAGTATAGAAATATTTATTTATTTATTGCCTGTTATCCTAACTTTAAAAAAAGTTCAACAAATTAAGTGGGCTCCATTCCAACGTCCGGCCAAAATTTCCCAACCACTTGGAATGGCGTCAGCAGCCAACGTGGGCCTCCCCCTTAAAGTTGATTCAGCCTGAAATTAGTGCTCATTGTTGCATTTTCAGGGCTGTGGATGTGAAAAGGCGGCCAGGCGTGGTGCTGACCACTCACCCCTCGTGTGCTGGGCCAACAAACAAGTGATTGCTAACAGCCCTAGACGTTCCTTGATGGCTTTCAACAGGGGTCCCTTTTATTCGCCATAGCGTGGCCCCTTAAAGGGACAAATGAACCGCATTTCTACGTGTGTGTGTGTGTGCCACAGCACGGAAAGCCGTCGAATGAGCGCAAAGCGACCAAAACTTGATTGTTACGACGGCAACGACAAAACCTCCTCTCGTTTCAGAAAGACTACAGCGACGACTGCAAGTTCAAAGAGCGAATCGAGGAGAACGGCTACAACACGTACGCCGCGGTGAAGTGGAAGCGAAATGGGAAGCAAATGTTTGTGGCCCTGAACGGCAAAGGATCGCCTCGGCGGGGACACAAAACGCGGCGGAAGCACCTCTCGGCGCACTTCCTGCCCATCCTTGTGCCTTAGGGGGTGCCATCCCCACCCATCTTGCCCCCTTACCCCCCTAACAATGGTACCCACCTGCCAATCTCGAGCCCCCACTCCCCTCGCCCCCTCCTCCCCCTTCCACGCCAGGCGCACGTCCCCCAAAAATGCTTTTCCGCAAATATTCTCCGAAGGCCTAAAATGAAACTGGAAACATTGGTGGTGCGCACGCCAAAGTAGAAGCAACTGAACTGGATGACCTCTGTAGGGAGGGACGGGGAAGATTGCTGTTCACTTCCAAAAGCACAAAGGCATTAACGTACGGGCGCTTGGAAGACTGCGGACATAAAGTGTTATGAAGACGAGTCTGAACGGCGCACGAACGCAACGTCAATGGGCTGTTACGGGACACGTGTGTTGGACTCTCCATGGTGTGCAAAAGCTGAAAAGACTTTTTTTGACCTATCAAATAGGCGGCAATACCATTGTAGTGCTTCAAATCAGCTGGCAGTGCAGTATAGGGGTGAAAAGATAGCTTAGTGAAAGATGGAACTCACAATGATATAAGAACTAAGCAGCACAGGATAAAATAGGGACCAGGTAACATTGACAAAGGATGTTGTAAACTTGTAATGCTGGATATTTGTTATTTTATCATACATAATTTACTTACCAAAATGCACGTTAACATTTCATGTTTATCAATAACTCAACTTTCAAAATTAATTAAAAAACATTTCCAAGTTTAATTTTATTATAAATTACCACATGGTCAAATGTTCTGAAGTTATGTTAAATTTAGATGTGCCTTTTTATTTAAGTTAATCTTTTTTCTATATTATGGATGTTATGTATGATGTATCACTGTTAAAAATCTGTACACTTTAAAAAAAAAATCAGAAAAGCTTTACACTTTTTACTGTCATAGATTTGACAATCTAATAAACGTTAATGTTACGTAGATGAAATATTGCTTACATTGTTGTATATTATTGTTATTATTAACTGCCAAGTAAAACAAAGAAAGCACTGCCTATCGCACAGTACGGTACATTTAACTCAATTTAAATAGCCCACTTTTAACGTACAGTCGTGCCTTTTACAGTGATGGTACTAAATACAATCCATATTATTTATCCAGTGTGGCTGTGTGTGTGGGCATCTGTGTCGACTAGCATAAGTTTCTTAGCGCAATTCTGCCGTATAAACCGCTTCAAGGCCAGCTAGTCTTTCATAATTAAAACTATTAAATACATAATCCTTTCCACATACACTTTTTTGTTGTGGGGACAACTCAAAGAGAACGATGACACAATGAGAAGAAGTATGGACGAGGAATTGTGATGTTATAAGAGCCTCACCTGATAAACAACTTAACTAAAAAACCACAACGTGGGGGGAAAAAAAAACGTGTGACACTAATAAGAGGAAATAGAGGTACATTTTGTAGTCTTGCCAGCAACTCAACCTGAACATTCCCACCCCTCTGCCCCCACAAGACACACATTTACTTATTCATCCAATTTGTCACAACATTAAAAGAAGCCTCCCTACACAATTAGCCGTGTCCTCGAGCTACGTCCTCTGAGCCCGTGTATGATTTCCTTTGAGCATGCACAGGGCAGCACTATTTAGTGTATTCACTGCATACACACTGTGCTGCAGTTATACAACGTATACACTTACGATGGCGATGGCATTTGTACATACGCATACAGAGAGTACCCTATTTACATGCTGTATAGAGAGGAGCATTTCACTAATGCATCTACTTTGTCAATAATGTATATTTACTTACTGAATGTGTGCTGTATATAGTACAATAAATGTACAGTATAAGTCATACATACATGATATATGCCACTAAACGTACATGTTTACTAAACCATACAACATCTTAATGTGGCTCCTGTAAATACATTGCGAGAAGAAGGGTAAAATGGTTATGAATGATCTTATACAAATGGACACACTCAACAATGACCCGTATGTCTGTGTTATATGTTCTTTTTTCACAAAGCAAACTTAACACATTGGACAAGAACCAAAATTCTGCTGAATGCAGGCCACAAAAAAATGCCACATTTCCACCAGAATACACCCAGTCTTAGGAATCTGCTCAACGCACTTTCAAGCACGACTGCTACGGCCAGCTGTTTCTGTTCCTACAGATGATAATGAAAATAGTTGTAACAATTTCATCTGACAACTGCATATTAATATTAAAATGTTCCCTTTAAAATTGCTGTTGTCATCCCACCAAATGAACAAAAAAGCACGGGACAACGTTTCCATCGGAGGCGGTTTGCTGACACAAAGCAGATGGCCCGATCCCTCCCAATGCTGTGGTGACAGGGCCCCAGCACCCAGTAAACATGTTCATTGCACTGCAGGCAGATCCAACCGCATCACATGCAATTACGGCCTCACAGATTGCAAACAGCCCACCACAAGGACATTTAATACTTAAACTTCACAAAATGCATGCGAGTAATTTAACTTCAAAAATGTTAATGGCTTCCGATGTACTTTATATTACTTTGACCCCTGCCAATTAAGTTTGAGGCACACACCTTCCATGAATCAAGTCTACGGGTGAAGAAACATTATGTCTACGTGGCAGTCGCACATATATATATCTATTATATAACATATATCATCATCATGCATGATAAATATAATACTAGATGAGGGCCTCCCCGAGCCATCACCAACTCATGATCCTGCAATGTCATGATGTCACCGAGCACCTGCGCACGAGCCGATTTCATTACTCCATCTACCCGGTCGACGTTCCCTCAGACATAAAGATATCTATGCACGTATATTTTAACAATGATTTAAAACGCACTTGACTGTAGTTACTAAAACATCAAATAAAACTATGCCATGATTTCTATAAAAAGCCACAAAAGCCGAGTTGACAAACATATGGTCACAGTTTATTAACTTTGGCTCCGAACTGTATATATATACTGCACACAATACAGAGTTTAATATCTATGGTACGTTAATTAGCATAGTGGGTCAACGTCGTGAACACTTAAAATACCCACGGTACATTTGGTGATATTCACAGTTCTAAATTTGAAGCTTTCGTGACTGCAAGGATTCATATTCTTAGGTTTTTTACGTGACTTTACCGAAAAAAAACCTAAGAATATACTCACAGTTGTCATGCAGGTGGCTGATTTCCAAGACCGCATCTGCTCCTTGCCTTTCACCTGTAGGGGTTTTCTGGGCCGTTTTCAGAGATTCTCCAAGCCAAGACAGGTCCCATGTCTTCCACGACAGTGGCTTGGCTTGAATTCCTACCAGAAAGCCACCCATCATGAGAACAACGTAGCGCGTTGTACACTGGACAATAAATGTTCCTGAACAGCCCCTGGTTCCATTTCACACATTGGTCTGATGTCCTCAAAATGACCATTGATAGAGCCAAAACAATTTAACGAAACTATTTTTTGATTTGTACTATGTAAAGCCCACTGAGCTATGTAGCTCTACTTCAGAAGCGACCTGGCCACAAATGACAGCTCAACGATACTCTAAAGGCACGTTTATTCTAAATGTGGAATCAAAAACCAGAGGACCCGGAGAAAAACCCACACGACCAGAGGGAGAATATGTAGACTCTAAATATACAGGTGTCAGGGTCGGGATCAAACCCACAACCTCTTGTATACAGGGCGAGGGAGTTAACATCTCGCCACTGTAGCATCCAAATGAATGTTGAGCAGGGATGACTGAATATCCATTTATTACTAAAAGCTAAAAAATATTGTATTTTCTATTGTTACAATGATAATGAAACAATGCACACATTATAGTTTCCCATTGAATGGCATCGTTTTAGAATGTGCGTTATTTCCATGGTAAATGCTGTATCGGTAAATAATTCAAAAATCATTTTACATTAAATTTAACCATGGTGCAGTATGAATAATATTATTTCTCACCATAAACCACCATGAGCTACCCAATGCTGAAAGAAAGCCTCAAGTCGTCACCATCCCTCGTGGTCCTACGATGTCAAAATCCATCTCACTCCCGCGTCTGAGATGATCTCATCACTCCATCTCTGCGGAGGTCATGCTTGAGGGCACGTTCCCACCTTTGGCTGCCACTCCACCATCGGTCTTATCCATCAGCCATCACCTCGTCTAGCGGTGTGTCATGCCTAAAACCCACTGAAATGTTATAAAACGGTTAAAATGACTCCTTGCGTACGTTCTCTAATCCATGTGTTCCTCTTTCTCTCCCTCTGCGTGATTGCCAGTATGTATATCCCCATGATTATTTGTGCACTTTTCAGCACTAAAATGGTGTACTTTGGAAGTACTTGCAAGTATTTGTTTAACCTTCAATGCAGTAGCAAACACAACTTATTGCCATTGTATGAGTAGCATGCACTGACAAGCATTAAAAAACATCCTAAAAATGTCAAGGTGACATTCTTAAGTAGCTCATTCTATTCTTATTCCCCATTTTACATATACTGTATATAAATATGGGAAGCTAAGCAGGCCTGAGCCTGAATAGTGCTTGGATGGGTGACCACCATGTACAACAGGTTGCCATAAGCTGTGGGGCTACAGCGGTTCGCAGTAGATGGTAGTGGCAGCAATGTCATTGTTGTACTCTACTTCTGTGTTCCTGTTATGGAATTGTCCCGCGCCTCCAATTAGCACCGTTTGCTACGTACAGTGCGAAAAAGAAGTTTAACTTGCATACAGATATTGTTGCTGCTCTGCATCTAGATCAGTTATACGCACCGACGGGCACAGCAAAGAATGGTCAAATAACACCCAGGACCCGCTCGGCAGTGCATTGACAAAACGGGCTGCACGTGTACACACGTGCTACACACGTGCACGCACGTGTCGCACACACGTGCCGCACACACACACTCTTTTACAGTGTTTGAAATTGGGCGGTAACTCACCGCAAATCCAGAGTGAGGTGAGGTTGGCAAGCTCAGCTTTAAAGTCATCCCCAAACTGGAGGCGGGAGGCAGGAAATGCCTTGACAAATGCGCCGTAAAGCACCTGAGCCAGCCACTCCACATACGCCTGAGTGAAAACAATCGCATTATTCGGCAGTTCATTCCCGTGCCATGAGGTGTCAAGACTTACTCCAGGGGTCACGTCAAATTTTTTTTTACGTAAAAGTATATTGCTATTGGGGAAACACTTCACCCGGTTAAAGAAGAAGATCAACGTAGGAAAATTATATATTTTTAAAAGTACACAATCATGGCCGCTTCATGCGTGTTCAAAAGTTGTGCATCTTTAAAGCGAATTTCTGCTTCTGTATTATTCGGTAAATCGGCAATAAACATCACAGGAACTGGCCCGTTCTAATGTGGTTTACAAAATTGCGAGACATTTTTTTTTTCTCTCCCTAGTAATTGCAACACTGTACATGGAGCAACTGTGTCAGGGCGTGCGACATCACCTGCAAGAACTTATCCTTATTATTCATGTTGTGCGGAGTACTTAGCAGTAGGGATACAAAGCTCTTCGCTACTCTGTCATACAAATGGTTCTCGAGCTCTTGATTGGCCTGCAACGAGAGAAGATCAAAGGGGAGAGCAGGCAATTAGACGATTATTTTGTCGGTCTAAATGTTGAGAGAAATATTTGCATTTAATAACTCTTAAGTGGGGTTTGGTTGCACTGGAAGGGGGGGACGGGGACGAAAGCATCCATACTTAAAAGGTGAGCTCATCTCCGCTAATACACAAGCACGAGTGAGCGAGTTTATGCAACTTCACACGACAACATGAAGCATGGCGATGTTAAAAGCATCGCTGGGGAAACACACGAAACTTTGCATGTTTTACTCTTCTCTCGGTTTGCTTGGTGGCATTTGAAACGAATTTATTTAAACTGGCTTGCTTCGAGAACACAGCTCATTGTCTGTACATAATAAGGGTTCATTGATATCATCACTCAGATGCAATAAATACGTGGACATGTGCGTGCCATAAGCTTGCGCGTCTTTATTGGCATCCCAATTTACACAAGATGTCCTGGGCAAGATTACCCTGCATCTCTGTATGCAATTTATGCACCACCGCAACACCGAGAGGATTGTGTTTCTGCCTGACAATGATTACAACACCGTACGAAGAATGCTCCAACGAAGATGACGGACGACAATAGACTCTGTTGCTCATCGCATTCAACACATTTGTATCTGCTCCCAAGAGGAAAGGATACCACGGAGCGCCTACAAAAAACGGACTTGATTTACTTTAGTGGGAGACATTTAGCAGCTCTTGTAAATCGTGCACGCAAAAATCCTCAGCACGATGACATCGGTGAAAAAATGGTGAAGTTGTGCTGCGCTGCCAGATTTATTTTGCACTCACACCACCCTTGTAACGGCTGAGAAAAATCCACCAAAAGGTGTCCCGAACGATGGCGTGCGAAGACCCCGACGTGAACAGTTGTTTCCAATGCCGATGGGGCTGAGACCGAAGACAAAAGGACAAATAATGAACTTGATACGTTGCTGTCTTATTCACATTATTAAAACACTGCAACCTCAATTACACAGGATGAAGTGAATATGTACGTATGTTGAACTTCTTTCGCACCATATGTAGCCGATCGTGCTAATCGGAGGTGCAGGGGAAGGACAACAAACTAAACGCAAAAATCAGTTCTAAAGAAATTAGTTTTCCATCTTGATGATTGAAAAGTGCATAGCTCCACTGGCTTCAGAAGCGTATCTTATTTTGGTGCGACAGGAAAACTTGTCTACTGTATAGCAGGGCCATACGTGTGGTATGTATACGTACTGACGTATCCCTTACAATTGATAGAAAATAAGAGGAGATTTAAGTGCTGTGCATTAAAAATATATATAAAAAGATGCGCGAATTAAACATTGCAGATCACCCAAATATATGCAACACTTGGAATATTTATTAGTGCACCTACATTTATTATACCACGTAACAAAACATACCACCCAGTCTCAAAATCAATATACTAAACTCACCTAGTATAAACATGCAAATGCATGCTCTAATTGTACGTTTGCTTTACTCTTAGTATCATCGTTGTTGCGCTGGTGTAGGTATGGACCTGAAATGCTTGTGCATCAAAACAATTCTCCAACAAGTGTCCAGGATCCAGACTCTGTGGCAGGTCAGCCACCGCATCAGGACCTAGAAATTCAGGAAAGCTGCAGTCCTGGGAAGACATAAGATACGGTGCAATAATATGGTTGTCAAAGCCCATTTAGAGAGACTCTTTAAATGCTGCATGTGTAAGCATGCAAATAATAACACATCCATCCTATTTAAAGAACTGAAACTTGTAATAATAACAGCACACCTGTATTTGAGTAAGTTCGCTGTCCTTGTGAGACCAAACATCACCACATTCATCCGTCTGTGTAATAAAAGCTGTGGAAGAATGACAGAAGGTGTAATAACATTGGTACAAGTTATGCGTTTCATACCATATCTTTTAAAAATCCCGACAATACAAAAGCATGCAAGAATGAAATACTGGAAGGTTATGTCAAAAGCAATAAACTGCATATATAAGGCAGGTATGCATGAAAAATAAATTAATGCGGATCAAGGACGACCACAGTGCATATTGTACCGACTCTGCAAACCAATAACAATATTCGAGTTTGGCTCATCTACAACTGAGCATTTCATACAATACATTTTGGCGACGCTTGCTTCTGCGGCTGTAACAGCCGTCCGAATCAACACAGCTTTGAGCCTTACTGCCAACTCCGTACGCCGCCGCGGCGTCCTGGGTTTTGGGCCACCGCTGCTGCTGCTGCTGCTGGTCGTCCGTCGAACGCAGCAGGACCTTGTCGGCTAAGAGGCGCAGCTCGCAGGCCAGGCGACTCGCCCTCTCCTCGAGCCGCTGCTTGGGGACCGTGTTCAAGGGTGCAGCGGCACGAAGGTTCTCGTCCGCGCTGCCCTCCTCCATGCCAAACGGACTGTCCAGCCGAAGAGCAGTGTCCCACGTGACCGCACGAGGCCAGTTCTCCTGCCGGGAGTAGTTTGCAGCATTTCCAAATGGGTTATATTAGTGCATTTTTTGGGGGCTATGAGTTGTACCTGTGAATTGTAATTTTATTTCTGCCAATAAAATGCCATGTAATATCACGTTGTGTTTTATTGTGCTTTATTAATCAAGTAAAAAAATACTCCTTTGGACAAATAGCGTTGGCAAAGGACAATTATGTATCCGTGCATTAAGAGGAATATTTTTTAGTTTTTTTTGTCATTTAGTTGCAAATTACTTCCAGGTTTGGAATTTGTGCTGACATAAAACCGCAATGGCCTACTCCTGAAAATGACATCAAATTCAAGCTAGGGCGAACTGCAATGTGTACTTATTGCAAGTTAAAACTTCTGGACCGTGTGTGTAAAATATTTCAGTGCCACATTATACCTGCTAGGACAGGGGTCGGCAACCAAAATAACAAGAAGAGCCATTTCTTTCCAATTCGGTACAAAATTCAGTATTTCAAGAGCCGCAATGCATCTGAGTACATACTGTACATACGTACATATCGTCAAGAAGCAGCCTGTAAAGAGCCGCATGCGGCTCCGGAGCCGTAGGTTGCCGACCCCTGTGCTAGGATATACAACCACTGATACCATAGCACTACATGACAAAAAACATATTTTTTTTCCTGTGGACGATGATAGTGACAAAATAGTCCCACAACTTCACAAACTGAAAAATATATATCTGACCAGTCATTTGATATTATTGGAATCAGCAAGCCTGTTGGATTAACTTCAGTGGGTTAGCTTTGATAATTCGAGGTTGTAATGCGGTATACTAAACCTCAACGGATTTCTTTGTGAGTTACTTCAAAGTGTTTAGTTCACAGAAACACTGCAGTATTAATATATTTGTAACACTGGCTCCGCAGTTCACAAGTTGAATCGCATGCCTAAGCTGTACAATGTGTAACACAAGACTGTAATGTAATATGAGCAGAGCGATTGCTGTATTAGTGTGTACTATAGATAAAAAAGAGGAGTCTGTAATTTTCTTATCACTAGTTTAAAAACAAACACTCCTACATTTTTTCCTAGCAGGCGCAAAATAACCATTTCTTTGATGTTTTTATTGTTCAGTAATTAGTCCTTTGACAAAGTATCACTTACCCCACAAAATTACAGAGCATCCCATCAGGCCGCGCTCTGTAATTTGATATTTTTTTGGGGAGGAAAGAAAAAGAAGAAAAAGGACAAAAAAGCAGAAGGCAAGGGCTCACGCCGACACCGCACCAGGTTTTGGGGTCGAAGGAATTCCTCGGCCGTAGCCGGGGGCCCAGGCAACGGCTCGGGGAAGCTGCACTCCCCTCGCCGCCCATCGACCCCAGCTTGCGAAGACATCGAGTGACGCAGCACCAGCAGCAAGTTGCTCTACATATACGTACAATCATTCAGGGCACACAAGTCAGATTTGTTATCATCGTCCGGCCGGCCTGGCCACGATTAATCCACTTCTAGATGAAGGCCTCCTCAAAGCTACCGTCATCTCTCAAGGATCCACGATTGAACGATCCACCAAACATCAGCACACAAGATGATTTCATTACTCCATCTTGTGTCATCCTCCCATTGGCTACCAGTCCATGCGTTCACCTCGACCATGTATCATCGTCCTTTCTAGAAGCATGTCCTGCCCAAGGCCACGTACTTGTATCGCCGTGAAAACAATGTCTTTAACGTTAACGTAGACTCACAAATCTATCGTTAATACTTGGGGGTTTAAAGACTATGTTTCCATGTCATTAGTGGTTTTGTAACATTTGGTTGGATGTACGCAAGTTACTTACCCACATGGCATTGCTTTATTTTCCCATAAATGAGACACCAAGGCCTCACAATGTTTTTTTTTTATCGGCACTCAAACTACCGCAAAAACCAATAGATTTACAATAGATTTTCAGTTTTAAAAAAAACCCACATCGGCATAGCCTATTCAGATATTATTTGTTACAGGAATACTCAGTAAAGAAACTGAATTTTATTAAAACTGATGGTGCAACGTTGTGCAGTTTACATGACGCTTTCAAAAAAGTACATTTCCACGATGACGCATGAAGGATTCTTCAAGCGTTGCACAACAACTAACGTCCTTCGTAATTCAGTGCATATACATTTTTATTAAATTGTAGGGCATTAAGTGTTTGCATATACTAAAATGTTACGTTAAATGTGGCATTAGATTATACACAACACGCCATATGCTGTAATGTACTCCACATGTCCCGCTCTCTTATTGTTCTGTTGTGCTTTTTATCAGCAATGTGAGAAAATAGTTTTCTTTTGAAATCCATTCATCTGTAATCCTATATTTTTCACCTTCGCCAAGCTGATGTCATCGCTATGCAAACCCCATTCTGCGTGTTAAATGGGATGATGTTAAGAGATGAACCCTATGGCATCATGAGTGTGTCATTGTATGCCTCTGTCAGAGGACGTACCGTTTCTGAAAATTACTGTATTTTCAACTTAAGTTGTTACTGAGATCCCGTTGAGCGCAATGCCTATATTGCAAGTGAGACATGGACAAATATGACAAAGGTAATCATCATCACCCAGTCTGGTGGCTCAGCGGTGGGCGCGAGTGGATCGAAATCGGAAGATTTGCGAGTTCAAATCCTGCACGGGTGTTGGCTCAGCTCATCATTCCTCCAGGGCTCGATACCAGATTAGTCCCATGTTGGTGAAGAAGTAAAGAGCGGTTGTCCTATGGAGATACTCGCCTCTCGCCATGGGAATGTGGGATTTCCATCACTGGCTCAGGGCTGAAACAGGATGGACTGGCCTCGTAAAAGTGTGCAATAACAAATGTTCAGACTTACTATGAGCACTGCCTCAATGTTTATTGAGCAGGAAGTCACTTTCGGTTTTTTCGACCATCCGTCCCTTCCAGCAGCTCACTCGTAACGATAGGGCGACAAATTGTTCACTGTGGTTGTCTTCATGTAGCCAAAACTACTCCATAAGTCATATGCAATACTCTTTTTTAGCTGAGATCTTTTGAGTACTCTATCCACCTAGGTTTCCATCTTCCCCTATGCATTTTACTTCCAATTGTTAAGTATGAATAGTTCGTAAATGTGCACGTCCTATTTGCACGGTTGGCGACTTACGTTACAAAATAAGTTCAACATACTTCACATAGATAGCATATAAAGTCATCTTTAAAGTCGAACTTGGAATGCTATTTGTCCAGGTTCTTCAAATGATGGGTAAAGGTGCAGCCCTGCAATTACTTGCTCATGTCTCTGCTGGTGGAAGACCTTCACTAGAGGGAGCTCTAGGCAACCCGTCTTAGAGGGTATTTGGCCTACTCTTCCATGTAAGACAGACATCTTGGAAGAGACAGGAGTTCCCATACTTAACCCCACTACATCCGACCTGTCGATCAAATGTGGTGTATCCATTTATATTGCCGGGTAGACCCAGGCAGGGACGTATAAGAAACATGCCCATATTGTTTCAACTGCAGTGCCGGGAGGACTAATCAGACTGGATTGAAGTCCTGGTGTGCTAACCATTACACAACAGTCAGTAAAGCTTCTTTAAAATAACTAAACATGCATGTGTTTTTGGAGGGATTTCTGTATGTTTTCATACAATTTGCATACTTGAAAGTTGCGTGTATTGGAAACGCTTTGTAGATCTGACCCAGATCAACCCTTGCCAGAGACGTGATATGTCAATGGGTTCTCCAATGGTGAAATACACATACGAATTTCCAGCCAGACTTGGGGGACATGAGCACACAATGGGAAACGCCTACAAAAAAGGCATCACGGCTAACATGAGTGGCGAATGAAATCTGAACCGGTCCTTACAGACGCAACCTACCCTTTACCAACTCGCACTGACCAGTGTGGTGAAGTATGGCCAAACAAACCCCATTCACTGACCCAGTTAGGGAAGGCCTTCAAACAGCAGTAGACCCAAGATTCAAGTATACATCTTCTTGGTTCTTTCGGTAAAGTCACGTAGAAGGGAAGTAATAAAATCATAAAAATAAAACATGACAAAATCATTCCCACGACGTTTCGGCCACAACCCAAGCAGCGTCTCCATTCAGACGCTTTCTCCCCGACAGACCTGGTCTTCACCTGAGGACGGCTGCTTGTGTTGTGGCCGAAACGTCGTGATAATTATTTTATTATGTTTTATTTTTATTATTTTATTACTTCCCTTCTATGTGACTTTACCGAAAGAACCAAGAAGATGAATCCCTGCAGTCACGAAAGCTTTAAATCGAAATTCAAGCATACAGTTTATTGTTTATCCAGGTGAGAACTCCAGAGACCAGGATAGATGCTTATGTACAAGAGTGTCCCTGGTCACCAAAATGACAAAAATAAAAATAAAATATAATTTAATCGTAATAATGTACTTACTTATCCATAAAAGCCACACCGAGTCGAATTACTAATTTTCAGGAGGATCCTGCTGCTACATTGGGCTTTTTTATGTTAACATGTTTTCAGCCAATTCATGACGAGTGTTATCATTATTATTATACACGCGAGAGGAAACCAGAGCACCCAGAGAAAACCAGCGCCCAAGCGAGGGGACAACGCTCTATCCCCTGTACAGATGGCGATTAGACCACTCACTGTACCGCCTTCTCCTGGCGAGCCAGGGTATGGCAATCTACTCCAGTCCCACGGAAAGTGTGTACAGTATGTTTAACACATAGGCTTTTGCGACCAATATCATCCATAATATAGATGTTTTGGCGTGAATATAAATGTCGTCACTTGTACGGTGTGCTGTATTAGTAACTAATTGGTATTTTCTGTTTACGTGCCAAACCTTAATTGACTGTGTCGGGTGGTGGCGGGTTTAACGACACATTTATATTTACGTGATCTAACCCAAAAAAAACTCTATTGTAGTTTTCGTGACTGCAGGGATTCATATTCTTGGCTCTTTCGGTAAAGTCACGTAGAATGGAAATAATAAAATAATAAAAACAAAACAATAAAATTCTCACGACGTTTCCATTGCAACACAAGCAATCATCATCAGGTGTGAAACCCACAGCAAGAAATTTGTTCACATTTTAAAAATGTTCTTGCTGTGGTTTTCACACCTGACGATGATTGCTTGTGTTGCAATCGAAACGTCGTGAGAATTTTATTGTTTTATTTTTATTATTTCCCTTCTACGTGACTTTACCGAAAGAGCCAAGAATATGAATCCCTGCAGTCACGAAAGCTTTAAATCTAAATGTGTCCAGTATGTTTAACTTCTTTCGCGCCGTACGTAGCCAACCGTGTTAGAACAACTAAACACACAAAAATGGTTTTAAAGAATCGAGTTTTTTAAGTTTTGTCAATCACGTCAACCCTCGCTACCTCAGTGCTTGGAGGGGAGGGGGGGGAGGTTGCAGGTAGCCACAAGGGTCGCCTCTCTCGCCACGTTGTGTCGTACTGTAAACAAACGAAATCGGAACACGCAACACTGAAACAGGAGTGGAAAGATCCTCGTTAGTTACAACTGCATCGGCAAAATCGGGTACGATAATCCACCACTATAATTAACAACAACAAAAACAGGTTGCCCCCTTAAATCGTGACTTAAAGCTTTCGTGACTGCAGGAATTCATATTCTTCGTGTCTTTCGGTAAAGTCACGTAGATGGGTTATTTGATAGTTTATTTTAACTTATCTACGTTACTTTACCGAAAGACCCATATACTGTTTCCCCTTATGAAGATATCATCGCACCAGACCCACCGCGCTTATTGCACCGGCAGTAGTATTATCACTCTGCTCGTTTGCTTGACACCTGAACTAATTTAGTAATAAAAATAAACACGAAGTACAAATAATAATTAAATCCCTCGTGAGGGGGAAATCCACACGTGCGTGCGCTAACCTGCGTGACGCACTCCCGCAGCGTCCTCGCGTTGCCTGGCAACCGCGGGTTTACCTTCCGGGTCACCGCCGAGCCGGCTCGAGGTCACGGCTCCTGTGACGCACGTGGCCTGACACGTGTTCAAGTTCAAGTTCATTTTTTGGGGAAAACCCTGTGAGCCATTCGGCTCTTGAATCGGGTGCAACCGCAACAAACAGAAAATAAAAAAAACATGAACAAGAAAACATCTTAAAGTGACTATGTGCAAACAGAAAATCCAAGAAAAGACAGCAAAATATTGCAGAAACAGCACCGTACACCAACGCTGTGTGCAAAAATCCCAGTGGGATGCAAGTCAAACAACAACAATCACAAGACAACTTAGATTAAGGCAATCAGTCTAACTCTGTACTACAACAAACAAACATGGCCAAACCAAAAAAACTTTTCGAAAATCACCAAAATAAAGCCATAAAAGCAATGACAGTGATCATAGGAACTGCGACCGAATTTTCACAATAAACGACGTAAAAAACATGTACTGTACTACCAAACTCTGCAGCCATAGCTGGCTGCATGAGTCACTCCACAACAGCAGGAGCATCAGTCGGAGTATCGTCACCGACACGTGTTGACCGAAGCCACCTCGTGATTTAGTGTGCTGATCTTAAAGGTGCATTGAAAAATTATAATACTCCGATTCCACGCGACCGTGGGGAGAGACATCGCAAACTCCAAATATACAGCAGGCGTCAGGGTCGGGATCGAACCCACAATCTTCTGTATATCTGGCGAGGTAGTCATAGATTGTTATTATGCACCACTGCCAACGCAGTATCACCAAATAGTGTGCTGTATTTAAATACTGTACGGCTCCTGTGTCCATCCGCTCTTGTGCGAAGCTCCCCCCATGACGTCGGTGGTGGGTAGGATTGCCACCCTCTATACAGACCAAATCAGAACATTTATCAATTAACACAGGTCTATCAAAACTGCTGTCGACTGTATTGAGGTTCCACACAATACCCGTATCAAATCTCGGGACAGTTCTTGTCACCCAAACACGTGCCACCGTCAAACCCGAATAGGTGGCAACCTTAGCCGTGGGGTTTATTTGACCATTTTTAACCACGCTGGTTCAAGTTCAAGTTCATTTATTAGGTAGAGCCCTGTGAGCCATTCGGCTCTTGAATCGGGTGCAACCGCAACAAACAAAAAACAAAAACATGAACAAAAAAACATCTTAAAGTGAATATGTGACTGAGTGCAAACAGAAAATCCAAGAAAAGACAGCAAAATATTGCAGAAAAAAACACCGTACACCAACGCTGTGTGCAAAAATCCCAGTGGCATGCAAGTCAAACAACCACAAGACAACTTAGATTAAGGCCATCAGTCTAACTCTGTACTACAACAAACAAACATGGCTAAATTCGCGGGTGGATATGGATTGAGAGGCATGATCATTTGAGAGATGTTAGCCGTAGCCGGGAATCGAACTCTGGCCACCTGAAACGTAGCACAGTGTGCTAACTGCTGTAGCGTCGCTCGCTCCGCTATGTTTTTTCTTATCCCAGCAATGTCACTGTGCCGTACCTGTACAGAGATTCAATTGAGAAATAGAGGACTCGACTGTAATATTTATGAGCTGGTGCTCATCCCTGTCTTTGATCCCAATGGGTCAGTGGTGGACATTCCGGATCCTTGTGGCGGTGCCAAGTGTAGCTCCTGAAACAAGCAAACGCTATTGCTTAAGATCGAGTGTTGGAGATGATACGTTACCACCGTCCAACGCTTGCTACGCTACATTCTTTACCGGTACTTAACATCGCGTTTGATAATCATAAAAATATATAACTTCAAAAAACACATTTCAGCTACGAGATCATGTCACCACAAACATGTTCTTGTGGTATCAAATGTGTGCCTTTAATAACACATCATACACGCACAAATTTTAAAAGCCAAGCTCCTTGGTACAGACTTTTGGACCGCGAACACCACCAGACCCCTTGAACGTCTTCTGGAGAGCAATCAAGATTTCCTTGCATTTGTTCTTTCGTTGAAATGTCTGCGTTTGGCAGCGAGCAACGTGGCCCTGCAAATTACAGACGCCGAGGCTTATCACCTGCCAAGAGGGCCTTGTGAGAGCGTTTCCACGCGCGCGAGGAGGCCCAGAGCTTCGTTCGATGTTGTGCGTGAATCATAATCATAACTTTGAAAGTTTTTTCCCCAGACCAACCGTTTTTTGTCGGTAAATCCTGACTCCGAAGAAGTTCCACCACTCTGGGAAGATGTGTTCCTAGAATGTGCATAATTGTATAAATAAGAATACAATGGGTGTGTGTGTTGCTTTTTGTGTGTGTTTCGATAGCAATAATGAAGCGACATTGGGCAAGGCCACCTGTAGGAGTGAATTACAAAACAAGCACGTCAGGAAGATGGGGTATTGCTGAAACGCAGTGTAAATCAATATTCAACTATATATATACAGTACTCAAATAGGGCTACATGGTGGGAAGCAGGCTGCAATGAAACAATACCCATCCTACTTTAGTTCTATGCTCCCACGTCTATGGTGTCCGCTTTCAACCCGCGCTGACCAGCGTGGCGTGGCCAAATGACCTCCACATCCCGCACAACCCGCCACAACCCGACACAGCCAACTAGTAAGGGTTTCCACGTAAAGAAAACATGCCAAATCGTAACTAGTACAGCACACCGGTTGTGTGTTGGAGAGCCAAGCCACAACATTTACAAACTGAGTACGACGTTTCGCCAGTAATTACAACTAGCTTCATCAGGCGACAGCCAGATTTGTGTAGAAGTCTAACTGTTTCGTTCCTTATACAGAGGGTATATGTGGTGACCACGCTTCTGCGCTCTTGCGCAAATTGGGGGGGGGGGGGAGAGAATTACTGAGGGAACGTACATTATGCATGTGCATTAAGCGAGCCCTTTGATCTTGTCCTTCCTGTCTATTGTGTGTATTCAAATAGCCGTACTAACGGTAAGCCCTGTTGAAGTATGCTGCCCTTCATAGGCATGCATTTAAACAATGTATTATTTGATGATTCGCTTCCACGCAGCACTAAGGCGTTAGCTATACGAACAGTTAAAGTTATTTTTATTTCTTTAAATTTCGATATATTATCTAATTAGTCTTGGCCAGTAGTAGCTAGTTGTGCACAGAACTTCAACATCAAAATCAATTGAGTGTCCTTGTTGGCACGCGTGTTCTGCTACTGCTGACAGTTGTATACCTTGCTGCATACTGATGTACGTCCATCAAGTGGCGAAGGTCCCTCGGAAATGGAAGACTCTGTCGGATATTATTCTGGTCACAATATAAGGTCGAGGAGCAATAGACACCAAGAACGGAACTGAAGTGTTAATACATTTTGCTTTTACAAGGAAACTTGGAGTGCGCGGTGAGACAGATTCTGTGTCCCGGACGCGAAATTTCAAACCCCCCAACCAAACTGGGTTTTTCGAAACAGATGCGGATGCTGCTGCCACCGTGGTATTAAGAATAAACAAAACCACGTTTGACAGAAGAGGGCATGTTCATTTAGAAAATGTCAGGAGTGTTTTGCCACGATTTTCGCTTGGATTTCACTGGCACGGGGAAAGAATTGAAATTGGCCTCAAAATTGTCAGGGTTATAGGAGTCACCAGATTTGTGTATGGGAGTGATTAAAGCCATTTTGAAATCTGATGGAATCTTACCTGTTGTTAAACTAATGTTTAAAATGTGTGTAAGTGGCTCTGGCTATAACGGGAGCTGCCAGTTCGTGGGAATACCCACGAGTTGCCGCAGCGCTATTGATGGCCCAGGGAGATATGGTCTTTGTCACAAAATGCGATCGCAGAATTGCAAATGGGGTGGAACGGGCGGTCAATTATGGGACCATGTGCGACTGTGCACTATCTAGACAACACGCAAACTCGCCTGCCGCGAAGAAAGAAAAAAAACGAAAGCCGACGGTCTTGTATTTTGTTACAGCACGTTTGATTAATATTGGAAAACTTCACTCTATCGCTCGCCACATCTTCAAATCCCAGCGGTGTACAGTGAAAATTACACATGTAATGCATCAATGCGCAAGTTGCAGGCTCAGACGCGAAAGCGAGCCCGAAGGTTACGGTTACTGAAAGCCTCATGCCATTTGTTCGTAAACTCTATACGCGCCTATTAGTTGCTTAAAGTGTTCTCACGAAAATGTCATTCAATATTCGATACGGCGGATCGTATCGATGCAAATGTGAATGTTTTACTTTTTTGTTTTACTAAAATGTTCAATGTAGCCCCACGACGTGGCGCGGTATTGCCAGCGTGGATAAGTGTACGTCGACACACAGACGTGCAATGCAGCGCCGCGTTCACAATGAGAAACGCGGACGCGGCCCCGTGATTCACATTTTGGACCCCCACGTCGTTGATTTTCAGCCACGCGCATTTCAAAATGCCAGTTGCGTCAATAAAAGCACACCCGACTTTCCCGAAGGTACGCTACTCGCATTTGGCATTTTATTAAAATACCAAAGCGCATATAATTTAGTGTACACATCAACTCTCCCCGTACAGTCAGTCGAGTCGAAGCGCTGCTCAGCTCTCGTGAGCATTGCCCAGCGTTTATTTCCATTGACTGTGCAAAGTCAGTGGTGGGAATTCCACCACGCGTAGGAATCAAGTGCACATTCACGAGGTCACGTAGCTCGGCACATACTTGACGGGCGCATTGTAAAGAAAATGCATCGTTTTTAATCTAGATTTGAAGCTTTCGTGACTGCAGCCATACATACTCTTTGGTTCTTTCGGTAAAGTCACGTAGGTAAAAAATAACAAGCATCCGTCATCAGGTGGGAAAGCATGGCCTGCTGCTGATGCAGACTGTTTGAAAAGGTTTGAAATGGTTGTAGCTCAAGGGTCATAAAGAAGTGGTCGGGGATAGTGATGTTACTGTGAGAGATTAGCATCGTTAAAATTTATTGTATACCCCACTGTGAGACACATGCGATATCCCTTGTCCATTTTATTACGGCAGAACAG